AAAAGACTAATGGGAATCAGTTAAGGAAGCCAGCCAGTGGTTCCATTGTCCTTCTTTATGTATTGAGGTTTCACTGCTTTATTGGCTCTGTCTGTGCTGACCTGCGCCTGTTATTTACCTCAGCTTATGTAATCCCACCTCATTAAATACTTCATTGTGATTTATTGTTGTTCATCAACCTTTGTTTTTCAAATCGTTATCCCACATGAACAATTTTAGTCTTAAGCAGTCTGAGCTGTAATGTAAAGTGGTATTGCAAAACCTCTGTTTTATTTATTTTTTCTTGTGTGGCAACTATGGAATGTGTCTTTGAGGTTTATTGTCTAACCAAACGATCGGCACCAGCAAGACATTCCTACTGAAGATGGTTGATGAGTATTTCCTCTGGCAAAAGATTGTTTTAAAATCAGTTATTTGTGGATTTCTACAGGTTCTTTAAAAGTCCTAAGCAAAGATTTTCCTCTTTGAATTTATTAAATATACTATGTAATATCCATTCAATTAACAAATGGGTATTTCTAGTATTGTTGCATTCTATAATTTGTTATCTATGACATCCATAGGGCCCTTGGGGAGGTTGAAGGCAGAACAAAATACTAGCAAAACCTGTCCACACATATCATATCTATGAAGTCACTATATATAGCTTCTAAACACAGTGCAGCAGTCTCTAGTGCTTTCTCTGGCTGTATGGAGCATAAATCAGCACTTTTTCTCCCCTGTTTTGCTGTGCACTGCCAGTCGACTGGCTTAAATAAGCTATACATGCTCACAAGGAAAAGGACAAATTCAGCCTTTTTTTTATCTTTCTGGTTGCACATGAAAAAGAGGGTACCAGATGTGGAAGGTCGAGGACATTGCCCATCAGTGCCTTAAAGGTAATTCTGTTTTAAAACCATAGTTGGGTAGCTCCAGATGTGAAACAGCTGATTGTGTCACTCTGACTGTGACTAACTGTATGTGCTCTCTTCATCCTCTGGCATGGCAGTTGGCTCAGAGCTCGTCTGCCTGGCTGTGTGTTTCCTGGACGGGGCTGCCTTTTACAGCTGCTTTTTGTATCTCTGCTTCTGTCTCCTTGAACCCCAGTCGGCCTCGGCAGATGGCCGCTCACACTGAGCCTTGTTCTGCTGGAGGTTTCTTCCTGTTAAAAGGGAGTTTTTCCTCTCCACTGTCACTACAAGCATGCTTAGTGTGAGGGATTGCCTTTGAGTCAATGAGTCGATGCAATCAACTGGTTTTCCTTAGAAAACTTTAAATCAATCTGACTGGATGATCTGGTGAACTGTAAGGTGCCTTGAGATGACATGTGTTGTGATGCTATAGAAATAAACTGAATTGAATTGATTGAGGGGGAAAGCCCTACTGATTAGTTCATGAAGAGGATAGTTATAAATATTATAAGAAGCAGTTAAAAGTACTTTAGAATTCAAATTTGTATTTATCAACTTGTAATAGATATTTTTAATATTGTTATGTTTTTTTTTTTTTTTTGTCTTTTGGGATATACCACTCATATCTGTTGCAGACTGTATACTAGGTCTCCCTTTCATTCTCTTGATCAGTCCCTAAAGATTTTTTGTTTTATTTTATCTATAGAGAGTTTACACAGTTGTGTAACAGTCGCTATGTATTCAGCACCATTAGTTTTTGCAGGTGGATAGAAATATGGATGCAGCTATGCAGCGTTTTGCCCAGGGGGCACACGTGTGTAAATTGGAGAGCTGTCACACTTTGGTCTCATGACTCCACAGAGTTGTGCGCGGCCTTCCTGGAATCTTATCTGAAGGCTATAATGAACTCGTTCCCCCTCATTTAACATTCTTTTATATGCCTAGATCTTGGAAAAACTTAAGAGGTGGCAAGGATTGAACGTTGATAAGGCTAGTCATAGCTAAATGCCCTTTAATGTCTGATAGTTTTTCTTTTAATGAAGCTAATAGACTGAATCCTATTTATAGATTGTATTGTTTTCAGTGAGTATTTATAGATTCCTCTTGAACAACTGGGGGGGGGGGGGGGTGCTTAGCTGTTATAGTGGTGAATTAGCTGTTAACTCCAGACTTTGATAAAAGTCACATTTCAACACTTGAACATCAGCTGAGATGTTACTCCCCTAAGAGTAACCTAAGAGACAGAGATTAGATTATTACTGTTAAACGCTAACTAAACATACCAGCGGTCAGTGCTACTAACCTACATGTACATTTTTCTTTTTAGTCTTTGAAATAATTTGGCCCGCAGTGAAAAAAAACAACTTTATGTCCAACTTCTTAAATATACCCTAGCAATAAAAAAGCTAGTTTATAGCATTTGGAAATCTATCAGCCAATATTTGACTGATAACCAGATGCAGTAGTTATTGGGTGAAACATGACTTCAGTTATTTTGAGGCGATACAGAAAGAGGATGATAAGCATGAATTAAGTTGTATTTAGCTTCTTTTATCAGCATTAGCATGAGTGACAAACATGGTTTAAACGGTTTGCATGTGTGGAGGAGGGAGACGCCCAACCTTAGCGAGGCCAGTTTTACCTCATCCAACAGGCTCTATCATGGAAATTGACTTCTTGTTTGGATTCAACAGTGATCCTGCTGTAAAAGATTCAGCCTTTTCTGCAGGCGTCTCAAACAAGAAACAAGCTAAATAGGACTGACCAGACTATGTCCAGTGTTTTTATACTAATTACACTGTCACAAGAACAGAGCAACGGAATTAACTCTACATTTAACCCATCCCCTTGGGGAGAAGTGGGCTGCCATTTATTTATTTTTATTTTTTTTCCATTGAGTGGGTAACAGTTTGCAGGAAATTTTTCGCAACATATGGTGATATTGCATTATAGTGATATCGTATCATGACCTGTATCGTATTGAAACACCCATGCCAATACTCATCCCTAGACCCTGTTTGCAGAACGGGTGACTTACCACTTTAGCCGCTACATGCTCAAACTGCTCTGAGTGTAGAGTTTTTATTCATTGATGGGCACAAGAGGTTGCCTCTGTATAAAATTATCTTTTCTTTCTGGAATCTTCAAACTGCTTTCTTGCAGCTCCTGGCTGACTTGTTAATTTGGCGTTACTCTCTTCTTGACAAACGGCCTCTGTGAGATGTCACTGACTTTTAGGAAGCTTTTGTTTGATTGCCAATCAGAGCAGGCTAAGCAAGAGGCATTTCAATCTTAGTCAGCTGGAAGTTTCTAAGTCCAGATTTATTCTAAGGCATCCAAGGAAAAGTAAACAGTCTTATCTATTTTATAGCAAAGTCTGCTCTGTTATTCTTTGAAAAACACTCTAGTTATAATGTAACTAACCAGGTTCTGTAGTTAAGAGTTGTCCATCACAGTTGCTATATTATATATGTGAGTCACCTCAAAGGGATTATGCTACCTTGCAAATTGAGTAAAATCCGCTGAACAACAGTTTGTTTTAAGTAAATTTTTATATGGTATATTCAAGATTATTTTAGTCTTTTTTTTTTTTTTTTTTTTTTTTTTTTTTTTTTGCCTGCTGTCTATTATTGTTTTGGCAGCTTTATTAGAACAGAATGCTTAATTTGTTAACTTTATTAGCCTAAACCCAAGGCAGGCTCCTAACAAAATATTTCAGAAAAGCTAAATTTGAACAAATATGTTGTCCCTTTTCAGTTTTTCTCCTCAAGTGTTCAATAGATAGTTTTAGGGCTGAAACAATCAATTGAATTAATTGTGATTAATTGATTATTGAAATAATCAACTAATTAAGTAATTGATCAATCGTTAAACAGAGTGCAGAGACTCTAAAACCGGCCTTTCACTGACAGTGACCCACCTAGAGCAGTAATTCTACCAAAATTGTAAAAAAAATTTCACATTTGAGAAAAAAACAATACTTTTCGTCTGTCAATCTGCTCTATCCAGAACTCCTCAAGTTGAAAATGTATATTTTCACCTGGTTTAATTTAGTTAAAAGTCTTCTTTAAGGAAGCTTTGACTATTAGATTTTTAATCGATGAATAAAAAAAGAATCAAAAGATTAATTGTTATTTAAAGTAATCGTTTGTTGCAGCCCTGGATTGTTTGCAGTCACATGTCTGAATAAAAAAAAAGATCTAAAACTCATGACAGGAGCTCAGTGTTTGGGAAGGATTCTGAGCGCATGTTTCCAGCCATGCAAAGGCAGTGATCTCAGATAGTTTGTGTAATATCTTTTATTAAATGTCTATAGCCGTATGTTCCCATTTTGGTCTCATGTTGATTTTAAAATTCCTCTTGTCTTTGTGAAGTTTCTCCCATTAAAACGCTGAACCCAACAGTTCCACCCTTTCTTATACTTATTGTAATTGGCAGGCCAAACGTTATCTTGCTTTGTATTTTGGCTGCCAGCTCATAGGATAATTGCTACCTCTGTCTGGATGCTATGCTTTTTACGGGGAAAAGTGAGGAGGAGCTCAGCTGTGAAGGTTTTAGATTGTTGTTTACAGTTCATCGCATAGGAACGCATCTGTTCCCATTCATACATACAACCTCAAAAATGTAGTTTGTGTCTGAGAGGGGAAGAAACGCAGCGAGTTTTATCTCTACAGAAACGGGGATAATATGTTGCACAAAGGGAACAACCAGAGAAGAAGAGGGATGGAGCGAGGAAGTAAGAAAGTGACTGAGTGCTGTGTTTTTGGCCCGGCCTCTAAAGTCTAATTCTTTTGTTGCCTGACATTTTCGGGTACCGTAGTTACAGGTTAGCAGCAAAAACAGCTTTATTCTTCTCCTTAACTCTCTGTCAGTGATCTTGGTATTATTTTATTTCCGTTTAGTTATTTTATCCCCTTTCAGTCTAATTTATAAAGAAAACTGATTTTTACATAAAACATGACGAATCATGGGTACTTTTTAATTGGCATTGAAATTATTTCTAAGGGCATTAAATTAGAATTGCTCATTCCTGTATAAACAGTTTTTCCTTTTTGTCCAGTCTAATCTAGCTCTGTTAAATAAGATTTCCATCTCTTGTTTACCTCAGTTAATTGAGTCTAGTTTACTTTCATGTATTTATATATAATAGGCGTTCTTTGGGTAATGGACAGGAGCAGTCTTGGTTGATGGGGAAAGGTTTTGTGTCAGCTGAATGAATCACCTTAGGTGGTGTGTCATCAGTAGACAACAAGGTATATCATCGAGGCCTCTGCCCGTCCACTAATCCTTTCCCACACACCCCCTCCTCTCTCACCTCTTTCTCCCCAGCTTTAGTATAATATCCAGTTTATCTCAGACACATTCATCTGCCCCCCTGAGTGGCGTCTTACAGATTAACAGTGGATGGAGTTTAGAGGCAGCAGCCTCACGCTGATCGCTCAGTCTTTAACCAAGGCCGGATCTGTACGCTAAGCCCGCTAGACTTTGAAACCTTAATGGAAGATGCACGCAGCCTTCTGAGAGGAAGAGTCTAGCGCTGAGGTGTCGCTGATGATCTAGTGCTCAGGGGGAGGTTGTGGTGACAGCGGTTTGTTCAGGACATGCATAAAGGATCCTTGGTATGTTCCTGTACAAAGCCCTTAAACACAGAGATGAAGAGGAGGACATCCAGGTACACACTTTTTTGTTCATTGGTCAAGAGCTAAAGTCACCTGTTTATCCAAAGTTGGAGCCAGACCCGTGTAACGGTGGAATTACCTCTGCTCATCAGGGCTGTAGAGGTGAAACTTTGGTCACTCTGGATCTTTGTGTTCTTGTTGTTTTTATTGCAGTGTGCCGATCACAAGGTCCAAACAGTAATATAAAGGTTATAGTTTCAGGAATTGTTCAGATCTTTCGGTGTAAAGCAGGTGACACTGTTTGGAGACTTTCTCTCTGTGAGTTGGTAGGGATTAATGGGGCTAATCGCTGCTGGGTTCCTCTGAGCTCCACTTGTGGAACAATAAACTGTTTTCATTTAAACCCTATGAAAACTTGCAATAAACATTCACAAGTTTATGCTTGTGTTTATTGCTGTCTAATATGTAGGTTTCTAAAATCAATTCTTGAGTTTTGTGATTAGCAAGTTTAAAAGAATTCAATTAAATCGCCAACTTTCCGCTAAATCCTGGATTAGAGGCTCAGAGTACCCTGCAGCCTTTTATATTGTGGTTTATTACTTTCAGAGGAAAATTTTAAAACTCTACAATCCCTTTCTACAACAAGCCTTAAAATGTCTTATTAGTTACAGCAAGGTAAAAAGACCCCATCATTTTTAACTTGAGCTGTCAGGAATGGATTAAAAAGAATGGTTGATTTTTAAAGGCTTAAACTGGAGTATTCATCATCTGACCAAAGTTTCTTTTTGTTCCCCACAGTCCCAGAAACCCTGGATAGAAAGCACTTTCACCAAGAGGGAATGTGTGTACATACTTCCAGTGTCAAAGGACCCCCACAGGTAAACGAGCCGACCACACTCTGCTCTAACCTTTGTTGGTCTCCATGGAAACACTGTAATTGCAAGGTGTGAGTCAAAGTAGGCCCTGATGCTTACCGCTGCTCTCCAAAGGGTAAATGAGTCTGTTTCTAATGTTTACCTCTGTCAGTGTCTGGAATTATAGTTTGAAATATAGCAGTGGTCACAAAGTAGTTTATTTTTGTTTTTTGTCGTTTAGCAGGTTATTTTATTTGTCGGCCCTTTTACATCTCTTTATACCGACACACAGACGGCGCTAGCAGAGTACACAGGTGCTTGCATAATATATTGTGGGTTTGAACATCCACTGATTTACCCAAAAATAAATATTCTCAGTAAATGTAACTTATTTAACGAGTAGAAAACTCTCAGATTTACTTTTTAACAGCCTCCTGTTACTATAAGCCGTTTCTGTTAGATTTCCAAGAGGCTGGATGCCTTCCTCCTTCCTGACATGCACAGCGGATCAGTCTTTGTTTTGTTTTGTATTAATTATTTCCCACCAAACCGCTGTACGTGCTGCTGCTCCCAGATACGTTTTGACATGTTCTTGAACAAAACCTCATTTGACATTAAGTCCAAGTCCGTCAGATGACTAGAGCCCATGTGAGAGAGCTTTTTTTTTTTTTTTTTTAAAGCTAGTAACAAGATAAATTTTTCCCTCATTCTGTTTAAATATGGCTTTTAATGAAATGTTTTGCAAATTAAAACAGATTTCTTAAAAAAAAGAAGAAAATAATGTAGCCAAAAGGTGCAGAGCTCCAATCTGCTACAGTTTTCATTTTAAAAATGTCCTAAAATCGACGAGAAGGCATATATCAACAAAAGTGATTAAAACATGTCCTCCTTTATTCTTTTACAATACAGATTTGATCAAGATTTTTACAAGATTGGTTTTGAACAGATCTGCTGTTATTAGGGATTTAAATCACACCCATCATGGCGATTTGATTCAGTATCAATTTCCTGACCCAACGATTTGATTATTTTCGATACTCTAGAATACACCAATTAATTACTTTTTTTTTTTTTTTTACCTTACAGGCTAGACAATGTTTCGATTATTTTCGATACTCTAGAATACACCAATTAATTACTTTTTTTTTTTTTTTTACCTTACAGGCTAGACAATGTTTCGATTATTTTCGATACTCTAGAATACACCACGATTGGATTCAATTAATTGCTTTTTTTTTTTTTTTTTTTTTACCTTACAGGCTAGACAATGTTTCAAATTTGAAATAAATCAATGAAAGGTGTAATATCTTTATGCATTTTATGTGAGAAACAACAGCAAATAATAGAAGTAGCAAAGTTGTACTCCACCTAGGCCTATGAAAACCTCATTGACTTAAAAATAATATTGCCTCTGTGTTATAGATTCTTACAGGCCTTGCATCAAAAAATACTTCAATGAGGCATAAGTACACTAGCAGATTAAGTAACAAAATTTGGCCTAGACTACATTCACTAAGAATAACCATACTCAACAAAATCAGTGCAATGAGTGAAAACGTGCAGTAGCAGCAAATGGTAACAAGTGTGTGTGCAAGCGGAAAGAGGGTAGTGGCTAAAGGAAGCGAGGTAGGAGGGCAAAATAGGTTTAGCGCCACCGCTGCACGGGAGACAGAATAACATCCAGGAGCAAATGGATAAAAATCGACCAGAGAAAAAAACAACTTATCAACGCACCAGATCATCGGCTGTTGGATCGATACATTGATGCAAAACAATTATTATTTACACCCCTAGCTGTTATGCTGGATTTAGTCTTTTTTTTGTCTGTTTATTTTAGCTCTTAGGTTGTAACGATACTGACGTTTCAATTGTATCAATAGCCGATGCAACGTGGGATTAAAAAAATGATTAAAGGCATAAATGTTTATATAAAAATGAAAAACTCCTTTTTTAATCTCAGTATGGAACTTGCTTTGTCAATATTCTAAGGTTCTCTGATATACTCTGCAAAAAATCCAGTAATCAAAAAGTTTTATTTGCATCTTTTTGATGTTATTAATTTTAAAGTATCAATACCATGCTATAGTAGTATTTTATCCAGATACAGAGTTTGGGTCTCAGTACTTAAGGGAATATTGATATTTTTGGCAGCCCTAATAGCTGTACAGAAGACATTCTGTTGCATTGTTTATTATAAACTGTAGACATAAACAGTAGGTGTCACTGTGTGAGGGAGGAGTCTGTTTCTCAGTTTAATGGTTAACATTAAATCTCAAACTGTCTTCAGCACCTTAGGTCAGTGATTACTGACACTGTTCTGTATGTAGCCTAACCTAACCCCCAGCCCCTCCGAGGGTAGTGATCTGTGTGAACATCTGACATCCTTCTGTTTCTGTCTTCTATCTTTTCTGCTTCCTCTCATGTCACTTTTTAACAATCTAAAACAAACTCCTCTTCACTCAGTTATAACTTCCAGCCTTTGGTCACAGCAACCTGACAGTGTACAGGAACATGCATGCTGCCTTTACAGCTGAATCCAGTTATTGTGATTAATTGGTTTATGAAATAATTGTCATCGAATTTGGTAATCGAACTATTGATACAGACTCTAAAACCTTGCATTTGTTGAAAAAAATTACCAACTTGGAGCAGTAAATAAAACAAAACATTTTCCATTTAAGCCTGGAAATCTTATATAAATAATTCCATCTGTAGGCACATGTATATATTTTCCATTCCTTTAAAATGTGCAATTAAGTTGTTTTTTTTTTAAACATGATTTATAAATGTTGATTTATGAAAAGTATCTTTTAATATCGATCACAAAAAAGTAAGTAAATAATTGATAAATAAAATAATCACCAGCTGCAGTCCTATTGGTGTTTTTTAAACATGTTCCAGTTTCTGACTTATCTGTAATGAGGGTTTATTTTATGAAGTAAAACTGGGTTCAGTTGCAGCAGCTTTAATCTGGTTGCTTTAAAATGGAGGACACCACTTAGATCAGGAAGCAGGATCTGCACTTCTATTCCACCACACCTATAGGAGTAGCAGGGGACACAGTCAGTAAACACACACAGGCTGTTAGACGCTCTGCCAGGCACCAGTGCAAAAGCTTCCAGAGTTGTTTTTTTTAACAATAATAAAAATAAAGAAAATAATTCTGTAAATAAAATGTACACACCAAAATAATGTGTGCCCCTGTAACATGTAAAATATTGAGTAAAAGCTAACAAAACAGTCAAGAGTACATGACACAAGAATAATAACTGCATGAGAAAAACATATTGCCATTTTAATATATGGCTTATCTTCACGTAAATTATGCAGTGCTTCACTTAAAAAAAACAACAAAAAAACCTAACACACCTATAGGAGTAACGGGGGACACAGTCAGCACACACACATGCTGTTAGGTGCTCTCCGTCCCTTGCAGCAGATCATAAAATATGCAAATGAGGGAAAAAACTCCATCAAATTTAAAGAAATAAACAGCGATTTTCAGCAGCCAAAACAAATATATATTCTGCTGTGCATTAGCAATGATTTGGTTACGTTTATATCCAGGTTAATACAGTGTAGATTATGCTAGCTTAGCCAACAGACAGAGAGCATCGCAGCACATCTTACCTGTGCAAAAGCTTCCAGAGTTTTGCCCGGCAGATCGAGCCACGCCACGATCATGTTGTGTACCAGTAATTAAAGTCCTCCCCGCTACAACAGCTGACACGGAACAAACAACACATTCAATTTAACGCTGATTTTACATGGAAAATATTGCTCACAGGTTTTGAGAATGTTTATGAAAATGAAAGATTAGAAATAAAATAATTTGTATTATGTGCGTCATATTGACACAGTTACAGTGTCACTCTGGCTGGAGGCCTTATTGATCCAATGCACCCCTGACACCTTGTTGGTATAAACCACCTTGAAAACTGTCATTAATCATGTCTGTCTGCAATTGCTCCTTAGATGCCTTCCAGGATGCCAGATCTGCCAGCAGCTAGTGCGGTAAGTTGTTGTTTTTGACGACTCAACTAAGCCTGAAAGGCAACAGAACCTCCTCAGGAACCAGTTGATATGAAAGCTTTGCATTCCTCACCTTTTTCTTTTCTAAAGAATGTGGGGAGATAAAAAAAAATGGATCAATGTCAGCAGTCTCCTGTAGGTTAGTCCGACATTATTGGATTTACCTCCCCTCCTTTTGAAGTTCCTGTCGTGTATTAAAAATCTGCATCACACCTCAATTAGTTTGCTTTCTCGCCTACTTTATAATGCAAGGAAATAAAATTAGATTTTGGAGCTACATGCTACACTCTGTACATTTGTTTTCTGGAACATAATGCCAATGTAGCATGCCTTTTACTATTTCATAATTATGATCACGTTTAATATCATTTTAGAAGCTGCTGAAAGGAGTCTAGTCCTGATGGTCTGACCTATATTGATGGACTTTTATTGAACTTCACTTAGAAATGCTGCTGCTATGTCCTCCAGGTGCTGCTGCGGCCGGCTGGTGCGCCAACATGCCGGCTTCACTGCAAGCTTGGCCACAAAGTACTCCGATGTGAAGTTGGGTGAAAACTCCAACCTGCCCGATCCAGAGGAGTGGTCGGTGGAAAAACACACAGAAGCGAGTCCAACTGATGCCTATGGTGTCATCAACTTCCAGGGAGGGTCTCACTCTTACAGAGCCAAGGTAGGGGGGCCTAGTTTCCTCTGCTGGCAGGCTTGGTTTCCTCTCTGGGAAGTTCATAAAGACGGGTGGATTCTCTGGTTCAACGTCATGTTTTAAGGGGAGCTTTGGTTTATTTCTCTGTTTTTTTTTTTTTTTCATAATTCTGTTTATTCAGTTCACAAGCATAAACTTCAGTTGAAGGTTTTCTAATTTTATTAGCAGAATTTAAAAGCTGTGCCGTTTTCCCTCTTTCTTTTTTTCCACAAACAGTATATGCGTTTGGCTCACGACACGCGGCCGGAGAGCATCCTACGGCTGATGCTAAAGGAGTGGCATATGGAGCTCCCCAAGATCCTCATTTCTGTCCATGGAGGAGTTCAGAACTTTGAGCTGCACCCTCGCATCAAACAGGTGGTGGGAAAGGGTCTCATCAAAGCTGCAGTCACAACTGGGGCCTGGATCCTCACCGGAGGCGTCAACACAGGCATGTAGTATAAAAAAAGGGCCCATCTTTGAGATGCCTCACTTAGATTTGATCAAATTTTCACTTTTATACTTAAAATGAATAAATATATCCAACTAAAGATTAGATTTCTAAAATTGAAGCCTCCTCCTAATTAAGTATGTTTGGGTTTGCCCTGTTAGAAAGGAGAGATGTGAACTGTAAACAAACATGGACACTGTAAACATTAAGCCACCATTAGCATGTGGCGCTGATGCAGCAGAAGTTGTAATAGCGGCCTAGCAGCATGTCATTTGGGTGTGAATCGCGGCTGAGGTGTGTCTGCCACCACAGCAGGATGCTAAGATGCTGTGGTCTGATCATAGTGTTTAAGTCATTACTCACAAGGTCAATTACCCAGACCAGTGATTACTCCTAATGCCTCATTGGCACCCTGGCCACCTATGATGCCTGTCTAGCTCACAAACTATTGCTGAATCCAAGAGATCCAGTAGTGGAGGCCTGTGGTTCATAAGCTTCTTGTGGACTTGTCCTATAGGTAGAAATCTGCTCATAAAAGCTATGTTGTGGTGTTTTTTTTTTTTTTTTTTTATCCAAAGGTGTGGCAAAGCATGTTGGGGATGCGCTAAAGGAGCACTGCTCAAGATCATCAAAGAGAATCTACACAATTGGTGTCGCCCCGTGGGGAGTGATTGAAAACAGGAGCGATCTCATTGGCAGAGACGTAAGGAGCAGCTTTTGGCTCAAAGTGATCCACGCTGATTTTCAGCCACTGTTTAATTCTGATGTTCATTTCTGCATATTTTTGTTTTTGTTTGTTCTTCTTCCCCAAATGCAGATTATTGTTCCGTATCAGACCCTGCTGAATCCTCTTAGTAAGCTGAACGTTCTGAATAATCTTCACTCCCATTTCCTTCTGGTGGATGATGGGACTGTGGGCAGATATGGAGCGGAGGTCAAACTGAGGCGGGAGCTGGAGAAACATGTTAACCTGCAAAGAATACACGCACGTAAGGGAAAAAAAATGCACGGTTGTTGTGAAAGACCCACTGATTATATGGAGCTAGATCTGTCTCAATTTTCCCTAACACACATATGTGATCCACACATGCACAGAACGATTCACACAAGCACAAAAAAATCCACACACAAAGGACAAGATCCACACATGCACGACTGACGCAAGCACACGAGATCCACACATGCACAGCACGTGATTAGCCAAAGTATTCCTGATCCATAAACAATTATAAATTAGATTACAAAGTACCAGTGATCTTTAAATTTCACTGCATTTGTGTGGATTTTTGAGACTCACCTGATGTGCCTCGATACACAAATGCATTTTTTTATACGGCGGATGGTTTGCCAATCATAAGAAAGTACTCCATATGGGAGGACCCCCAGATCTTGTGTGCTTTCGTCAGTCGTTCTGTGCTTGTGTGGATCTTGTCCTCTGTGTGTGTGAATCGCAAAGGTGTATTTGTGAAAATTGAGACCGATCTAGCTCCATAGAATACAGCTATAAGCTGCCTAGTAAAGATTTTATGCTGGTTTTCTCTAACATGGATGGAAGACACTCGCTGACACTGTGACGCTGCCTCTCTTTGTGTATCATAACCTTTCTGGTGGATAAAAGCAGGACATAATCCAAGACCTCTCTAAACATATTTTCACTACTTTGAAATTAGCTATAAGAGGTTTAGCTGGTGTCACAGATGAGGTTTCTAAAATAAATGCCTTTCTCAAATTTGAGAGTAAATGCACGTCACAAATCATCATAGGATTTTCATTCATAAAATGTTTCTGTAAACTTTGTATCAGTTGGACAGACTAGATCTATAAAGATTAACCATAATACTCCAGTTTGACTTTGCTAACACATGAGAAATAATTATTTGTTTTTCTTATAGACTTTATTTTAATGTCTTTTAAAAGAATCTGTGTGAAGTGTAAGGTATTTTAGAATAGAGCAGTAAAAGTGAATGTGAAGGTAGTGTTTCCAACAAGGACATGGAGTTAGCCTGTGTTTTACTGGCAGTTTGTCTCTGCTTGGTGGAAACTATGTGATAGTGGGGAGATTGGTATTATCACCTCAACCTCTCACACAGTTTCTGAAATGCGCAGCTACTTTTAGAGAAAAAAAAGTTCCTTAGAGGAATTTCAGCAAAGAAAACCTTTGTTTGTTGTAGGCTTAGTGGGTTTTGGTAGAAGGTGCACTGAGGGGTCAGTTTGATTAAAAGGGTGAAATCTCCATGCAGGTTTTTGTCTTGTTTACCTGATTCGTTGGTGTTTATTTTATTTTTCTTAGGAATCGGTCAGGGTGTTCCTGTTGTAGCGCTGATCTTTGAGGGCGGTCCAAACGTGATCCTGACGGTGTTGGAGTACCTTCAGGAGAGCCCTCCCGTCCCTGTGGTGGTGTGTGAAGGGACCGGCCGAGCTGCTGACATATTGGCCTACGTCCACAAGCAAACAGAGGAGGGGGGGTAGGTTAAACACACGGAGCAGCAGGTTGGCCAAAGAACAGACCGCTCGGGTGACATGATTAATAGCTGAAAGACAAAACCAGAATAGAGAAGAAACAGATCAGTTTGTTATTGGCTGAATGAGGTTTAATTTAATGGGTTCTCATCATTCAATTTATTTACATTTGCATTTGTTTATATTTTTTTGTAATTATCAGCAAAATTGTTAAGAAATCAGATCTAACGATCTAGTTAGGAAATACTTAGCTGGTGATTGAGCCTAAACTAGAGGAAACTCCTAAATATGTCACAATATGACTCATTGAAGTCAGTTTATAAGAAACAAACTGGCATGTTGGTGCAATAGGATCATAATGAGATGAAAGAATAGAAGATGAAAAATATTATTAGGAATCTTAAGGTTGAAATCTCAAATCCAGAAATGAGGTGCCAGAGGAAGTAACGGCGTGAGCAGAGATTTCTCTGCTCACTGTTTAAGGTATAGGATAACACAGGGCTGTCCCTCCTCCACCTGTTGTTGCTTACAGATGGCAGCGCTGCTAAAAATAATAATGGTAGGACTCCAGAATATGAAGCAACTAATTTTATGATAACAAGCAGGGTCCAATTTTTTTTTTTACCTTTAAAGGGGTCATAGAATGCAAAATTGAGTTTACATTGTAGTAGATGAATAACAATAGTTCAGAGTGTGAAATGGATGTACAGAGAAGTTCAAACCCCATCGACACGGCCTTTCTATTCAAATCTCACAATTCCAATCCACCATAAAATGGGAGAATCCAAACGAAGCCCCGATTTGACATCAATTCGGGGACGGTGCCATAAAGATGTAAGAAACTAGTTAGTGTTCCTTGACAGTGTCGTTTCTAAGTCACCAATTTAGTGCTAGTTGGTCCCAATGGAATTTCCCATTGGAAACCTACTAGCACTAAGTTGCTAACTGGTTTCGACAAAGCATCTGGCTAACCAAATTTAAATAAAACAACGGCTAATACAACTATCTTGCCCCCTTAATAAACGACCAATCACATTCACTTTATTCACTCATGTAAAGTCGGGCACCACTCGGGAGAATTCTCAAATGCAACGGTTTGAACAGCCGCTTTCCTACGACTTCAAATTGCGTTTCCCTCAAACAAAGCTGTGTTCCCCAGATCACGTGTCAATCCCTGCCTCCTTACCCTTTATCACTGGATATTCCCAGGTCCTTCCGCTCCGTGACATACTAACCAATTTAAAAGAAATGCCCTTTCTGTTCAGGTTCTACTTATCAGATTTTTATTCTTGTCTGAAATAGCTCAGCAGTGAGGAGTTCTTTTACAAAGACGTGATGTCAGCTTTGAAGTAGTTATTAATACCCAGTAAAGGTTAATTTAGTTGACTGTAACCTGTGAGGAGTTTACAAACATTAGTTTGGCATGTGGGTTACCTCATTGTTCTTGTTGCGGCCTGCCCGGTTTCCTCGAAATGAGAGCTGCAGCTCTTTGAATTTAATGATGCTCTCAATGTTCCACATTCTTAGATCTTGTGGAAACAGGTTTGTGTTCGGTATGTCCTGTACGACTCATAAATGTTGCCTTTTTTAAAGCAAATGTTTTGATTTGAGATGGAACAAATACTGGTGCTTAATATGGGAGGTCACATATAAACACATTGTCCTGTTTATCACTTGGTGCAGCTTGACTTGTAATCAAATGATACCAAGAGTGATCTACTGTAGTAGATCTCTGTAATCTACAATTCATTTTACTGTTAACCCTTTAAGCCAGACTAGACCAGGCCCATCTGACACCAGCAGAGGTCTATCTATTTATAGAAATGGCCTAAACACAGTCACATGGCGTTTCAGCCACACGCCTTTCAAATGGGCCTTTAAAATTTCGTATTTCAAAAATACTTTGCCTTATACAGAAGATCTCCAATAATGAAAATCAGCATATTTGTCTGACCAGATTCCCTTTTGTGAGTGGGAAAAAGTCATTTTTGCATATTATGGCCACTTTTGGCACCACTGTGCCAAAATCACGTTTCCACCTAGCACACTGCCCACTAAAACTTTATTGGAATAAACGTGTTCCAACTTATTCAGTCCAAATTTGCTTCAGTTATGGTCAAGAGTTTTGATCTACAAAGTCTGAGGGTTCATCCAGAGTTTCAAATGGGTTTTCATGGTGTTTTGCTGCATTTATTTTGGAAGAAATTTTGGCGGGGCTAAATTTTATTTATTTTTTTTTTCTTTAATCGACTATACATCAGACATGGTGACATTTAAAATAGTTTTTCCACCTGAAAAAATATCCCTCAATGCCTTTCTGTCACACAAATACTAACAATTGTATTTCAAATTTTTTTGTTTGGGAGCTGTACTTTATTTTATTCACATATGTAATTTCAGGCGGCATTTGCTCCTAAGACCCTCAGGGCTTAAGGGTCCAAAATCCATCTTATAAAACATTTAATTGTAGTGATTGTGTCTAAACAGTGTGACTCTAATCTACAGCGGCCTTCCTGATGGGGTGGAGACGGACATCATTGCAACCATCAAGAAAACGTTTAACTTCAGCCAGGGGGAAGCCATTCATCTCTTTCAGAAACTGATGGAGTGCATGAAAAGCAAAGAACTGGTAAAACTTAGTTCCCTTTTTCATGACACCAGAGCTGCTTACAAGCATCAAGCAGCCAGTTAGAATGGCGATCATAAAAAAGATGACATTACAGAAACTTAAGTTGTTTCTTTTATCACAGACAACGAGCCCTTTAGTTTTAGATAATGAGCTTTATTTATTTTTCCTTCTGTATAATTATTCACAGCGTTAAAGCTGTTCCTGGAGCCGGTGGCTTTTCATGCTTCCAACCGCTCCATTTGAATCCTCTTTAGTTTGATGACCTTTGAGCCAGAAGTTTAACTCTGAGCAGCTGAGGACTCCCGTGTTAGTAGTTTAAACTGATGGCAGGGTGAAATAACTGGGAACATCTGGATAGGATCTGTGGGAACCTGCTACTAATCCTTATCTTGTTTCTTGGTCAACAGATCACAGTGTTTCACATCAGCTCAGAGGAACACCAGGACATTGATGTAGCTATTCTGAGGGCCTTGCTCCAAGGTTTGTGCGTCCTGCATTGTATTCTCCAGCTCGTCTAATAAAAGAACTCAGAAGCAGATTAAATGGAGTCATATACTGCAATTTGTGGTATTTAGATTTTAATATAGCTTTTTTTGTGTGTGTGTTTTCATTCTGACATGGATATGCTTTGAGAACAGTTCCCCCTCTGTGCCCTTCTGTTTCTGCTCATGATGGGATCATGTTGCTAACATTCATTTGAACTCCTTATTCCAACAGTCTCTGAATGCCTTGTGGCAGTGATGCAGGGATTCTTAGTTTCTGTACCTGCTTATACTCATTAAAAGGAGAAAAGTAAAAGAATCCCTCGGAGCACATTTTTGCTACTGGTTCACTCTCATTCCTCCTCATTGCCTATAAAGACTGGAACCCCTGCATGTTTTACTCGATGGTTTAGAGAAACCGGTTTAGCCTATCCAGAGATAAAGCTGCAGTGTGTTCTGGAGGCACCCAGTCAGGTCTGTATTGTTTTGCTCGAAGGTGCAGTCACCTTAGCAGAATGGAAAAAAGCACCGGGTGTTCAAAGGTATTCCAAGCGTTTAAAGTCATTAGATCTTACACAGAAGGGGATTCTGTTTTCCACAAAGTTGCAACTTATGCAATCCCCTGTTAATTACAGTGAAACGAAAAGGGAGAGACCGTATTGGAAGCATGCAATACATTGATATTAATTAGGTTGTTTTTTAGCAGACGACAAATCAAAATTTCTTTTGTTGGGCAGAAGCTCGGATTTCTATTGAAATGGTGAATTGACATCCAGATTATGTGTTCTAGACTGTTTTGTTTCAGTTTAAATGATGAAGCCACTGCTTGAATAGTTTTTTTTTTTTTCTGTAAATCGTTAGCCTAGTAAACTAGCCCCACCCACCAGCGGTCAAAATAATTTTTTGCCTGTGAGTGGTCTAGCCTTGATCAATGCCCCGAGCCCTAGAACTGCCGGGCCAATCAGAACTCAGATATGTTATGAATTTCTGGATGAAAAGCGGGCGGGGTTTTGAGGGTGTAATGACAAAGCTGCGCGATACTGGAGAAAGCACAACAAGGAAGATGGCAACAACTATTGAACAGTGCTCGTTTGACTCAGCTTTGGAATCAGTTTTATGAAGGGTTAGACTTTGGGTTTTTGATGAAACGAGAGCAGGAATAGGCTCTATGCTCAGAAGGACGTATTCGCCGTTTTTACCGACAGGCTGTTTGTTTACACTCCCCCACCAGCTTTCTGTCACGCTTACTACGCCACAGTCAGTTGCACTCATTGGTCAGAGCGTTGGCCAATCGGCACAGACATGGTTTGAAAAACAACGGGTTGTTCTCATCAACAATCTTTCGATGTCTTATTCATTCATCCAGCCAGACTAAATTACACATTTTAATCTTGCATTTAGTCCGATTTATCAGGCTAGTAAATCGTAGCAGTTTAAACACAAAATAAAACCTAGACAAAAGTATATTAAAACTGTCAGAGCTCGCTTCTTTTAGGACTTTTTTTACTCTGGGTGGAAATCCTTAGTAGAGCTCTTTTCTGTGGGCTCATAAAAACTCCTGGATCAGAACCCTGCCATGTTGGCCGGGTCCTTCGACGACCTCACGCGATTAAGGCTGGAAGTGACCGGCTGTGATTGGGACGGTCTAGCCTTCCTCAGCTCACCTCGGCATAACTGAAGTCTAATCCTGTAAGTTATAATACCAGCGTAACCATGACAGCATGAGGCATGGACCTATGAGGGGTAAACACAATCTTTTTAATGTAATTTATTCTGAGATGCATCTTATTTATCAGAGGAAAGCTGAAATCTTAGAAAATCCAAATTGATATGGCATCATTGTTGTTGTGACTGGTCTAAGAGAAGAGTAAGGGCAATAAATGCTATATAGCAAAGGTTAAGGTAAAGCGTGCATAAATTATTATTTAGATGAAGAAAGGGTCTGTATTTTCATTTTTAACGGAATATGTCAGCAAACAGTACATTCCTTCAGCATTTAGTGATTTGATGATTTCTAGCAACACTGCTAACTTTCTTTTCCAATTGTTGCTGTTTAAGAAAATTCGTAATGCCCCTTGAAATTTTTCTGTGTTCCCATTTATTTTTTCATTTGGGAACACTAGTGCTTCTGTAAAAAAAAAAAACCCTGCTGCTTTAATTCAATAAATAAATGTTATCATAGATTTAATTATGTTATAACTCTAAACATTTTTTTTTTTTTTTTTTTACAACTTGTAGACTCTAATGCTATAAAGCAGGCATCCCAAAAGTCGGTCCTCGAGGGCCGCTGTCCTGCAGGTTTTAGAGGTTTCTCTGCTTCAGCACAGTTGATTCTGATGATTGCAGTTCAGCAAAAGCATGTTAATCAACTATCAATGTAAATCAGCAGTGCTGGAGCAGGGAAACCTCTAAAACCTGCAGGACAGCGGCCCTCGAGGAACGACTTTGGGGATGCCTGCTATAAAGGATCTTCTGCAGCAGTCTGTCTTACAGCGGTTCTGAAAAAGCCTCTGACTGAAGAAGACCCTGGTTTACAGTCAACCTTTTAGGCTTCTTCCTTTAAAACCCCTTTTAAAATATGCTCTAACTTCATCCGTTGGAGCACTCTAAAACCTTTCTAAGCCGATATGTAACGGAGAATCAGCAGCACTCTCCACCATGTTTGCTCTGAATATGTAGCTATGTTATTTATCAAAGACAGCTCTGATTAATGCCATGCACAGACTCTGCTGCAGACAGCTATCACTTACCGTATTTTCACGACCATAAGGCGCACCGTACTAAAATGCGCACTCTCAGTTATGTGTGCCATTTCTGTATTTAACACACGCATAAGGCGCACCGGACTATAGGGCGCGTTTTTTATATACAGGTACATGACCTCTACTACCTTTAAATACCTCTACTGCGTATTTAAAAATACAGCGGGCCCAAAACTGAGTATGACTGTGCTTTATTCATGTATTTATTACAAAGTATTAATCAAACCTTGGAGCTGGCCATGAGACAGACACATCGCAGATGACAGGGCGCTGTGGTCACTCCTAAATTAACTTAAAATCCTGAAACCTGCCGACGGAATATGTTCGCTTTTATTACCGGTATCCTGGTGCCTGCAGTTGAAATTATTTAGATGAAAAACACCTGCCAGCCGCCGCGGTGAACCCGGAGGCTGCCCAGCCTAGAGGCTGCTGATGAAGGGATTTCTACTGCTGGTGTACCGCTGGTATGTGGGGGTCTGAGCGCCTCCGACAGAAATAGATAATCTGGATGAACTGACTGCAATTATTAAGTTTTCAGGTGGCCTTTCTCACCTAAAAACATATTAAAACTACTTTATTCCCACTGATCACAGCAAATATAGCTGCAAGATTTAGATTATTTAGATGAAAAACACCTGCCAGTTTTCGCGGTGAAACCGGAGGAGACTGATTAAACAGCTGCGCTAAATCAGACATGCCAATTTCCCCTTCTTCTCTGTCAGAGTCACTTTCCGTGCCGGGCGGCTCCTCAGAAATAATGCCGGCTTTTGCGAAAGCTCAAACAACAGTGCCAGCAGACATGTTAGTCCAAGCATCAACAATCCATCCGCAAACGGTGGCGTAACTTGCCCGGCGCTGCCTTCCACTTATCCTGAAACTGTGGTCTCCGTCGGTCATCCATCGCTCCCACGCCGCTCGCAGCCTTACTTTGAACGGACGGTTCACACCGATGTCGAGCGGTGGAAGTTCCTTTGTCAGACCCCCGAGATAACGGCGAGCACAGCGTTTATTTTTTTTCACCATGTTTTTCACATCAGCTGTGAGATGGGCACGCATGGAGTCACATATTAAAAGCGACGGTGATGCGTGGAAAAAACCACCTGGTCTCCTTACATACACCTGCCTCAGCCACGCTTTCATCATCTCCTCATCCATCCAGCCCTTTTCATTTGCGTTAATATCATATGTCATCAGAGCGCTGTGTCTGTCTCGCTGTCAGCTCCCAGATCAGCTTCTCTGATTCGTTGATGTGGCGCTTTCAGCAGCAAAACTTCAATTTTTCCATCTCGAGCAGCAGCAGCGCGTTGGCGGTGCGTTGGCGGCGCGCTCCCGACGCGCTGCGCCTGCTGCTCAAAACGCGCTGCGGGACCTTTTGCTGCGTCTATACGCTCGTCAACCGTTGACTTTGCATGTAAACTCGCTGCTTCTGCTGCGTCCGGTTCACACCGAGCACAGAATTAATTTGTTTCACCATGTTTTTCACATCAGCTGTGAGATGGGCAGGCATGGAGTCAGATTAACAGCGATGGTGTGGTGATGAGTGGAAAAAAAAACACCTGGTCTCCTTACATTCACCTCCCTCAGCCACTCTTTCATCATCTCCTCAATGAGGTGGTCTCAAAAGTCGCAGTTGCAACACACATAAGGCGCACCGCACCAAAGGGAGCACCGCACATTTTGAGGGGAAAAAAAGACGTTTATGTGCGCCTTATAGTCGTGAAAATACGGTATATCATCTCATTGTAATAGTGATGAGCTTGTTGTGTTTTCTAGTCGTCTGAACTAGATGGCTTTCAGAGGCCACTAAGCTGATCTCTATGAAAGATATCAGCACATCGATCATGGATGATCTCTCCTAATCTGAAGCCGTTTCTCTCTTTCTTTGGACCTGTTCTAACTGTTTATAACCCTTCAGCTAAAACAGGAGTTTAAGTTTTCATTTGTTTCTGAATAAATGTGTTTATTTGACTGTAACACCAGTGACACCGTTTGTTTCAGGCACTAATGCATCTGCCTTCGATCAGCTTGTCCTGACTCTGGCCTGGGACCGTGTAGACATCGCCAAGAACCACGTGTTTGTGTACGGGCAGCAGCTTCTGGTACGTCCACACGTTTGTTTGTTTGTGTGAGCGAGCCACGGCTCCCAGGGATGTTTGCTCAGCTCAGCATCGGCTAAAAAAACCTTTGGACTCCAGCGGATCGACCTTGGAGTCCCTGATGGCTACAGATTTTTGGGCAGGCTGCCAGGAGCTGCTTGTCTTGGCTGTAACATGAACCCCATTACATTTGTTTACATGAGTGACTCTATGTGCTTGTTTTTAAATCTGGACTCCTACGTAAATAAGAGGATGGATATTTGTTTTGGTTTTCATTTAGCCACATATTTAGTCTTTTCTCTCAATATATTTGTTTTTCAAATGATGATATGCAATAAAAATATACTTCATAGCTGTCTTATAATTTTAGTTTATTGTTTTTAGGTGAGCTCTTTAGAACAAGCCATGCTGGATGCTCTCATCATGGACCGGGTGGATTTTGTAAAGCTGCTCATAGAAAATGGTGTTAGCATGCACCGTTTCCTGACAATCAGTCGCCTAGAGGAGCTCTACAACACGGTAACCTTCACGAAATACGTATCCACTCGTTCATCCTTAAATACTAACCTACATGTGTTTGAGTTTTCTTTCTATTTGATCTGTTTCAGAAACAACCTCCCAACAACCCAACTCTGCTCCACCTAGTTAGAGATGTTAAACAGGTACAGTTTCTAACTCCTAACTCTTGATTTAATTTGCTTGAAGCAGCCTTTCCTAACGTTTTGTGGTTTGTGTGTTGCAGAGTAACCTCCCCCCAAACTATAAAATTACTTTGATCGACATTGGCCTGGTCATTGAGTTCCTGATGGGTGGCACTTACAGGTGCAACTACACCAGGAAGCGCTTCCGAATCATTTACCACAATCTTCATGGTGACAGCCGGGTGAGTGATATGAGAAGCTAATTCTGCTTCAAACATCTTCTTCAATCATTTCCAAAGAGGCAAAAAAGGGGTAATTGTCTCATAGACTGGTGATTGATTTAGGACAGGAAAACCTGGCTGGTTTGATCTGTAGGACAGGATTTTATAATTTCATCTTTTGTCATTAAAGTTGGGATGGAATGAAGTTATTTTTAAATGTTTGTGTTCGGCGCAGAGGTCTGGGCGATATGGTGCAGGTCCTGGCTCTCATCTGAGAAAAAGTCATGAGACTTTCAGCATGCAGGCTGACAAGAAGGAGAAGACGAGACACAATCAGTTCATCAAGACCGCACAGCCCTACAAACCCAAGGTAAACCCTGCTGCTGCTCAGTAGTAAACACGTTTCTTTCAAACACATTCCTTCGCTTTAAAAGTTTACTTTTTTTTGCTTCCATTAAGTCTGATGAAACAGTAACAGCCTTGTTCTCTTTGGCTTTCCCCACCTCATTGTTTTCAGCTGCAGCCTACCGCTGAGCAGAACAAGAAAAGAAACAAAGAGGAGATAGTGGATATCGACGACCCAGAGACGCGCCGCTTCTCCTACCCTTTCAATGAGCTCTTAGTTTGGGCTGTACTGATGAAGAGACAGAAAATGTCTCTCTTCTTCTGGCAGCATGGGGAGGAGAACATGGCCAAGGCGCTCGTAGCTTGTAAACTCTGCCGCTCGATGAGCTACGAGGCCAAAAAGAGCGACGTGGTGGACGACACTTCAGAGGAGCTTAAAGAGTACTCAAAGTAAGGTGTCAAAGCATTCAGAAATGAATCATTTTTGGAGCAATATCATGGCTTTAACAACCTTTATGTGTATCAGTGAGTTTGGGACGCTTGCAGTGGACCTGTTGGAGCAGTCCTTCAGGCAGGATGAGACCATGGCCATGAAGCTGCTGACTTATGAGCTGAAGAACTGGAGTAACTCCACCTGTTTGAAGCTGGCCGTCTCCTCACATCTGCGGCCTTTTGTCGCTCACACCTGCACCCAGATGCTGCTGTCAGACATGTGGATGGGTCGGCTGAACATGCGCAAGAACTCCTGGTACAAGGTTCATGCTCCATCTAGATCTCATTTTTTGTTGCAAGCAGATGGTCTGGCTGAGTTGTAGCTTCTAATGTGACTTCCACTTGTATCTCATCTATAATATGATTCTGATTGGACGAATTTTTTGAAAAAGTTTCATGTATGTCTGTAAATGAACTTACTAACTACACTTAATGAAAAGGCAACATTTAAGTCTCTAACAAAGTTCTAAACCCATTTTTTAACACAGAAATGCTGCCTCACTGAATAATAAGTCTTTAGATGCACCGTTTCCATGTAGTGCTGTGTTCATGCGGCATCGCATGGAGCGGCCGGCCACTGACCGCTGAGGTGTTGCAGAAGAGACAAGAGGCTTTAATGCAGCGTTGGTGTTTTTTAGTTCCCTTTCAATAATCATCCGTAGATCCTCTGCAGTGTTTAGGTCAGGCTAGATCTGTCTAAATAAACTGTTACCATGGCGATTGTACATTATGGTCGTCACTGTAGTGCTAGGCGATATGGTGATATAACAAACATATCACAAAATAAGGTTTCATATTGGTTAATATTGATAATTATTGCATTTTTTTTTGATACTATGCAAATAAAGACCAGGAGGGAAAAAAAGGCTGAATTTACCTTAAAAGGAATTTATTTTAAATTTAACCTTTGGCTGTTCCCATTCAAAAATTACACAACACAAGAAATAATTGTTAGATAAAATTTTAAAAGCTCAAATGTGCAAAAAGTTTAGCAAATAATATTTTATTCATTAATGATTTTATCATATGACGCTAATGCTTTGTACCTCAACGTTGGTCTGCTGCTCCGTTTGTACCGGAATAAGACAAAAGTTTATGATGGCTTTAGGTTATTGTACTCCAGTGGAGTCAGACCAGCATATCCATAGTCCATACCCATTTATCCCTTTATTTTTGTATGAAAAATAGACTTTAAACTACCTTAACAGGTGTGTATCCCTTTAGTCATGTGCAAAAAAGGTATTTAATTACTTAGTTTTTGGTGTTTTTTGAAGCCTATGGCGATCTGACCTTAAATTGTCTTTTTTTTTTCTACATCACTAAAGGGATACACAACCTTTGAGGTAGTTTAAAGTCTATTTTTCGTACAAAAGTAAAGTGATCAACGCATATCTGACATCTTATGTCTAACGGGGTTTGTTCATCTGACAGAACACCGGCTCAGGTGATAAAATAAGTTTGTAGTATTGCCTGATTTGGTCGGCATGGTGACCGGGCATGATTCTTTAGCGTTAGCATCATTCTAACTCTTGTTGGACTTCAATTATACAAAATACGAGCACACTGGTGACAACACCTTTCCTGTTTTTGCTCATTGTCTCCCTGTAGTGTTTCCAACCTCGAAAATGTTGGTGACACCGAGTTAAACCGCTAATGAAGACCCAGGTGCGATTCAAGCGTGTTTATTGCCTTCATCGAAATGCGGTGAAAACTGTAATAACAGAAAATAAACTCAATCTCTATACATAGAGTCGTTGCATACAAAATAAAAGTGCATCAAACTGAATAAAGTGACATTTCAGCATAATCAACAACATAATGCAACTTACGGCATTCCTGTCTGATAATTCAGCGTGGATGGCATCAGATTTCACGTTTCCATACCGTTTGCAGCACATGGACCTCTCTGTTTCCTAGCGAAACCCGGAACCGGAAGTGCGTCACCGCAAACCGGAAGTAGATTTTACCGATAATATTTTTCTATAAAAACGTAAATAAACTATGAATTATACATCTATTCAACTTCTAATCACTTTTAGCAGCATTAAAACATTTTTTAATATTATTTCTTTAACCCATGAACTTATCTATTTAACAAAATGCCTTAAAGGCAACACACTCCCCGCCTGGCCTCCTGAGGCCACTGTACTAAACAAACATTATACATTCAGTCCTTTGGCATGAGAAGAATAACCTCAGTAACCGGTCGCATAAAAGTCTTTACACAGCCTTGGTCCCATGCCTTCACCTCGATCGTCCGTGCCTGGGAAAGTGGCAGTGACTCTTGCCATGGGCCAGCTGTTCCGTGTGACCTGCTTGTCCTTAAGCAGAACCAGATCACCGACTTGGAGGTTTCTGCGGGATACGGTCCATTTCTGCCTTTGTTGCAGTGTGGGCAAATACTCTCGCCTCCAGCGGGTCCAAAACTGATTTGAAAGAGCTTGGACCTGCCTCCATTGCTTGGTGTAAAGGTCTTTGTCCAGGAAGTCTCCAGGGGGTGGTAAAAGGCAAGATTTCTGTGTAAGGAGTGTTGAGGGAGATAGGATAAAGGGGTTCTCTGGATCAGAGGAAACTGGGAGGAGTGTTCTTGCATTTATGATGGCTGTGATTTCGGCCATGAGTGTGGACAACACTTCGTGAGTCAGTTGCGACTTATTTTGAAGTAGCATAGAGTCCAGGATTCTGCGGGCGACGCCGATCATGCGCTCCCAAGAGCCTCCCATGTGTGAGGCATGTGGCGGATTGAATTCCCAGGTACAACCTTGATCTGATAGATATTGTTGCATTGATTTGTCCATTCCTAGTTCTTTCGAAGCTCCAATGAAATTGGTGCCACGATCGGATAGCAGCTGTTTGGCGGGGCCTCTTAGTGCAAAGAAACGACGTAGGGCGTTAATGCAGCTGGATGTGTCTAGAGATTCGATCACCTCTATATGCACAGCTCTCGAACTCATGCAGGTGAACATGATAGCCCAACGCTTGCTTTCGGCTTGTCCGCCCCTGGTACGCCTTGTTATAGTCCAAGGCCCAAAAACATCAAGGCCAACGTAGGTGAAAGGAGGACATGTTTTGAGGCGTTCGGGTGGTAGGTCTGCCATGCGTTGTTGTTCCTGTTGTCCGTGCAGCTTGCGGCAGATTATGCATTTGTGGATTACTGAGTTTACTAGTCTTTTGCCGCCAATGAGCCACAAACCTGCAGCCCTGATTGCTCCTTCCGTCAGATGACGGCCTTGGTGTTTCACCAACTCGTGGTGGTGACGAGTGAGCAGAAGGGAGATGTGACTGTCTTTGGGGAGAATTACTGGGCTTTTCTCAAAGTTCTCGATTTCGGAGTGTTTGAGTCTGCCTCCCACGGTAATGAGACCGTTCTGTAGGACTGGGCTGAGCTTTTGTAGGGGGCTCTGTTTTGAGACTGGCTTTCCAGTGTTAAGAGCAGAAAGCTCCTTTTGAAAGTGAGCCTTTTGTGTCTCTTTCAGAATAACGTTCTTTGCTTGAGCTATTTCCTCTGCAGTACGTGGGAGGTGGCATCTGTGCCAACCTTTGCATACGCTGTTTGGGTTAGTCCCATTGAAGGATTTTGCAATGTGGATAAGATTTGCTATTGCTCTGACCAACGACTTGAATGTTGAAAACATCTTGAAGCGTTTACTGCTTAGTACTTGGAGATGAGTGGCGTAAGTTTTGACTTGAGGCCTGATTTCAGAGTCTTTGTCTGGTTCGATCAGCTCAAATGTTTCACTGACATGTGTTGTTTCCACAGAAGAATGGTGTATGAAGGACGGTTCAGTGAACCATGTGGACTTTGTGAGTTGAGCTGCTGGCAAGGACCTTGACGCATGGTCTGCTGGGTTTTCCTCTGTGCGCACATAATACCACTGCTCCGGCTTTGAAGACTGGCGAATGCGCTGTACTCTGTTGTGGACATATGTGTAGAATCTTTTTGACTCGTTACAGATGTAGCCTAGTACTACCTTACTGTCTGAATAAAAGCGCACTGCATCGAACTGTAGATCTAACTCATCTTGAATGAGATCAGCCATTTCTACTGCCAAGACGGCTGCGCACAGTTCTAGTCTCGGAATAGTAGGTTCTGACAAGGGAGCTAGCTTTGCTTTGCCCATTATGAATCCGACCTCAACTTTGCCGTCTGTTTGAACTGCTTTCAAGTAGGCTACGGCTCCTATCGCCTTAGTTGATGCGTCTGAGAATAGGCATAGTTCTTTGTGCGTTGTTTTACTGAGTGAGGTAGAAGTGTAGGTCCTAGGAACATGTAGATCCTTTAGGTCCTGAAGGGAATTTCTCCATGTTTCCCATTTACCTTGTTTGTCCACTGGAAGAGGTGTGTCCCAATCCGAGTTTTCTGAAGTGAGTTCTCTGAGTAGAGCTCTTCCTTGGATTGTGATAGGTGCTAATAGGCCCAGAGGATCAAAGACACTATTAACAGCCGACAGAACGCCACGCCGAGTGAATGGTTTGTTTGTGGTGGCCACTGGGTAAGTGAACGTGTCCGTTGTTATTTCCCGGATGAGGCCAAGGCTTCGCTGAGATTGTGTTTCTTCACCACCTAAATCTAGATCCTTAATTACTGGTGCACAATCTTCAGGGCAAAAGGCCTGCATGACTGCCTGTGAGTTAGATGCAAACTTATGCAGGCGCAGATTGGATTCTGCGAGTGAGGCTTGTGTTCTTTGCAACAAGTCTATAGCCTCAGCAGGAGAGGGCAAAGAGATCAAGCCATCATCTACATAAAAGTGCCTCTCCACAAAGTTGACTGTGTCAGCACCATATTCCTTTGCACCTGCTTTAATGGCTTTGCGTAGTCCGGCAACTGCGGCAACTGCGGGAGATGGTGAGTTTCCAAATACATGAACTTTCATGCGATAGTCAATAACTTCCTTGTTTACATCGTCCTTATGCCACAGAAAACGGATGAAGTTACGGTGGTCCTCACACACCATAAAGCAGTGGAACATTTGCTGTATATCTGCCATGACAGCAATGCTCTCTGTCCTGAAGCGGAGGGCTCCAATGAGCGTATTGTTTAGATCGGGACCAGTGAGGAGAACACTGTTGAGTGAGACACCGGTGTACTGGGCACTAGAATCAAAAACAATCCTGATCTGATTTGGCTTTTTTGGGTGGTAAACTCCGAATGTTGGGAGATACCAACACTCCTCTCCCTGTTTTACTGGAGGAGCCACTTCTGCGTGACCATTGGAGAAGATCTTTTCCATAAATGCCAAATATTGTCCCTGCATATCAGGTTTCCTATTTAGGTTGCGTTTTAGGGATGAGAACCTACTGACTGCCTGCTCTCTATTGTTTGGCAATCGCTGGCGCGGTTCTTTGAAAGGAAGCGGGGCGACCCAACTGTTGTCCTCGTCTCTGTACATAGCATTGTCCATTATTTCTAGGAACAGAGTGTCTTGTATTGAGAGAGCTGGTTTATTATCATTTTCTGTCCGACTGAACACTGTTTGTCCCAGGGTTTGTTCAGATGCTTTACCTGGCCTATTTGTGTGTGACATTTCTTCGAGTTGCATAAGGCTGTCACATGGACTGAAAACTGTAGGACGGCCATTTTCCAGAACGACAGTTTTGAGAGTGCTAACTGTGGGTCTATGAACTTTACCCAGACACACCTCCCCAACTACAACCCACTCTAGATCTAAGCGTTGGGCGAAGGGTGCGTTATGGGGGCCATTGACTCTCTGCCTGACCTTGTGAGCACGTAAAACATCTCGCCCTAGCAGCAGGAGTATTTCAGCATTTGGGTCTAGCTCTGGGATGTACTCGGCTATATGCTGAAGGTGTGGCTGGCATAGCACTGCACTAGGGGTTGGGATTTCACTCCTATTGTTGGGAATGTCCTGACACTCGATAAGCGGAGGTAGAGGGATAACCACTGATCCATCTAGTGACTCAACCTGAAAGCCTTCAGCCATTTTACCCCAAGTTTCTGCAATACCAGAGCATGTCCTAAGGTGGTAGGAGAAGGGTTCGGTTTTAATGTCAAAAAGTTCAAAGAACTCTGGCCTGGCCAAGGAACGATTACTCTGATCATCTAATATTACATAAGCTTTCATAGCTCTGTCCTTGTAACCTTTAGGGTACACCCATGTGAGACATATCTTAGAACATGAACGACCCCACTGACCTGGACCACACACGTCTGTGCAGCTTGTTGTGACGTTGACTGTGTCGGGACTGTTTTCTCCCTCCCCGCCATTCTCTTGTGCAGGTGGAGGAGCCTTGTTAGCCTGTGGTGGAGGACCAGGATGCATGACTGTGTCGTGTCTTGTACTATCACATTCAGAGCACTTTACTGTAGCCTTACAGTCCTTAGCAAGATGAGTGTCTGAAGAGCAGCATCTGAAGCATATTCCTTTCTCTTTGAGGAAGGCCTTTCTCTCGTCGAGCAGTTTGTTCCTAAACGTTCTGCATTTTTTGAGCGGATGTGGCTTGTTATGCAGCGGGCAGTTCCTGTTGATGTCCTTGTTGGGGGGTGAAACATCGGTTTTGTGCACAGTTATTGGTCTACTTGTGTTACTTGTATTAAAGTTCTTTAAGTAAGGTTTTTCTGGTTTATAATGTGTTTGGCTGTTTTGTTGGTTGAAACTAGGATCGTTGCGTTTCTTTGCCTCTTTGCTTATGAATTTACAGAAATAGTCAAAAGGTGGGAAACAGCCATTATTTTCCTCCTTGTATTGAGAGCCGTGTGACATCCACTTCTCCTGAAGTCCGAATGGAAGTTTGTCTACGACTGGTCCGATTCCGTGAGAAGTGTCCAGATACAGTAGGCCAGGGAGATATCAGTCTTCCTTGGCGCCTTGAATCTCTTGCAAGAGATCCCCTAGCTCACGGAGTTTGACATGATCCTTGACTGTAATTTTGGGAAAACTGTCCAATCGCTGGAAAAGTGACTTTTCGATTATTTCGGGTGCTGCATAACATTCGTTTAGTCTCTCCCATGCTTTGCTCAAGGCTAATGTGGGGTTGTTGACGTATACTGAGCGTATGCGTTTTACCTGGTCACTTGACTCCTTTCCCAACCATTTTGTCATGAGATCCAGCTCTTGAATGGGACTGATTTGAACCTCGGCTGTGGCACTAGTAAATGAAGAGCACCATGCTCTGAAATTCTCTGGCCTATCGTCAAATTGGTAAAGGCCTGAAGTGATGAGATCTCGGCGTGCCATATACTGGGCAAATGGCTCAGCTGGATGTGAGATACTGGCCGGTGCGTAATAGTGAGGCGTGAATGGGGAGCTGAATGGGTTGAGAGAGGTATTTGGTTTCTCTAATTTGAATTTAGTTTCACCTCTAAACTGGCTGGGCATGCTGTGATTAGTCAAGGCAGCAACATTGTACTTAGTAAGCTTGGGTTCAGAATTAATGGGTGGCGGCTCTAAATTGCCTTCTTCTGGGGGATGCCATGTTACAAAGGTGTTGGGTGAGCTTACTTGTGGGCGCGAGGTGGTCGGTATTTCTGGAGCAGACTGTGATTGTTCAATGTCCCTTTGAGATCGCACATATTTGCTTGTACGTTCTATTTTGACTTTTTCAGATGATTTCCTGCTCTCTGGCTCCTCTTGTATTGCCTCAGCTTCTTCTAGCACTTGTGCCTCAGCTACTGCAGCATTAGCTTCTCTTTGCAACGTTAACGTTTCCAATTCTGCATCTATTTTAGCCTTTTCCAGATCACTTCGTGCTTTTTCCACTTTCAATTGTGCTTCTTTACTTGCATAGAGAGCTCTAACCTTAGCAGCTTCTGCTTTAGCTCGAGCGTGGGCAGCGCTTGCTGCTGATCCAGACGAGTGGCCGGTCCTGAAGCTGCGTGCAGACTTGTTGCTGGTAGCCATTTTGACCGCGATGAATAATCGAATGGTGCCTTTTCACTGTAGTGTTTTCAACCTCGAAAATGTTGGTGACACCGAGTTAAACCGCTAATGAAGACCCAGGTGCGATTCAAGCGTTTTTATTGCCTTCATTGAAATGCGGTGAAAACTGTAATAACAGAAAATAAACTCAATCTCTATACATAGAGTCGTTGCATACAAAATAAAAGTGCATCAAACTGAATAAAGTGACATTTCAGCATAATCAACAACATAATGCAACTTACGGCATTCCTGTCTGATAATTCAGCGTGGATGGCATCAGATTTCACGTTTCCATACCGTTTGCAGCACATGGACCTCTCTGTTTCCTAGCGAAACCCGGAACCGGAAGTGCGTCACCGCAAACCGGAAGTAGATTTTACCGATAATATTTTTCTATAAAAACGTAAATAAACTATGAATTATAAATCTATTCAACTTCTAATCACTTTTAGCAGCATTAAAACAGTTTTTAATATTTCTTTAACCCATGAACTTATCTATTTAACAAAATGCCTTAAAGGCAACACACTCCCCTTGTGCTAGGAATCGCATTCCCTCTAACCATCCACTCTAGTTTTCAAACACTACGGCGCAGTTCAGAAAGCACTAGCTGGCCACTTCGCCTGTTGTTGCTAGTTAGCCGAGCAGTGACTTATGGCTGAGATGCTCTCCTCTAAACTACATTCCCCAGAATACCTTGTGTGCCTCTGTGTTTCCTGTTATTTCTGGTTAAGTTGCCCTGAGTTCAAGTCCTTTAATCAGTAATTATTAAACTTGTTTTTTTATTGATTACATTTATATTGTGATGTAAATGGTCATTGTTTTATCGGCCAGTCCTAACAGAGAGCTTGATAATGAAATCTGCATAAAGCCTTTTAGCAGAGGGAGCCACGGGCTGCTCTGAAATGTTTGATGTCCCAGCTGGATTGATAGACCAATGCAGAATATATGGTTCTCTATTATAGCCCTCTACTAACATTGGACCTCGGCTCTATTGGATTCTCTGCCTTCTTATTCGTGGTAATTTACTTTCCCCTAAAAGAGGACCACTAATCAAAGGTTTGCTTTTTGTTTCTTTAGCCCAAAAAGATGTTTCTAATGTCATCCAGTTTGGCTTAACACAAGGTCCATATTCTGGATACAAAAGTTCCGACCTTAGCTACCATTCGTATCTTGTTGATCTCCGCCCAAACATTTTATTTGACTCTGTTTCACAAAATTACCTGAGGTTGTTTTCTGTCAATTACTGTATGAACCTTTTTCCTTCCACTAAACTTTACGTTGAATAGCTGGGGTACAGCACTCTGTGAACAGCTGGTGATCCTACTGTCTTATCACAGAGGGCGTCAGGGACTGTTTTCTGATCTTCTGTCAAGTAAATGTTTCTCTTTGTTTTGCTTTGTTTATATGAAATATGCCTTTTTTTTTTTTTTTTGGAAAACTGAGTTAATATTTTTACAAAGATAATCAAAATGAACAGATATCAATACCTAAATATTTCAGTCTCTGTAATCTATCCCTGTATTAGAGGATTTTCTCCTTTTTGAATAGAATTAGTGAATCTCCTTTTAATAATACACTTTACCAGGACGCATGTCTATATGATTAAATGACTCTCTCAGCTAAGCTAGCAGCAGCCACCCACATGAGTGTGTATTTGTTTTCTCCCAGGTGATTCTTAGTATCTTGGTGCCTCCTGCCATATTGCTTTTGGAGTACAAATCCAAAGCTGAGATGGCTCACATCCCTCAGAGTCAAGACGACCACCAAATGACCATGGAGGACAGCGAACACAACTTTCAGAACATGGCTGACGACATTCCAATGGTAGGATTTACTCCTCCCTCTGTCCTCAACAATGAAACCAATAAAAGTTTTTAAAAAAGCTGGGAGAAACGCACAAAAAATAACCTCTGTTGGGTTTTTATAAAGATGGCAGGATGGTTGCACCGTTAGTGTGTAAGAACCTTCATTTATCCAAGGCTGCTACCTTATCATTTGCACAGGACGTCTTAAAGGAAACCAGAACTCACGAACATTTGGAGGTGAAAAACGACATGGAGACACAAGTCCGCTCCAGAAAACTGCCTTTAACAAGGAAGATCTACGCCTTCTACCACGCTCCTATTGTCAAGTTCTGGTCCAACACGGTATGATGATCATTCATGTAAAATAAAGCTACATTTCAGGTTTTTATGACTTTTCAGTACAACTCATCTATCTGCATGTTAAAGGTAGCTATTCTTACTTTCCCACATTTGTGTTTTGCCCAAACTGACATGTTGCACTAACGATGATAATTTAAGTCGTAAATAAAGTCGTAACATTTTGGGAATAAAGTCGTAACATTACGAGAAACGAGTTGTATTTTGACAACTCCTACAAGAAGCTAACCTGATAAACCAGACTATGTGTGAGATTAAATGTGTAATTTATTCTGGCCCCGATGAATGAGACATTGGAAGATTGTTGATGAGAACAACCCCGTTGTTTTTCAAACCATGTCTGCGGCTACTGACCAACACTCTGACCAATGAAAGCAACTGACTGTGACATAGTAAGCGCGACAAAAAGCTGGTGGGGGAATGTAAACGAACAGCCTGTCGGTAAAATGACGAATACGTAGAGCCTCTTCCTGCTCACTTTTCAACAAAAACCCAAAGTCTAATCCTTCGAAAACTGATTCCAAAGCTGAGTCAAACAAGAACTGTTCCATAGTTGTTGCCATCTTCCTTGTTGTGCCTTCTCCAGCATTGCGCAGCTTTGTCATCATGCCCTCTAACCCCCGCCCGCTTTGCATCCAGAAAAATTCAAAACACATCTCTGCGTTGTGATTGGCCCGCCAGTTCTAGGGTCTGGAGCATTGATCAAGGCTTGACCACGCGCAGGCAAAAATGATTTTGGCCACTGGATGGCGGGGCTAGTTTACTAGGCTAACAAGAAGCCCTTTCTTCCCTAAATTGAGGAATGTCGAACATTATCTGAAGTTATACTTTGGCTCTGGTTTGACAAATAAGGAAATCTTTTAGCACCGGCACCAAATTGGGCAGAATATCAAATGGACTTGGATTGCTGTTTGGTGGAGCTGGTCAGAGCTTGAAGCTTTCTTTCTGAAACAGGTTGTTGTATGATGACTTCATTCTTGTATTGTTACGACTTAATTCTTGTAATATTAAGGCTTTTTCTCATAATGTTAAGACTTTATTCTCAAAATAAAAAAAATGTAAATATCTTTTACTTGGCCCCTAATACTCCGTCGTACATTTTGGTCAAGTCATAAGTAAAGTTGACTAAAATTCTGCCCACTTGCCTCATCTGTTCCCAGTTGGAGGTATTCATAGCCTAAAGCGGTTTCCCTGGCGCATGGGATCCAACACTGCTGGTTTCTGCTTATTTGCAAATATAATGTTGTTTTTCAGGTTGTTTAAGAGTGATGGGTGCAGATAAGATCATTGAACGCTGGCCTACATAATTTAGCCTAAACCCATGCTTATCTACATCAGCTGTACCTGCCTTCGTCCTGATCACAGCACATCAGGCTAACTCTGCCCCATAGCAGTCATGGGAGAGGGGGACAGATTGTTTTTCTTTTCCCGTCACCTTAAGTGTAAAATGTCAAAGTTCAATGGCTTTAGAAACTGTTAATGTTTCTAACTGCCTAATCAAGATGCAACATAAGACTGGCTTATACATTTCCCACGGTCTACACTTTGATCAACCTGCTGTTTTTTGTTTTTCTTTGTTTTGAGTATTTTAACAAAACAATTCCCCCCTTTTCCTCAAAACCTTTACAGTGATGAACAAAGATTTTAACAAGGACATTATCTATATAATAAATCTGGATTCAATAGTTGTTTAGTTATTCAGATTAATCCTCACAAGCCTGACCTGGCATTATGCTAGACATTTGAGGACACTGATTGAGGATAAATATCCCTGCCATATTTGCAGTTTGGTTTTTATTATTTAATTGCTATTTTAACAGATTAATTGATTTGCAAAATAATCATTAGTTGCAGTAGTTCATACTTTGTTGAATGTGCTCTTTTAATCGAATGGGTGGGGGGTAGTAGAATATCTGCATTTCCTGTCTTTAGACAATTCAATTCAGTTTATTTCTAAAGCTCCAATTCACAAAACATGTCATCTTAAGGCACTTTACAGTTCACCAGATCATCCAGTCAGATTGATTCAAAGTTTTCTATCTAAGGAAAACAGTTGATTGCATCGACTCATTGACTCGCAGGCAATCTCTCACACTAAGCATGCTTGTAGCGACACTGGAGAGGAAAAACTCCTTTTTACCAGGAAAAAACCTCCAGCAGAACCAGACTGTGAGAGGCCATCTGCCCAGGCCGATCGGGGTTCAAGGAGACGGAGACAAGTTTTGTTGTATTGGTTGTTTGCTGTTAGCCTTTTTTTTTATTGTGTCCTTTGTTTCCTTTATGTAGCTTTTTTACCTGGGCTACTTGATGCTGTACACTTTCGTAGTCCTAGTGAAAATGGACAAGCTTCCTTCTCCTCAAGAATGGGTGGTCATCCTTTACATCTTTACCTCTGCAATTGAGAAGATTCGAGAGGTTTGTTAAAAAAAATTAAATAAATAAATTTAGAAGAATTTAAAGTTGTAGAGTTCATATCACAGCTAGATGTGATCATGTTAGCGTTCACCACTATAGTCACTGTGGACTGGTATTGTTTCCTGACTTCATTTCCTTTTTCAGATGTTTATGTCGGAGGCAGGCAAAATAAGCCAGAAAATAAAGGTGTGGTTCAATGACTATTTCAACGTGTCTGATTTTCTGGCCATCGTTACGTTCTTTATCGGATTTGGGTTGAGGTTTAGTGAAGGCAGCGCCTTCGTCACAGGGAGAACGGTTTACTGCCTCAACATCATCTTCTGGTATGTCCGACTCCTGGACATCCTGGCTGTGAACCAGCAGGCCGGACCGTATGTCATGATGATCGCTAAAATGGTGAGTACTCCCGAACTACAAAGAGCTTAGCAGCAGTTTTTGCTAATAGCAAAGAGAATGTTTAAAAAAAAAAAAAAAATTGTTCCAATTTTTCAAAATATGCTCAGAGAAGATGGCCTTCATTTATAGGAAAAGTCCGGTCAGCAAGGAATAATCAATGGGTCAATATTTATACCTAAAACTAATAAATTTGTGGTTATTTAATGAATTTAGTAAAATAAACAATAATTTTCGTTGCGATCACTGAGCAGCCGTTTTTGCCCAAATATAGTAACACCTCACTCCTGACATCTTCCAGCAGTGACGGTGCGGTAAGCCTAGCGCCATTCTCCCCGCTTTACAGGCAAAATCTGCAATCAACAACAATTATTAAAGATTTCCAGAGGACTTCACCATTGAAATTCACCAGAATTATAGTGAAACTGACAATGCCCATGTGCATGGCAGTTGGATGATGGAATACATTAGGTAAAAGTAAAAAAACAAAAAAAACAAGGTTATTTCACCTTTCTGATTCATGATCCTTCAAGGACAATCCAACAACGGGGTTAGTGGTTGGATTGCCAACTTGAAGAGGGAGGATTTGCCATCAAACTTCTGGCCAGAGAAAAAAACACTTCATATGTAGCCAACATTTGGAAGAAGAATGTTTTCAAGTTGACTTGGATAATAGCGCGTAGTGACAATCACCAGATACAGCACTGGGACTTGATCAACAGCCGATACTGCACCGTGACGTCACAAACCGTTAGGTGGCAGTAGTGTTCTTTGACAAACATGGATGTCTCCAGTAAAGCACATTCAAATGAAAATTACTCTTAATTAAAATAACGTATAATTTATTGAACAGTATGGAATTTCATTTATAAAGTACTTTCAGAATTTTGAATTATGAATGTGACTGGGCTTTCCCTTTAAATGTAGAGAGGATGCTCTGCTGTGTTCGTCAACTTTGTTTTCATACTAATCTATGTCGGCGAGTAATAAGTAGCTCAGAAGCCAACCGGCTGCCAAAAGCAACAGGTTCGGAAGGGGCATCCCTGCATTACTCTACGCGCCATAGTTTAGTTTTTTTCTCTTGCATCTCATCAAAAGAACCCAAAACAGTTTTTTTAAGCTGGTATTCAGCCCTTATCTCATTTGTTTACAGAGAACAAAAGATGTATTGTCCTGCTGGCTTTGGATTTCCAAGGCTGCTGCTTTTACATGTGAACTTAGTGATGGGGAAAAAATGAGTAATATAACCTCTTTGACATTCCTCACAGGTGGCCAACATGTTTTATATCGTAGTTATAATGGCTGTTGTCCTACTGAGCTATGGTGTCCCAAGAAAAGCCATTCTGTACCCCAACGAGGAGCCCAGCTGGACACTGGCCAAGGATGTGGTTTTTCAACCATACTGGATGATGTACGGGGAAGTGTATGCCTATGAAATCGATGGTGAGACACCTCAGCCTAAAAGAAAAAAAATAAATTCCCCTCGGCAATTACACCGGTAGCAGTGTTGTATTCTAATGATTAAGTTGCAACCTTGAAAAATCCTCTAAAGCCCCTGTCACACCTTGATGATTTAGCCAGCATATGCCTGACGTACAAAAAGCTGGCATACATTAGATAAGTTATGGGTACGTTTTGTATAAGTTATGAGCACACTGAAACATTGCTGAGCACTCTGGCACACGTCGACATGCGGCTAGTACGTTGGGAAATATTGAGCATGCTCATACGTGGGCCATAAGTTACAGGTTGGTTATCTGATAATTGACATACGTTAAGTTTAAGTTACTCCTAAGTTGTGGCATCTAGCTTATCCAGAACCTATAAGTAACGTTTCAAGAACTTATCTCCAACGTATATCTACGTATCTGACATGTTCTGGACAACAGCTGAACGTGTTTCTAACTTACAGCTATGGTTTAATGGCGTATTGGCAGCATTTTGGTTTAAAGGGGGTTCACAGGAGGAAATGGTCAGTTCTTCTCCAGACTTCATCCCCATCACAGGGTGAGCGAGAAGGTGAGTGCGATGGATCCTCCCTGCGTTCACGCCCATGACCAACAAACTTCATAGCAGACATGACGCTGAATCTGCTGTGAAGGAAGACCCTTGTCCTTTTTTTTTTTTTTTTCTTTTCTTTTTCTTTTTTTATTGGTGGGCGGTAATCAGCAGCTAGGTTAACACCGCGATCAAAGACATCTTTTTATGCAACTGATGCTTTTTAAATTGCGCTGCCTCGTTATGAATACTGGTTGAGCTGCATTTCTACAAAGTGACCTTTGATCTACAGGTGCTGGTCATAAAATTAGAATATCATGAAAAAGTAGATTGATTTCAGTAATTCCATTTAAAAAGTGAAACTTGTATATTATATTCATACATTACATACAAACTCATATATTTCAGATGTTTATTTTGTTTAATTTTGATGATTACAAATGACAACAAATGAAAATCTCAAATTCATCATATCAGAAAATTAGAATATTACTGAAGACCAATAAAAACAAAGGATTTATAGAAATGTTGGCCAACTGAAGAGTATGAACATGAAAAGTATGAGCATGTACAGCACTCAGTATTTAGTTGGGCCTCCTTTGGCCTGTATTACTGCAGCAATGCGGCGTGGCATGGAGTCCATCAGTCTGTGGCACTGCTCAGGTGTTATGATAGCCCAGGTTGCTCTAATAGTGGCTTTTAGCTCTTCTGAATTGTTGGGTCTGGTGTATTGCATCTTCTTCTTCACAATACCCCATAGATTTTCTATGGGGTTAAGGTCAGGAGAGTTTGCTGGCCAATTAAGAACAGGGATACCATGGTCCTTCAACCAGGTACTGGTAGCTTTGGCACTGTGTGCAGGTGCCAAGTCCTGTTGGAAAATGAAATCTGCATCTCCAAAAAGTTGGTCAGCTGCAGGAAGCATGAAGTGCTCTAAAACTTCCTGGTATGTGGCTGCGTTGACCCTGGACCTCAGAAAACACAATGGACCAACACCAGCAGATGACATGGCACCCCAAACCATCACTGACTGTGGAAACTTTACACTGGACTTCAAGCAACGTGGATGAAGTGCCTCTCTTCTTTTCCTCCAGACTCTGGGACCTTGATTTCCAAAGGAAATGCAAAATTTACTTTCATCAGAGAACATGACTTTGGACCACTCACCAGCAGTCCAGTCCTGTTTCTCTTTAGCTCAGGCAAGACGCTTCTGACGCTGTCTGTGGTTCAAGAGTGGCTTGACACAAGGAATGCGACAGCAGAAACCCATGTCTTTCATACGTCTGTGTGTGGTGGTTCTTGAAGCACTCACTCCAGCTGCAGTCCACTCTTTGTGAATCTCCCCCACATTTTTGAATGGGTTTTGTTTCACAATCCTCTCCAGGGTGCGGTTATCTCTCTTGCTTGTACACTTTTTTCGACCACATCTTTTCCTTCCCTTCGCCTCTCTATTAATGTGCTTGGACACTGAGCTCTGTGAACAGCCAGCCTCTTTAGCGATGACCTTTTGTGTCTTGCCCTCCTTGTGCAAGGTGTCGATGGTCGTCTTTTGGACAACTGTCAAGTCAGCAGTCTTCCCCATGATTGTGTAGCCTATAGAACTAGACTGAAAGACCATTTAAAGGCTTTTGCAGGTGGTTTGAGTTAATTAGCTGATTAGAGTGTGGCACCAGGGGCCATCAATTTTGAACCTTTTCACAATATTCTAATTTTCTGATATGATGAATTTGAGATTTTCATTTGTTGTCATTTGTAATCATCAAAATTAAACAAAATAAACATCTGAAATATATGAGTTTGTATGTAATGTATGAATATAATATACAAGTTTCACTTTTTAAATGGAATTACTGAAATCAATCTACTTTTTCATGATATTCTAATTTTATGACCAGCACCTGTATTTACCGATAGAATGGCTTTTTTTTTATTTTTTGTTTTGTTTTATCTCTAAATACATCATGCCATGAAATATGTGGTGTGGAATATGCAGCCCAAAATTGAAAAAATACATAGAAAGTTCATCGTATGCCAGCGTTTGAGAAGATTCTGGGGCGTCAGGCATATGCTGGCTAAATCGGCAAGGTGTGAGGGCGCCCTAAGCTTGCATTTCTTTATTTCAGATCCTCAGTCATGTAACATCGTTTAGCTGTGCCTTGCTGCTTTAATGTCATTCTGACCAGTTTCTCCTTTTTAGTGTGTGCCAATAACAGTGAAGCATCAGTACAGGGTCTGTGTTCGGAAACAGTGTGGCTGACGCCCCTCCTGCAAGCAGTCTACCTCTTTGTACAGTATATCCTGATGGTCAACCTCCTTATTGCCTTCTTTAAGTGAGTCCATAAGTTTTTACTAAATTAACCATGTACTTCACTGTTATTACTATTTGCTTTGTTATAGAAAAACAGTTGGATTGTTTATATTCTTAACAATGGAGCAAATCTTAACTGCTCAGGTACTCTAACCATTATTTTAATGCACTTCTGTTTTACAGTAATGTATATATCCAAGTGAAGTCCATTTCCAATTTGGTGTGGAAGTACCAGCGCTATCACTTTATCATGGCCTACCACGAGAAGCCTGTCCTCCCGCCCCCCTTCATCCTCCTGTGCCATATTTACTCTCTCTTCTGTATGTGTAGAAAGAGGAAGGAGAGCACCTACGGACCAAGTAAGGCTTTTGTTTTTTGTTTTTTCCTTTTTTTTTTTTTTTTAATAAACTAAATTCTGTATTGACACAATTTTTTCCTTTTCTCTCGCAGAACTGTTTCTCACCGAGGAAGACCAGAAGAAGCTCCATGATTTTGAGGAGCAGTGTGTGGAGACATACTTTCATGAGAAGGATGATCAGTTCCACTCAGGCAACGAGGAGCGTATTCGTCTTACTTCTGAAAGGTACGGGCCGTCTGATGCTGAATAGGAAACGCGCTCCGGTTGTAGAATGTGACAAACTTGACTGAAATGTTTAGAGACACTGATTAAAAACCAGAATGATTTCCTACTTTAAAGTGTGGCACATGTTGGTGGTCTAATTACACAATTAAATTAAATGTTTTCCCCTCACAAAAAGCTCAGACAAATCCATCTTATCTAATGGTGCTGGTTGCGGTTGATACAGTCAATCAACAATCGATTTATTAAACTATTAAATTATTTTCATCTAATTTAGTATGTATAACTGAACCTCAAAATGAGCCATTTGCACACAAAGAACAACCAACTCAGAGCAATAATTAAACTAAAGCTATAAATTATTAATACATTTTGCATTGAAAGTGAGAAACATTTTTTGTCAGGAAACATGCTCGCTCCAGAACTTTCTGCTAGTCTGGACGTCTTATCTTCTCCTCTAAAGCATCATTCATAATAGCAGATACTCAACAGATTAATCGAGTAGCAGAATGCTTGTTAGTTTTGCACCAAGTTTATTTTCTCATACAATGTTATTTGGTCACTGCTGCAATTAATGGAATGGGAATTTCATTGAAGCTGTAGAAAACGAAATTTAGTTTCGTATACACAGAAAATGACAATAAAAGTTGTCTAAGTCTAGTTGCAGCTTAGTGCCGGTAAAAGTTTTGTGGTGCTACACACAAGACACAAATAAAAACGATGGCCGTTTCTCAGTTCCCAAGAAAACAGGAATGGACTCGTGTCCTCGCCAAGTATGTTCCTGAGAAGAAGACAGGAAAGTCTGGACTTGGGGAGAATGGGATAACGGAGCATAAATATGCGTCAATTGGTACAGAAGCATACTGATGACTTCACCACACGCTCGGCTCGTCTGTAGCTGCATTTTACCTCCTGTTAATAATAGTCTCTGGATAATAAATTCAGACTTTTTACATTTAGTGGGGGAACTATAGTTAACACAGTCAGATAAACACAAATCAAATGAACATTTTGCCTAATAAAACAAAAAACTCCAATGGTTGCCGCAGTCCTCTACTTCGGACATTTTTTTTTCTTTATTGTGCATTAAATCAGTAAATGGGCCTTATAGTGAAGCTTAAAGTATAATGCTCTCTCCTCACATGATCTTAAAACGTACTTTCATTGAACAATGACAACAGAAAAGAGAACTTTTAACTTAATACTCTGAGCTCTGCGAGCGCTAACCTGGAAGCTGCTGCTGCTGCAGTGCATGCTGGGACAGCTGTCAATCTCAACAGTGGACAAGTCTGCTCTGATGCATGCTGGGTAAATAGGAAAGGGCGCGAACAACATCCAGGGATTTTTCTTGTTCGTGTGAATTGGAACAATACTAGCGCTGAGGCTACACATATTGAGAAACAGCCTTTGTGTTGTGTTAGTAATGAAGTCCTTTGTCTGCTTCCAGAGTCGAGACGATGTGTTTGCAGCTGAAGGAGGTTGGAAACAAGGTGAACTTTATAAAGCGTTCCTTGCACACATTGGACTCTCAGATCGGTCACCTGCAAGACCTTTCTGCTCTGACTGTGGACACCCTAAAGACACTGACGGCTCAGAGGGCGTCTGAGGCCAGTAAGGTCCACACTCAGATCACCAGGGAGCTCAGCCTGTCTAAGAACGTGGTCCCAAGTGTCGCACATGTGCCAATGGACTCTAAATCGTCAGTAATAGGCAAACGCAGCGTGGGGGCCTACTTTGGGTCGTCTTTTCCCCAAGCAGGACTCAACATTGCAGATTCTCTGTTTGGGATTGGTGCAGAAGGAGCTGGGATGGAAAGCCGTCTGAGATTTGTGCACAGCCATGGAACTGAGCTGGGGCCGGACCCCGTAACGAATTCAGGACTAAGTCCAGAGAAAAGGGCCTTATTCGGTCAAGGACACTTCGCTGCAGAGGCTGGATCCTCAGGCAGTACAGGCCCCAGTGCCATGGTCCAAAATGCTGCGTCGCCTTCCCCTCCAGAGCGCCGTCACCGAGGCCACTCTTTCACCCAGAGTAAGCTGACCCGTCCACAAGAGCTGCGCCTTTCTGACTCGCCATCCAGCCTTCCTAATGTGCCCTCCCTTGGAGCCCAGTTTAACATCAGCAGCACCTCTTCTCAGCCCAGTGGCTCCAGCCATCCTGGAACTGCCCAGGATGGGCTTCACCAGCACCCCCCCCAGCCAGACAGCACCGCTGTAGAGTTCGGGGCATTTGTAGGTGAGTACAGAAACGAAGCTAATTCTGCTGTAGAGGACAAAGAGGACGAGCGCATTTGTGTTTATCCTTCAGTTGTCGTTGTTTCTGAAAACTTAAACTCTGCTAAGCCTGCCTGCCTGCTTGCTAGCGCTGTAAAGCCTGAGAACTCAAAGGGGCTGAAAAGGGGGGAGGGGGGCAGGTCTTTGAGTTGGGGCTATGTAAACGAAGCATTCAGCGATGAAGAGGGACGATCAGGATCTCCGACTAGAAGGTCTACACCACCAGCTCCAGAGGCTTCACCACCACTAGGTAGCGACCAAAAAAGTAGAGACCCGGCAGCCGGCGCTGCAGCCCCCGCTGTGGTGCCCAAACGACCCCAGGGACGAAAGAGGACGGACTGTGATCTTCAAGAACTACCGACTTCTGGCTTTGACGGTGGCAGCATGTCAGAGGGTCGACGTAATAAGAGGAAAACTGCAAGAAAACTAAATATCAGAGGTTTGAGCTTCAGTCTGAGCTTATCTGCTGGGTGCTAGGGCTTCCTCATCTCCATGTCAGCATTTCTGGGGGCCTCCTCTTTATCTAAGGGAGCTATATATGTTAATCCTGGGTGTGGCAAATTTCAACTAACAGTTGTCTTAATTGTAGAATGATTTTATATATTTGTGACATTTTTTTAGTACTTATTTGTCAGGTGGAGGTTAAATGGAAGGAGTCTGATATTGGGGCCACTTCACCTTCATGGTGTTGGTTCATCACATAACATTCAGTAGATTGTGTTTCATCACTGACTTTTTTTTTTTTTTTTTTTTGGACTCAGGACATAAAGAAAGTTTGGATATGCAGCATTCTACACCTAAACAGAGCTCCAGCAGACAGCAAAGCCCGACCCAGCAGCTCAGATCACAGGTGGGTTTATGCAACTCATAAAAAAAAAATGTAAATACGGTCTAGAATAATTATAAACACTAATTAGTGGTTTAGTTTTAGACATTTTGAATATGTAAATTTCTAACTTGGGCAAAAATATTTATGCATAAAGAAAAATAAATGCAAAATAATTCAGTGTTATATTCTGTCAACAAATGACACGATAACAGAAAGAGACCTGAATGTCAAAGTCTGCAGCATATATATATATATAGATATATAGATATATAGATATATAGATATATATATATAGATATAGATATATATAGATATACACTATATTGCCAAAAGTATTTGCTCACCTGCCTTGACTCACATATGAGCTTAAGTGACATCCCGTTCCTAATCCATAGGGTTCAATATGACGTCGGTCCACCCTTTGCAGCTAGAACAGCTTCAACTCTTCTGGGAAGGCTGTCCACAAGGTTTAGGAGTGTGTTTATGGGAATTTTTGGACCATTCTTCCAGAAGCGCATTTGTGAGGTCGCACACTGATGTTGGACGAGAAGGCCTGGCTCTCAGTCTCCGCTCTAATTCATCCCAAAGGTGTTCTATCGGGTTGAGGTCAGGACTCTGTGCAGGCCAGTCAAGTTCATCCACACCAGACTCTGTCATCCATGTCTTTATGGACCTTGCTTTGTGCACTGGTGCACAGTCATGTTGGAAGAGGAAGGGGCCAGCTCCAAACTGTTCCCACAAAGTTGGGAGCATGGAATTGTCCAAAATGTCTTGGTATGCTGAAGCATTCAGAGTTCCTTTCACTGGAACTAAGGGGCCAAGCCCAGCTCCTGAAAAACAACCCCACACCATAATCCCCCCTCCACCAAACTTTACACTTGGCACAATGCAGTCAGACAAGTACCGTTCTCCTGGCAACCGCCAAACCCAGACCCGTCCATCAGATTGCCAGATGGAGAAGCGCGATTCGTCACTCCAGAGAACGCGTCTCCACTGCTCTAGAGTCCAGTGGCGGCGTGCTTTACACCACCGCATCCGACGCTTTGCATTGCACTTGGTGATGTATGGCTTGGATGCAGCTGCTCGACCATGGAAACCCATTCCATGAAGCTCTCTGCGCACTGTTCTTGAGCTAATCTGAAGGCCACATGAAGTTTGGAGGTCTGTAGTGATTGACTCTGCAGAAAGTTGGCGACCTCTTCGCACTATGCGCTTCAGCATCCGCTGACCCCGCTCCGTCAGTTTACGTGGCCTACCACTTCGTGGCTGAGTTGCTGTCGTTCCCAAACACTTCCATTTTCTTATAATACAGCTGACAGTTGACTGTGGAATATTTAGGAGCGAGGAAATTTCACGACTGGATTTGTTGCACAGGTGGCATCCTATCACAGTTCCACGCTGGAATTCACTGAGCTCCTGAGAGCGACCCATTCTTTCACAAATGTTTGTAAAAACAGTCTGCATGCCTAGGTGCTTGAATTTATACACCTGTGGCCATGGAAGTGATTGGAACACCTGATTCCAATAATTTGGATGGGTGAGCAAATACTTTTGGCAATATAGTGTATATAGATATATATATATAGATATATATAGATATATATAGATATATATATATATATAGATATATATATATATATAGATATATATATAGATATATATATATATAGATATATATATAGATATAGATATATAGATATAGATATATAGATATAGATATATAGATAGATATATAGATAGATAGATATAGAAAGAGATATAGTCATGAGTACTTGATCACATTAGGATTATTTTTTTTAATTTCGAAGACCATTAAGAGAGCATTAAATTAAAGTTCCTCATTCCTGTTTAAGTCCTGAACTCACCAAATTGTAGGACTGAATGACAGTAAAACCAGTTTTATTTGGGGTCCAATATTAGTGATGTATTCAACAGCCGAAATGAATACGTCATATTCAATAACTTTAAACACACGTTAGACCAATTTGGCAGTTTTCATTAAAAAGGTTGGGATACCATTAGTTTGTGTATGGAGATTACTAAATCTTCATCAGTGCAGACAGAGCTTCTGCTTTGTGTAGTATGGGATTAATGTTATTGTGCCATTGTTTTAACTTTTTTTTTTTTTTGGCTTTCCTTGTTTAAATCATCAAAGAATAAACGCTAGACAGATACATTATTGAGTTTCAGAATGATTTCATTTGCTAAGAGGGAAAAGCTATCCAAACTAACCTGGTGCAATGAGGAAAAATAATACAACCTGGAAAACTGGGAGGCCGAACTCAAAAAGCAACGCATCATGTCACACTAAGGAAATTCAAGGAGAGGTGAAACAAAGTCAACATCTAAAGCGCTGCAGGTTTCTTTAGTTAAGGTTAGTGTTTGTTTCAACTGCAAAAAAATTGAGGAAAAACAAAATGCATGAGAGAGTTCAGAGGTCAAATTAGGCAGGAGAGAATGAAGATGATCGGTCTCACAATGGGCAACTTCAGTTAATTTATACAGCACCATATATAAACGCATTATGTCTTAGATAGAAACTCGACTGAATAGTCTCTCTAAAGTGTTAAGCAGAAACCTTCGTGATCATTTTAAAAACTTTTGGAATTTTTTTCAACAACAATGTTTCAACAAAGTGTGGGGGAAAAAAGCTGTCTTATCAGTAGTTCTTTTGTAGCTTGGATCTCATTCTTCTCTTTTACGATCACAGGTTGAAGGTCACGGTCTCCTCAGGGTGGTTAACTCGTATGCTGGATTCACAGAGTTTGACAGAACTCCAGCTTTTCTTCATCCAGACCCCAGTAAGTAAAAAAAATTAATCTAATTATAGCTCCTCAATAATTTTTTTCCCTAGTAGGTTTTATTAGTCTGTCAGTGATGGTGATACAGAAGGATTTGTTGTTTGTGTAGCTCTGACACAGAAGGACAGGAGCAGAGTTTCAGCTGAGGACATCCCCAGAGCTGCAGTATTGGTAGGAGCTTCTTGGATCATTTTGTGTAAAGTTTCACCTGTATACTTGTCTCTTTTATTAACATGTTGATTCTCTTGTAGGAGAGAGTTCAGGTGAAATCAGCCCAAGCCAGCTCTCTGTAAGTTTCCTTCCACCAGGGTTGTCAAAATAATCAATATTTTGATGCAAAGATTAGTCTGAATTTATTTGAACTGACTAGGCTTCTAGACAGGCCAAGATGCTGAGCTTCACTTTTGACATAACCCTGACTCCATACTCTTGCTACACAATGCAGACGCTCTGTCTGCACTGATAAAGATTTAGTAACAACTTAATAAGGTCAGTAAAGCTGACTCTGCAGCAGTGAAGCAGTAACTCCTCCCATACGACATTAGCTAACCTTATCTCTAGGATTAGCTTCAGACTCATTTTCTGTTTGTCGAGATTTGCGGCCAAGTTTAACAGCAAACCACTGCTCTGTTCTACTGTGGTACCAGTTAACAGAGTAAATTCATAATCTGCTGAAAGCTTAAGTCAGCTAGCTACACAGCATTAAAGCGATAAAGTAAAACATTGTTTTATTGTCATGGCAACCCTTCTTTTTACTAGGGGTGTGGGACAAATTGTTTTGGCGATATATTATGGTTTTCAGTGATATATCGATCTTTCAGTTCCCAGTATAGATTTTTTTTATATATATATATATATATATATATATATATATATATACATATACATATACATACAGGTGCTGGTCATAAAATTAGAATATCATGAAAAAGTAGATTGATTTCAGTAATTCCATTTAAAAAGTGAAACTTGTATATTATATTCATACATTACATACAAACTCATATATTTCAGATGTTTATTTTGTTTAATTTTGATGATTACAAATGACAACAAATGAAAATCTCAAATTCATCATATCAGAAAATTAGAATATTACTGAAGACCAATAAAAACAAAGGATTTATAGAAATGTTGGCCAACTGAAAAGTATGAACATGAAAAGTATGAGCATGTACAGCACTCAGTATTTAGTTGAGCCTCCTTTGGCCTGTATTACTGCAGCAATGCGGCGTGGCATGGAGTCGATCAGTCTGTGGCACTGCTCAGGTGTTATGATAGCCCAGGTTGCTCTAATAGTGGCTTTTAGCTCTTCTGAATTGTTGGGTCTGGTGTATTGCATCTTCTTCTTCTTCACAATACCCCATAGATTTTCTATGGGGTTAAGGTCAGGAGAGTTTGCTGGCCAATTAAGAACAGGGATACCATGGTCCTTCAACCAGGTACTGGTAGCTTTGGCACTGTGTGCAGGTGCCAAGTCCTGTTGGAAAATGAAATCTGCATCTCCAAAAAGTTGGTCAGCTGCAGGAAGCATGAAGTGCTCTAAAACTTCCTGGTATGTGGCTGCGTTGACCCTGGACCTCAGAAAACACAATGGACCAACACCAGCAGATGACATGGCACCCCAAACCATCACTGACTGTGGAAACTTTACACTGGACTTCAAGCAACGTGGATGAAGTGCCTCTCTTCTTTTCCTCCAGACTCTGGGACCTTGATTTCCAAAGGAAATGCAAAATTTACTTTCATCAGAGAACATGACTTTGGACCACTCACCAGCAGTCCAGTCCTGTTTCTCTTTAGCCCAGGCAAGACGCTTCTGACGCTGTCTGTGGTTCAAGAGTGGCTTGACACAAGGAATGCGACAGCAGAAACCCATGTCTTTCATACGTCTGTGTGTGGTGGTTCTTGAAGCACTCACTCCAGCTGCAGTCCACTCTTTGTGAATCTCCCCCACATTTTTGAATGGGTTTTGTTTCACAATCCTCTCCAGGGTGCGGTTATCTCTCTTGCTTGTACACTTTTTTCGACCACATCTTTTCCTTCCCTTCGCATCTCTATTAATGTGCTTGGACACTGAGCTCTGTGAACAGCCCGCCTCTTTAGCGATGACCTTTTGTGTCTTGCCCTCCTTGTGCAAGGTGTCGATGGTCGTCTTTTGGACAACTGTCAAGTCAGCAGTCTTCCCCATGATTGTGTAGCCTATAGAACTAGACTGAAAGACCATTTAAAGGCTTTTGCAGGTGGTTTGAGTTAATTAGCTGATTAGAGTGTGGCACCAGGGGCCATCAATTTTGAACCTTTTCACAATATTCTAATTATCTGATATGATGAATTTGAGATTTTCATTTGTTGTCATTTGTAATCATCAAAATTAAACAAAATAAACATCTGAAATATATGAGTTTGTATGTAATGTATGAATATAATATACAAGTTTCACTTTTTAAATGGAATTACTGAAATCAATCTACTTTTTCATGATATTCTAATTTTATGACCAGCACCTATATATATATATATATATATATATATATATATATATATATATATATATATATATATATATATATATATATATATATATATATATAAAAACAGTCATTTTTACCTAAAACAATGAGTGAAAATGTACAACCTCTTCTGTCATCTGGCAGAGGGTGCTGTGGAGCCCTTTTGCTAAACGTCGCAACCCCATATCTGTAGTTGAGGAGTAACAGTGGAAGACACGGGCTCAAACTCCAAACATGGATACCAAAATAACTAAATCTATATCATCTGATGAACATATACAACACTTGATTTTTTTATCTAAACATTTCATTTTGATAGCTGGTAAGAAATATTGTGATATGAAGTGATATTGCGATATCGTGATTATCGTATCATGATGCAAGTATCGTGACACGTATCGAATCGTAACACCCATGCCAATACTCACTCCTACTACAGACATCAGCATTTCTTCCAATATAAATTATTAATGTCTTTATCATAAAGTGAGAGTGGTCTCAGAATAAATTAGGACTCATTTAGCGTCTTCTCATTGTTGTTTTTCTCTTTTCCTCAGGAGGCCTCCTGAGGAAGAAACACTAAATGGTAAGATCTGGAATTTCTCTGTTTGCAGTGTTGGGCTTCATTAGCAGTACGTCCAGCCAAATCAGCTGGTTGAGCTGCATTTTTACAAAGTGGCCTTAGATCTCTTTACCTTTGTCATGATGTAATGAGCTTTAGTTTTTTTTTTGTTCAATATTTAAATAAAAGATGCCATGGAATATGTGGCGTTTTTAGCATTTAGGTTAAGTTTAAATAATTTCAGAATGCAAGTGAATGCAGGATATACCTGAAAACCTTCATGTATTTTTGCTGAATGAGCTTTACTTCTCTGGTTACAGCTGCTGTTTCTCTATACACAGCGCGCCACAGCCATCTGGGACCCAGGAAGGACTGTGAGTCTTACCAACTCTACATAATACACTCGTCTCCTCTCATTCAGTCCAGAACCATTTATTACTAGATTACAGATTTTTAGGAACATCTTTTCACTTATGTAAATCGTCTTTGTTTCTTAAAAAAAAAAAAAAGTAAAAAAAATTCCTAGAACATTAGAATAGGGAGAATAATGAACAACACAGTACTGTGTAAATGTAATGACTTTACAACCACAGACTGTTTTTTAAAGGACCCGCCATCTCCACTTAGAAAAAAAAAAAAAAAAAAAATGCACATACACAACCCCGCACCCACTCCCGAGAGGGAACGTCTATTAAACGCGTGCGAGAGTGTGCACAAGCCCAATTCTCCTTGTGCACGATGTGTTTAAAAGTTGCTGTTCTCATAGCTCATACAAGCTTACAGTGTCTGAACGTCCGCCCTAAGCCCTAAATCCCTCCATCACTATATAGAGTGGGGACTATATAGTGGACTATATAGTAAAAATGAAACTTTTCCACTCGAGAAGCTCTGAAAATGGCGTATAGACTGAAGAAAAAGATTTTTATCTTAAATGCAAAATGTTTACTTATTTTAATTTTTTTTTTTTTACTTTGGAATAATTACTGCTCTAAGTAGGTTGCTATGTCTGCTAAAAGTACGAGTCGCTACACTCCAATTAACGAGTAATCAATTACTAAATTATTTCAATAATTGATCAATCACAATTAGTCCGATAAATAGTTTCAGCACTAATTGAGATATTATCTAATACATCAAGGGATTACACATTGTTGTGGAGCATAAGGAAAAGGAGGCTTTCAAACATACAATAATTTACTAATTAAAAATCTGAAAGGTGTTTGGAACAGCCAACCGAAACATTGGCCTCAATAGCCCATGTTCAGCTAGCTTAAATAAAAGCTCAGAAATGGCTTTGCAGATGAGGAAGTTGTTGAAAGTGGATGCTAATCCAATGAAGAAACATTAGCTTGGATGCTGGCTGTAATCTTATTAGAAAAGCGCCAAACCATAGCTAATTTAATCTCAGCATAAATCCAGATGTCCTGTGAAAGCCTCAGGTTTGTTGGAGCAAATTGCATCATGTAAACCAAAGAGCTTAGCATATAGTATAATGTGGAGAAATTAAAAGCAGGTTCAGTAAAGTCAACTGCTGGACCGCTGACTGGACCAGTCCTCAGCAGAGGTCCATTATCCTTTTACCTGGAGCTTAAATAAAACACCTGACGGGAGAGGAAGTAGTCTTCCAGAGGGACAAAGCTTCTAAACCAGTGGAAAATTTTAGATTAAGGCTTCTTCTGGTGTCACTAAAGCCCAGTCAAAGTCCAGTTTTAAATCCTGTAAACAATCTGTCGCAAGATTTAGCTTTAGTTCATCTGTAACGAAGAATGGAGAAAATGTCAGGCTGTAGATAAGCAAAAGATATCAATCATTTTACTTATTTACTCAGTTTAGCAGTTTCATCAGTAATTCACATCCACATTCTGTGGCAACAATTATTACACCAGTGAAAAGGGAAAAGGAAGAAGAAAACAATCAAGGACATGGACCTTCCACTGTCTCACTAATCCCAAAATAATTTGGAATACCTTGGAGTACACTATGTGTTGCAAACAATATATTATTCTCAATTATTCACCGAGAGCTGTATAAGACCTTATACATTTATTTTTATAAAGTCTTTTAAACTGATTTGTTGTAGTAAATGTTAACTCATTATCCAAACTGTTTTGAATTTTTACTCCGTGCTCTGAAATGCACATTAATTTTAAAGTAATTCACACAGTTAAGCTTTTAAAATCCTACTCACTCCTTTTATTTCTTTCATTTGAAATAAGACAAAGCACTTTTGTAGATTTATTAGCAACAATCTTTTTCTGCCTTTAAACAAAACTAATAGCATTTTTAAATTGGCTCTTAATTTTTAGATATTTGATTGAATGAACTATTTATTAGTATGTTCTCTATCATTCACGTTGTGTCAAATTCACATAGATTTGTTTTGTCACAGATTTAAAGTCGGTTTAATGTGCTGCCCCATACCTCTATAAATTAAGTCATATATGGATTAACAAATTTGTAATATCATGTGCTCTGTTAACAATTCTAAAATGTTTTTCACTATTTTTAGAAGTCCAATACTTTTACATAATTTTTTGCTTAATGTATTTTAATTAAGTTTTCAGTTAAGTTTGTGATCCAGAACGACCCCTAGGAATTTAAGTCATTTACCTGTTCCACTAGTTTAGAGGTCACGGATTAGCGGACCGTGGTCTGGATCCAGACCCAACCTGATTTAAAACATTTATAAATGTCCAACCACAGTGTCTAACTTGACTTGTGCCGCTTCTCCTGTTAATATGGTAAATCCCTCCGGAGCATACAATTATTAGCAAAGATGACCCTGCACATTTTGAGGTCATGTTTGGCTCAACCTGCTGCTGTGAAGCAGGATTCTCCACCTTGACCATTATAAAAAATGTATTTAGTTTTATTCCAATTTATTGTAATTGAACCACTCATTGAGTCTAGACATTAATTTACCAAATTAAAAGCTTGGATCCTAGCACTGAATCTTGGAGGTTTCCACTTTTTTTTTTTTTTTTGGAGATCTGATTTATCATTACCAAGCTGTACAAACTGTTCCCAAATTAATCAAATAACTACTCAACCACTTATGAACTGTACCTCTTATCCCATATTGCTGCATTTTGGAATATATAATAGTAATAACGTATGGTTGATGGTATCAAATGCTTTTATTAAATTAATATCCCCCTTTTATATCGTTTCCTTTCTACTGCAGCAGTATTTTCCTCATTTAATTCTAGTAATGCAATAGATGCTGATATATTTGCTCTGAACCCACACTGACTCTCACTAACACCAAACAGCAGAGCTCATTACGTTGTTTTCTGATTGATGATTGGGGAGCAGCGCTCAGCCATTAGTCAGGTTTTGCTCTTCATCCACATCAGTTAGGTGTTCAGGTTGGTTTTTGCAGAAGGACAAAAAGGGAAAGTTCTACCTGTTGAAATGAATTTTAAATTTTAGTGTTATGGGTTCTTTGTTATACATGGCCATCTAATGGCAGGCAGAGGAACTGCTCTGGATGTTATCAAATGTATCCGCATCAATTCTGCCTCATGCACTTAGAGAGACATTCCTTTCTGTGTTTCTTCAGCTATTGGCTCACCGTTCAAACCCATGGAAAGCTATCAATACTCAGGTGAGTTGTATTAGTGATCAAATATTTCCTGGGTAAGTTTGCTTCTGTTCTTATGTGTATCTTTGCTTTTCACTCTTCTTCCAGCTGTGGAGAGGAACAACTTAATGAGGCTGTCTCAGAGCATCCCCTTCACTCCTGTGCCCCCTAGAGGTAAAAACACCATACAGCATTAATCCTAACATTTCTGGTTTGGTTCAAAGGTGATTGACTTTTCTGTTAAAACCCCAGTTGGAAGTTTGAGAATGAGGAAGCATGGAGGCAGATAAGAGATCTCAGAAATGTTCCACACACATGAAGCCCTTTGCTCCACAGGGAACCAGTGACTGAGCGTCATCAGCGTTGCCTTTTTATTTATACAAGCACTTTACTTTGCTTCCTCTTGTTAAAGTGGAAATCATGGTTTTGATGGCTAACTGGAAGGATTGAGGTTTTTAATATTTTTGTCTTTTGGTTGACCTAATCTGTTTATAAAACCTTTGATCATATTAATTTGCAGGTGAAGATTCTCAGTCATCCAGGTCATAGTTATTCCAAAAAAGCTAAAAAATATATCCACTGGACTTTATTTCCAAGTTTGAAGATGTTTTGCTTTCCATTCAGGAAGCTGTTTCAATTCAAAATGTCAGAAATAGCGTGGAGTTTGAGGGTTTATACAGTAGAAAACATGTTAATTGGAACGGACGAACGGATCCATCCCTTTGGAATTGGGATTGTTTGGTTTCTTTGCAAACTCTTTGCAAGCTAACAAAAGTAGCCAAACAGCACCTAATCCAAAGGGGTGCACCTGTTTGTCCATTTCAATGTGCATGTTTTCTAAACAAAAACAAGGCTTTGTTAGGCTACTGTAAAAAGCCTTGAACCCGACGCTATTTCTGACATTTTTAATTGAAAATGTTTCCAAGTTTGAAGACGTTTCGCTTCCCATCCAGGAAGCTAAGTCCAGTAGATTGTTTTTTTTTTTTTTGTACTTTTTTGAAAACCAAACAATTAAATGTTTTGAGCTCAAATTTCCAGTTTTATAAAAACTTATTTAAAAAAAAATTTTTTTTGAAAAGCATTAGGAGGATGTTGACTCTGGGAAATTGTTAAGCTGTTTTTGTTTGTTTTTTGTTTGGTACGCAGCATTGTTATGACAATTAGGAGTTTGGACGTCATCTGTTCCTCTTTGGTGTTTGGTTCCCACATCACCTAACTAAACCCTATTGTTCCACAGGACTGGAAAAGGAGTTAATGATTGTATGCAATTATTTGTTGTGCATACAGACTTGCTGCTACTTTCTGTTCCTGATTCAAAGCAGCTTGTCTCATCTCTGCATCATTGTTCTTGCTGCACCTCTTGCATATAAATGTAGCTGAGGCAAACCTTTAATTCGTGCGAAAGCTGACACCAACTGGTCTAAAGGTTCTTCTTGCTTCTTAACCACAGCACTAATTAAGGCCTCAGATCTCACTCTTATTTCTTTTTTCTCTATTGCAGCTGATTCTTTTTATTCTTGAATTTAAAACTCACTATTTTCTGTTTCATTTCTTGTTCAATTTCTCTACAACTGTTAAAAAAAAAAGTCAAAAAAGTTTGTTTTTCCTCCTCATGTCCTTGACTCTGCAGTTTTTTTTTTTGTCTTTCTCCTCGTTCTTACCAGTATAATTAAATGTAATGGGTAATAAAAGAAAATCTGTTTGTATTTAAAAACTGTTGCTTAAGATGGTGACTGAAAAATAATTCAAAAGTAATAAATAGTTTAGCCCTCCTGGAGTTTATATATTAAAAGAAAAATCCGGTCAGCAAAGAATAACCAATAGATCATTATTTATACCTAAAACAAATACGATCGCGGGGATTAAATTAATTCAGCATTAATCAGTAAAAAAATTTAAACAATTTTCTTTGCGATCACTGAGTCTGGGAGCGGCCATTTTTGCCAAATATGGTAATACCTCCCTGACATCTTCCAGCATTGACGTCACGATGCGGTAAGCCTAGAGCCATTCTCCCGCTTTACAAGCAAAATCAATGGGAACTACTAGACACATCTGCAATCAACAACAATTATTGAAGACTTCCAGAGGACTTCAACATTGAAATTCACCAGAGCTATAGTGAAACTGACAATGCCCACGTGCATGGCAGCTGGATGTTGGAATACATCGGGTAAAAGTGGGAGAGAAAAAAAATAAAATTCACCTTTCTGATTCCTGATCCTTCACGGACGGGTTCGTCGTTGGATTGCCAACTTCAAGAGGGAGGATTTGCTATTGAACTTCTGGCCAGAGAAAAAAAAGACTTAATATTTAACCAACATTTGGAAGAAGAATGTTTTCAAGATGACTTGGATAATAGCGCGTTGTGACTAGGGCTGCAACAACGAATCGATAAAATCGATAAAAATCGACTTTTAAAAGCGTTGGCAACGAATTTAATCATCGATTAGTTGTGTCGCGCGATTAATGCGTCATCCGCCGCCGCCGTCATCCCGGGGAAGAAAAAAAAATATGGCGGAGCGAGTCAGCGCCGCAGTTGCAGTGTTGCCAACTCAGCGACTTTTCAGACCCCTCCAGCGACTATTTTTTTAAAAAGCGACTAGCGACAAATCTGGCGACTTTTTACGGTGTCACTGGCGGCTTTTGGAGACTCTTACGTGAAAGCATGTATCGTTCCTACTCTTGTCCTCCAGCGGCAGCTGCTGCCGTGGGGCGCCTCCCCCATCCCAACGCCTTTCTCCCTCTCCCACAGGAATCCCTCTCAGCGTGCAGTCCGAGCCGCAGGATTTTAGTGAGGAGTTTACCCTCAGCGTCCAGACTGCAAATGAAGCGCGCATGCCCCGGGATTGACGGCGCAAATTGATCACAATAATTAAAATAGCCTGCGCTTTGTAAAGTGAAAAAAGTCGTAACATGCAACTTTTGTAAAAAACAAATGAACATGGCACGGAAGCACCACTGTTATGACGCAGCACCTGAAAAGAAAACACGTTGGAGCCTTCAATGGCAGTGAAGATAGCTGATCAGCAGGATGAGTAACCATGTTTGTTTCATTTTAAAGTGGGGAAACGTAAGTTAGTTTCTCAGATAGCTCATCTGATGCTTTCCTTAGCTTGTTAGTAGGTTACAGACAGTGATAAGGTTGGCTTCTTATTTTACTTTTAATTTCATTTGAATTAGCTTAAGCAGCGTTTATATTTTCTTTATAAATAAATAAATTTGCACATTATGAGGGCAAGGCTTTTAAAGTTTAAATCTTCTGGCAAAGAAAGTAAAGAAGATCCTGCAATTTATGGAAGTAAAGCAGAATAAAATCCAGCAAGATCAGTAATATGTCAATTAATTATCTGCCACATTCCCATGTAAATATCTGTCTTTGGAGGATGTGTTTTTTTAACACCCCTAGTTCTCTCATTTTTATTCCAAATACAATTTATAATTTGAATCACAGGGCTATTTTTATCTCTATGGTTAAGTATTTTATTAAGTAGCAACTTTAACTGCTATACTTTCCTGTCTTAAAAGGCAGAACTCTTCTAGTCTAAAAAAAACCTAATTTGTTGAAATGGGGGGGCCTATTGTTTGAACCCCTTAGGGGCTTTTAAAAACAAAAATGTCTTTTTTTGTGCTTTATGAAACAAAGTACCCTATATTTTGTGGATGTACAGCTACATTTCTCATGTAAGTTTGCATAGTTTTAACACAAACATTTATTTTTCATATTGCACCAGTACAGTTAATGAGAAACCTGTACTTGTGTGCTTGCTTGTTCTGTCTAAAATGTTTATTTTGGAATAAAGAGGTTAATATAAAAAAAATATTTTGTGTCCGATTCATCGATTAATCGAAAAAATAATCGTCCGATTCATCGATTTTCAAAATAATCGTTAGTTGCAGCCCTAGTTGTGACAAACACCAGATACAGCACTGGGACTTGATCAACAGCCGATACCGCACCGTGACGTCACCAACCGGTTGGTAGCAGTGGTGTTCTTTGACAAACATGGATGTCTCCAGTGAAGCACATTCAAATGAAAATTACTCTTAATTAAAAACACTTATCATTTACTGAACAGTATGTAATAATTTCATATTTAAAGTACTTTCAGAAGTTTGAATTATGAATATGACCGGACCTTTACTTTAAACACAAACCGACTTCCCTGTATCCTGAGTCCTGCTCTCTGGTCGCCTGTAGAAAACTGCAGAAGTGAATTAACTTCCTTTGAAACTAATCTTGAAAAAAAAAAATATATATATATATATTAACATGAACTCACCTCTACTGATGTCTTGGCTGTTAGGAAAACAAAGAAATACCAAATGTATATATACTCTGTAAAATGTAAATGTTTGGTGAAATTTCAGTTAATCATGGAGTAAAGTATTTCAGGTTAGCAGTTTTTTAAGAAAGTGGTTGGAGAATTAAATAGCATGACTGATTAAAAAGCATGACTGAAGTGATTGGCACAGACTGGTAACTCTGACCTCTGGCCTTGTGTTGCTGCAGGGGAGCCGGTTACAGTGTACCGTCTGGAGGAAAGCTCTCCCAACACCATCAACAACAGCATGTCCTCCTGGGCCCAGCGGGGCCTCTGTGCCAAAATTGAATTTCTCAGCAAGGAGGAGATGGGTGGTGGTCTCAGACGAGCTCTTAAGGTCCTCTGTACTTGGTCAGAGTATGACATTCTGAAGCCTGGACATCTCTACATTGTCAAGTCCTTCCTGCCTGAGGTTGTCCAGACATGGCAGAGCATCTACAAAGAGGACACCGTGTTGCATCTTTGTCTCAGGGTAGGAACCTAAATTAAATGCAACTCTTTGCTAAAACCCAGTGAAGTATGACGGAGTATTTGGGCCAGACTTTTTTTTTCTTCTATTTCGAGAATAAAGTCTTAGCATTACCAGAATAAACTCATACAATTACAAGAATTTTTTTTATGACAACTCCTACAAGAAACACTTTCTTCCCTAAAATTAGGAATGTCGAGCATCATGTGAAGTTATACTTTGGCATCAGTTTGACAAACAAGGAAATGTTTTAGCACCAGCATCCAATTGGGCAGAATGTCAAAATGGACTCAGGATGCTGATTGGTGGAGCTGGTCGGCCGTCATCTGGTGGTCGCAGCTCCAAGCTTTCTTTCTGAAACAGGTTGTTGATTGTTAAGGGTCGGTCGTTAAGGAGGTATTGTTCACGGGCTGGAGAGGGGAGGTACTTTGTTCCTCTGTGATAGGGTGTGGGGTGTGGTGATATCTGGATATCTGACCTGGAGATGATCCCTTCCAGATATCACCACACCCCCCACCCCATCACAGAGGAACAAAGTACCTCCCCTCTGCAGCCGGTGAACAACACCTCCTTAACGACCTACCCTTAACAATCATAGACAGATTTCAGGTATTACAGGAGACAATCCCCCCCCTAACGACAATCCCCCCCTTTAACGACCGACCTTCAGAATCATAGACAGGTTTCAGATATTACAGGCTAACAATGGAACCAAACGACCCACTAATCTGTTTTCATTTGCATGTTTCCAAGCAATACAAGGCCTTGTCTATATATAGACTCAAACTTACTGCGGATCCAGACATTTGAATTGAGAAAGCTTCCTGGAGAGGTAGCGAAACGTCTTCAAATCTTGGAAACCAAGTCCAGAGGATTTTTTTTTACTTTTATGGAATACAATATTGTTTTTTGGCGAAATTGTTCAATCCAAATTCTTTCATCAAAACACCAAACCTTTGTGGCATATTTTCCATTTTCAGTGTTTTTTTGTCATGTTTTTCACAAAACTTATAACATTCAATCTTGGGATTCATGGTTGCTTGCATAATTTCAGGAGATTCAACAACAACGAGCTGCTCAGAAGCTGACATTTGCCTTCAACCAAATCAGGCCAAAGACGATCCCGTACTCACCGAGGTAAGCAGACATTTCTACACAAAGCTGCTTCACATCCGTTTTCAGAGTCATGGTTTAGTGTGGTAGTATTTACAAACAAAATACCTAATTTTAATCTTTTCCACATCCTGATCCTCTGATTCTAATGTCAACAGAATATGACTAACCTTATTCGCTCATCCCATATTTAGTTTTTTTTTTCTTCCTGCTTCTATCTGTGCTAGTTTTTACTTGTAAAACTTGTAGCTTGCCTAAATAATACTTGGTTCTGAAAGGAGCCTCATCTCCAACATCTACACCTTAATTCATTTCTGAAATGTGCTTTTTACTACTTGCTGTCTGTAATAATGGCTGCTAAACTCTGGTCATTTTACAAATTTCCATCCTAACTGTAACGCTTGTTAAAGTCTAATGATAAGGAACGGACTATATAGATGTAGAAAGGTATTACCAGAAGAGGGTTCGTTGAGGAGCCCGAGGTGTGAATAATCACAGAGACAAAAATAAGGTTTAACTAGTTTTGTATTAAAGTGGCCAAAGACAAAAAAAACAAAAAAAAAAAACAAACACACAAACATTAATAACAAAACAGTATTTGATTAATTGTCCCCAAGGTTCAGTTAGGTTAGATTGTTAGTCCATACGCTATGGTAATCCAGGGTTGAGAATAGAATAGTTTTTATCCTTATAGGAAAGAAGAGTCTGTATCCTACCGCACAGGTAAAAAAAAACAAAAAAAAACAAATGAGCAGTTGTTCTTAACCAATAAGATCTGCATGTATAAAATATGTGTGCATTTAATTTTGGAACACATTTATACATGCAGATAGTTTTCCATATTTACACATTTTACCAATATATATACAAACACATATATATATATATATATATATATATATATATATATATATATATATATATATATATATATATATATATATATATAGATATAGATATAGATAGAGATATAAATAAATCGTTTAACAGATTATCACAAAAGTTTTAGATACTCAAAAACACATTGTAATCAAGTGCACTTTTTCCCATAAATCATGAATATTCAATGTATAAAAAAAAAAAAAAATCTTTTCCAATTAAATTACTTGAGCAGAGAAAAATACTCAAGCAGATCTTAAGTTCTTAAGTTGCGCAACAAATTCCACAAGTACGTAGCTACATTCAATTATTTACTTAATTTTCAATGAGGTAAGAGGAAGGAAAAAAAAAAACTAAACCTCATTGCTTTTCTAATGATCCAGTCAAAAGCTGGAAAAAAAAGTGCAAAATGAAGCAAAAGTGCAAACAAAAGGGGCGCTTCTGCTAAACTAAAATGTAAAGCACAATTCGGCTTGAATGTAAATTAAAAATAATTTATATTAAACAAGTAGAAGCAGTATTTTACACACTACAAACGTAGTTCAAAATTCATAATAACGCTGGGACTCAGCGCGGCAAGGAATTAAGTGGAGGCAGCGGTACAAACAAAAGACGCAAATCGCGGAATATAAACTTAAATCTAGCCGCTGCAAACAAAATAAATGACCCGAATCGGAGTTAACAACTCACCGTTGAAGGGATGACAAGTTGATCTCCGTCTGTGTAGTGGTATTAATGAAAGACAACATGAGCGCTTTGGCCCAAGTTGTGAGAGAGAAGCGAGTCTGTAAAAAGTTACGCTTGGTGAGTAATTACACGATGTTTGTAAACGTTAGAAGATTGGTTTTGTAGCGTTAAAACACTCACCCAAAAGACAGGTTATAATATTAGATCTTTAGGAAGATCCAGTAACTTTTTTGAAACGAGACGCCAACAGAGCATGCAACAGCCACAGGTGGGGAATGGAGGAGGGAGTGGCACTCTGACTCCGCAGGTAAATAGAGTTGGGGTGATGTCGCACAGGGCGTGGCCCGTCAAATTAAAAGGAGTTAGGAGCTGAGGGCTACATAACACTGATGGCATTTTACTTTCAGATATTTAAAGCAGACAGTCTTTGATCAGTAGAGCTCCATTCGACAGGTTAACAGTCAAAAAAAGGGGATGGGATCAACAAAGGATAAAATAAAAATATTTATGAACGTTAAACAAGCGCCAACAGGTGACGCAACACTCTTCAGTGTGGAAGTTCAGAGCAGTTTTAAATAATTTTCCTTTTCTAGGACCAAAAAGTCAAATTATTTTATGCAAACATTGTTTTTCTGGAAAGAAAAAATATATTTTGCTATTAAAGTTATTTTTTAAGGGAAATCATAATTGTCTAAAGGCTAAACCAGCAGAACAGTTTTTTTTAAAAATCTATAAACGGTGCATCCTTACTTTAACTTTCTCTGGAGGAAAGTTATTGTAACTTCCTCTGATCCTTACAATTATTGGCTGTCTGATTCGGTGAGCGTCCTTCTGTGTGTTCAGGTTTTTGGAGGTGTATTTGCTGTACTGCCATTCAGCTGGCCAGTGGTTTGCTATAGAAGAGTGCATCACCGGTGAGTTCAGGAAGTTCAATAACAACAACGGGGACGAAATCGTTCCCACCAACCTCCTGGAGGAAACCATGCTGGCCTTCAGCCACTGGACCTACGAGTACACCCGTGGAGAACTGCTGGTGCTCGACCTGCAGGGTGAGACAGGAAAACATGTAACGCCATTTTAGCCATTGCTAAAAAACAAAACTTGCATACTCTTTCAGATCTTGTTGTTTTTTTTTTATTGTCACTAATGCCGATTGTCTTTGGTACATCCTTCAGGCGTTGGAGAGATCCTGACCGATCCATCTGTTATTAAAAGTGGGGAGAAAGGGTGAGTGCTCTTACATCAAGTCTCGTCTTCTAATTTAACACTGAGCAAGTTAAAAGTGCTGTAATCTTCCTGCTGATGTTGCACACATGCATCTGCAGATCATATGACATGATATTTGGACCTGCCAACCTCGGAGACGATGCCATCAGAAACTTCCGTACTAAACACCACTGCAACTCCTGCTGTCGGAAACTCAAACTTCCAGGTAGAGATGGTTAAATACTACTAACGAGTAGTATTTTTTTCTTTCCCTGATGTGAAAGCTGATGTCAGAGGGCTCTGCCTTTAAAAACAGTCATTAAAGAACAGGTTGATTTCCAATATCAATATCCAATACCAATATATTTTCATTTTTTCCTCTAGGCTGATTAAACTGTTCATGGCATCTTTTAACTAATACTATGTAAATCCATGGTGGACAACAGGTGCAAACGTGCTGCTGTAAAAACGTGAGGCAAACTGCAAAATATCTCAGGACAAAAATGTGCACGCCAAATGAAATGGCAGCAAAAACGTACCATCTATAAAACGAATCCAATCAGTGGAAGAAAATGATGCAAATATTAAAAACGGCTAACTCACGCAACAAAGAGGAAATGCTCCAGACCACTAGAGGGAGTCAAACAAACAACAAACCATATTAGGCCAGTGTAACTTTTATATATTTATAACTATGATGTTAGTCTGTAATACTGTAAGAATGTGTATTTGAAAATAAAATGAGAAATAACGTTCATTTCTTCCTCCAACTTTATCTTTTAAAAAAGTCTGCGTTAAAGCCTGACTTCCTGTTTGTATGGAGGGTCTGGTCCGATTCAGTTCGGCTCTTTCAAGGGGTTTAGAGCACTTCTGTTTTGAGGATGAGGTTTTCTGCTGTTTTTACTATTTGCATCATTTTCTGTCACTTATCAGATCCTTTAGATTTTGGTTGCGGCATGTTTTATTTGCATTTGTTTTGATAATATTTTGGTGATTATGCATTTGTTTGCAGCGCTTTTCTTTTTGTGATGTGGAGTTTGCATCACGTTTTTGCAGATGGTTTAGTTTACTGCTTTGCAGCTGTTGGCCACTGGATGGATCAAAGCAAAAGACAAATTAAAAAAGCACTGCTGCTACTGAAGTAATTTTAGCATCTGCTCTTAAAACAGCTGATAGTTTGACTGGACAGGAAACTTGAATCACCGGATGCGTCTAATGTTTGTGATTCCTTACCTTTTATAAGTTTTAACACGTTTGATTTCACTTCTCTTTTCTCAGATCTAAAGAGGAATGACTACACACCAGATAAGGCTACCTTCCCACAGGATGACTCTCCCAGCTCAGGGGGCGGAGTCAAAGAGTCCCAACAATCAATGAAATTGATGCTGTGATCAGTAAAACACTTTGTGGGTGCGTTTGTGTAAAAGGACATTGCTTTTTTTGTTTTGTTTTTAATCTAATTTAAGTAAAGCCAAGGAGCGGGAAAGTGAAGCCACTGAACTGGAAGAATTGCCGCTGTGTTTTTCATGCATGCAGACTGTTGTGTATTTGTAGGTTCCACCAAGAGGATATGGAACATGTCTGCTTTCTTAATCTTTTGTTTTTAGACCAGGAGAGGCGAGGAGGGGAAGAGATTTTTAAAGGCACACCGTGGACTTCTTCCACCTGAAGAGTTGACACATGTGTTATTTGAAATGATTCCTCGGGCCAATATACAGCCATTGACACGATCAATGCTACAAGTAGGGCTCTACTCTTGAAATGATGCCTATGTAAGTTGTGAGAAGATGCACCGTCGTTGGCCAGGTCATGTGACCTGGAAAAACGTGTAGCTTTACGGCCACAGGCTCTTATATAGTCATGCAGCTAAGGCTTTAGCTCTACTATTTTTGTGCCTGCTCGACTACTCGTCACGGCTGAGGCACGGAAAGAGTTTAAACCTGAGGAGGCTAGAAAGAGAAAATGTGAAAGAGATCAAGGAAAAACAGGAGTCTGTCTTGGGAAGGAGTTTGTTCGTTGGCGCAGGCTGAAAGAAGAAGCCAGATGTAAAACAGATTCTCTTTTCTAAACTTTATTAGTCTGGTAAGTAAACACTTTGCTCCTAGTATACAGTATATAGCTTTGTTATTATTTTTGATGCTTAGTAGAAGCAAAATACGGGTGGAGAAAGCTAGCAGGCTACAAACAAAAGCTAACCAAGACGCCCCGTCCGACCCAGTGGCTGTTCACTGGAGCGCCGCCTCTGGTCCGCCGCATGGTCCGGCCTGCCCCGGTGGTGCTCTCCAGAGACGGGCAGAGTTCCAAGCTGAACCTCGACACCTACCCTTGTCCTCGACAAGCTGCGCTTCTGCCCAACCTCGTGTTAGAGTTCGCTGAGTCAAACCGTATCATCGTTGTTCTTTTATTGAGGATTACCAAACGTCCAGCATGCGCTTCCCATGGCAATTGGGACGTTTCTCAATATGTGTACTTGTGCGTTCTCATGTGCTTGTGTACTCGTTAAATCATCGGTCTCTGCCCTATTACTGTTCCAATTCACAAGACCAGCAGACCGAGAATGGACAAAGTCGCCAGATGTTGTTCCAGCCCCTCCCTCTTTACCCAGCATGCATCAGAGCAGACTCGTCTGTTCTTGAGATTGACAGTTGTCCCAGCATGCACTGCAGCAGCTTCCAGGTTAGCGCTCAAAGAGCTCAGAGTTTTAAGTTAAAAGTTCTCTTTTCTATTGCAATTCAATAATAGTACATTTAAGATCATTTGAGGTGAGAACATTATACTTTTAAGTTTCACTACATGGCCCATTTACTGATTTAATGGTTAATTTAAAAAGAAATTTCCAAAGTAGAGAGGACCGCGGCAAGCAGTGAACCTCTGAGTGGAACAGCAGCCAGGTCTAATGGTAGTCCGTCTGCAGCAGCCCTCTCTCTGCATAGCCGTGTGTGAACGACCTCTGGCTGCGATGGCGAGTTTTGTTTTATTTGGCAAAATGTTCATTTGAATTGAGTCTTTCTGACAATGTTCATTATTATTCCCCCCAGTAAATGAAAATAAGTCAGAATTTATTATTATCTAGAGACTATTAAAGCTGCAGTCTGTAACGTTGAGAAGAGAGCAGACTTCGACTGAAAATTTGAAGAAAAACAGGTTTCACGCCACTCCCCCGCCCTCTCTGCTTCACACTCATACCCTACCTCCAAGCTCCACCCCTCTCACAGCATCTGCGCGGCTACCGCATGCGACCAGAAGGGGGGGGGGGGGGGGATTCAGCGTGTGTGAGCTGTGATTGACACTCCATCAGACGCTCCTCTGGCTGTGATTGGTTGTTTTGACTCGTCCCGAATTATTCTTTCCAGATTGAAATACAGGCAGTAGGCGGTACCAATTGAAGCAGTTTTTTTCACAGGTTACATATCACATGTACTGCTGTCTGGGCATAGGGACAGTTTTAGCCAATATGACAAAACAGTGATTTTTAAAAACATACAGACTTCAGCTTTAATAACAGGAGGACAAAAGAAACTTCAGACTAGCCGAGCGTGTGGTGACATCATCAGTACGTTTCTGTTCCAATTGGGAGAACGTGAGCACACAGCATAAATATGGGTCAGAGTCCACACCTTCCTGTGTTCTTAGGAACATACTTGGCGAGGACACGAGTCCGTGCTCGCGTTCTTGTGAATTGAGAAACGGCCTCGGTGTCACCTGGATTACCTAAACCTGATGCTCTTTTATGATGTCATCACAGGTAGCCATTTGTAGTTTTAAAACATGCACAACATTAACACCACAGCCACTAGGGGCGCTAGACCTGAAAGTTACAGATCTAGCTCCCCTAGTGGCCAAGAGTTACACGATGTGCCTTTAAAATATTTTCTACACGTTTTTTGAACATGTATGCTAGATGTAAACTGGATAGATCAACAGGTACGGTGTTGTTGCAGAGGCTTTATTTTGAAAAGTTGCCTTGTTTTACCACAAAAAGTAAAAAGATCAAAACCAAGTGCATTTTCGATCTGTTACAGCAGCTTCGGAGGGCGGCCTACTGACGGCGAGTTGCTGCAACTTTGCAGATTGCCACCGGATCACCTTTTTTTTCTTTTTTTTTTTAATGTGTAAAAACTTTTATCTTTTTTGTCTTTTAGCTAATGATAAGAAATACACAAATCTCATTCTTGTAAAAAAAAAAAAAAAAGGATATATGGGCAGATTGCAATGCAACTTTTACCGGAAAGTGTATGTGAATTTATTGTATTGAAAGTGTCCATGAAAATATTGCTTTTTAGTTTTTGTTACAGAGGTACTATTGCTATATCTTTGTCATCAGCTATTGTATGAGCAAAATACAATCCAGTGTATCTTATAGATACAGTTAATGTGGCATGAGCTGAGCAGGTTTAACTATTTTATTCAGGGGAACTGATGAACACAAGGGTATTACTGTATAAATTTTTTACTGAATATCATTTTAAACAAATAAAATGTCAAACATCCCAATCAGACTTAAAAATTATTTATTTGTTTTATTTTCTTAAACTGAGGTGTCTTATTCTACTATATAAGCATTAAAAATGTCCTTCAATACTTTAATTATTCTTTTAACTAGATGTTTCACCTGCTGATCACCGGTTATGGCTGCATAAGGGCAGGTTTCCCAGCAGTCGTTTATTTATTTTTTGTTTTTTAAGTTGGGTACAATATTTTTTTAAACAAGACAATTGTTTATACGTTATGGTGTTTCTGTTTCTACTGACTAACCTATGCATTTATACAAACATGCAAATTTTAGCTCTGCTATTTAGTTACCAAACCTGTAAAACTCTGGGTTATGAATGAGCTTTTAAAATATCTGGATGCTCGCAGGAGGAGACAATGGATCCGTTGTGTTCTGCAGCCCATCTTTGAAATTTCGGGCTGGTATTTGAATCTGCCAACAATGCCTTCTGCCGCGGCTCCTGTGATCGCCCGTGCACCTGTTTAATTATACGCAGGTGCTCATCTGTGAGCTCCGCTGTAGATGTGAGAGATTTGCATTTCTGAAGTCAAAGGCAATGCTTCTTTGCCTTAGTCAAATACTGCCACTAAGAGCCTGGCTGGTTGAAGACATGCCAAATAAGCGTGGGTGGTTTATAAAAGCAGAGTGAGGTTGCACTCCAGCCTCCAGCAGGCGTGGCTTACTGTCTGATATAGAAATTTTCTCTTAACATCTCATTCCTCTCATCTAAGCTGTAAGTTAACAGGAACTCATACTCTTCTCAGCCCCACTGCTAAACCATGGCAACTGTCACCATTGAGTACTGGTAAGTAGATTGTTTTTTCCCCACTTCCTCTTCTTTCAAAAAGTCATGCAATTTTAAATTTTTAGTTGCACATATCTGTTTTTTTTTTTTTTTTTAAGTAAAGACTGAAGTTATGCATACCGCTACCAGGAATTAGCTGGAGTTCTCCGGCAGATTCCTGGTATGAAGGTAAAGGGAGTCACTGGGAAGCCAGGTAGGCTGCATTTTCTTTTTTTTCCCCTCAGAATATCAGAAAAGCTTTATTAAAAAATAAAATAAAATATGGAAATAAAACTTTGAGATGACTCCTGTGCAGACTAATTTGTCTAACAGGCAGCTTAATTTTGACTTTTCTTTTTCACCACAGACAGCTTTGAGGTGTCACTGGGGGATGAGCTGATTTACTCGAAGCTGGAGACTAAACAGTTTCCAGATGTTGAACAGGTTAATAAACTTGCTTTTCAAAAATACTTCAACATTTAAGTCCTCTCTAGGAACTGCCTTTGCTGACAGATTATCTAACTTCTGTTTTGGATACCAAAAGTGTTATGTTTTTTTTTTTTTTAGGTAGATGTGTATTTGAACTTTACAGAAACTGAGTCTCACTTGTAAACCTTTTTTCGTGTTTTATCTGATCAGCTGGCAGCGAAGGTGAGGGAGAAGGTTCCTGGAGGAAACGCCAAGAGCAAATCCAAAACAAAGAGGAAATGTGCTCTCCAGTAAAAAGAAAAAAATTTACTTGTCTGCGCGTCTTGAATATGAAAATTGGTTTTAAGATAAAAAACATTTAAAAAAACAGGACACAATCATAAGTGTTTAAATGAAAAGATCTAAAATGGCTTTAGATAAATCAGAAATGTAGATTTTTAAGTAGTTCTCAGGGTCCTGGGGCTGATCTATGCTTCTATATATGAATGCACACACCTAAAACTCATGTGGTGTGTGCACGATGCAAGGCAAGAAGCTTTTCAGCTGCCTGCACCCTGCAGATCTGCTTCAATGCCATCCGAGCTACGAGAACTGGCAGAAAATAGAATCTTGATGACGATTTGTATATATTTGGGGCTTTTTTGTTTACATTACTAAACAGAAGCTTCTGGTATGTGTGGGAGTTTTAATATCTCCTTAGAGTCTGTAATCCTGACTCTTGGGAACATTTACTTTATCTTTGCAAGACATATGTAATGTTTTTATGATTCATTAAAATATCTAATTAATATCCGTTTTCCACTGACAAAGGATAATTATGGAGCAGCAATAAAAACATAAAATCATACCCTTATTAGATTTTCTATTTGACCCAAGGTCATGGTTGAACTCTAACCTCGTCTCTGACCTGCCTGTGTTCCCACAGGGTTGTACTCTTGGAAAATAAGCTGCAAAGCTGAAAAACATGTTTTTCAGATTATGTGTCACAAATCACATGGGGCACAATAAAGCCTGGGAGCATAAAACCAACCAGTACTATACTTTTTTTTTTTTTTATGACAGAAAACTTTTATTTGCACATCCTTAAAGCAATATTTATGTGTTATAATATTCTCCTTAAGATAGATAAAGTAGATGGAAACCACTGATTTGTTGGTTTCTTAGCTGAAGGAACTGGTAGCATTACACATCTACATAACATTTAGAAATCAGTATCATATTCTTACAAGTTTTAAAATTGGTTTTACTTATTTTAGTCGGTAAATAATATTTTTTTTTCTTCCTCGCCACTTAAATTTATAATTGTCCTTGTTTTTATTTGTCCCGTCTTCATGCTAAGCTACACTAACGTGCAGCTTTTTGTTTTTTTTCCCACTTTAAGTCACTGTTTTAAATGTCAAATATACCATACATTTCTTTTTGCACCGGATGTAAGACTTATACATATGTATATGTTATGCTAGCCTGGGTTTTTCTCTATTGACTTATGCTTAACATCGGAGTATTTGGGTATAATTAATGCCAGATATGTCTTCTTTTTTTTTTTTTGGATGGGGTATTTATAAAGTCTCCTCACAACATGAACAAGTGTAAAATAGTGAAAAGTGCTAAATCATAAACCCCCTTTTTTTTTTTTTCTCCAAACCTTGTACTGTTGCGCATTTTCTAATGGCTCAATAAAACGTGGCTGAAACTCTGCTTCTCATGTTTGTCTTTTTAATCACACAGTAACCAGGAACTAAGGCTCTCAAGGGAAGCTTTGTGGTCAGACGTGTTCTGATTTAAAGATACAACTGATAAGTAAAGATCTGTAGTAAAAGATCAGCCATCTATACACATTTAAAAAAAAAAAGGCAGAGCATTTTTTTTTGCGTCAGATAATCCCTGACGGTCATCCTCTGGTGCAATCCTCGTCGCTCACCAGCATACATTGAGTACCCGGTTGTAGCCGCCTCCTGTTGCCTCAAAAACCACCTTGATTGTTTGCATCAATATTTCTAAATCTTTGCCACAGATTCTGCTTCACATGGACGTTACCTCATAAAGTTCCGTGCTTCCCGTATACAATCATGCCACATTCAAAGTCACTTAAAACACTTTTTATTCTCAATCCTGATGCTCTTTCAAGTTTAGCTCTCTTTGTGTCTAGATGCTTAAATGTATCCAGTTAGCAGGTGATTGGATTCATTTACTCTACATAAGGAGTGAAAATAGGTAATTCCAAAAAATTAATTCCAAAACTAAGATTTTTTGTTTTGTTTTTGCTGCCATCTACACCTCTGTTTATAGATGTTGAAGATCAGCCTGTTTTTTTTCAGTGTAGTCCTGTTTCTCTGACCGTGACTGGCTGAATGTGCTCTCTTCATCCTCTGACATGGCATTTGGCTCGGAGCTCGTCTGCCTGGCTGTGTGTTTCCTGGACGGGGTCGCCTTTAACAGTTGCTTTTTCTATCTCTGCTTCTGTCTCCTCGTATCACAGTCAGCCTCAGCAGATGGCCGCTCACACTGAGCCTGGTTCTACTGGAGGTTTCTTCCTGTTAAAAGGGAGTGTTTCCTCTCCACTGTCGCTACAAGCATGCTTAGTGTGAGGGATTGAGTCAAAGAATCGATGCAATCAGCTGGTTTTCCTTAGATCGAAATCTTTGAATCAATCTGACATGAGTATCTGGTAAACTTTGGATCTGTTTTGTTTTCAGTTAAAAGGTCAGGGAAAAAGTCAAAGGGACTCTCCTTAAAATCAGATCCTCCATGTAGGATGTGCTTGGAGGCATCAGGAACCACCTCAGCTGACTCCTCTTTGTGGAGGAGCAGCAGCTCTGCTCTGAGCACCTCCAGGATGGCCAAGCTCCTCATCCCATAATGGAGTGCCCTCCCAAGTCTTTTATAATTTCTGTTAATCCTTTTCAGATAAGAATTGTTTAATCTGAACGATTAGTTTAAAAAAAAAAAGTAAAATATGTTAACGGGGCTTTTTTAAACTTTTAAATGCCATTCAAAGATGGTCACCTCAACATGCATTCGGAAAGTTGTCCCTTTCAGCTTCCTCCTGTCTGTGCCTGGGAGAGACCGTTAAACCTCGGCTTACATTGTTGAGTGCAAACAACTATGTAGTGTAAGTATTATATAAATTTAAAACTTGGAAACAAAGTCCAGTGGATTGTTTTTTTTTAACTTTTTTGGAAAAGTGTAAATCATTTAATGCGGTTTCTCTGACTAGAAAAGGGCTGTATAAATTTACCATTTAACCGTGGAAGGCTTCAAATGAATAAGTTCTGTAAACCTGAAGAGATCTGTCAGCTGTTTGTCATATACTTTTAGGGTTGCCGTGTGGACTGAAAGTCAACAAACAGGAAGCCACATCACAGCCAGTCATAGCTCGTTCTGCTTTACAGAATGGAGAACCGTTTCAAAGTGAGTAAGAAGCAAAACTGGTTTGTGATCTACAGGAAATGAGCCATTTCAGAACTGCAGGTCTCCACTATGGTCTGTTCACCTCAACATGCCCTAACTTAGCATGCTATACCAACACCTCAGCTGTCAGAATCTCCCAGCTGCAAGTTTCCTTCAAGAATATTTCATCGAACAGACTCTTTGACTCCGCCTACTTCAGACACAAACTCTTACATCTGTGGTTGTTATCTAGTCATGCTCTGTTTCTCACAGATAACTCCAGACTATAGTTTAAGTGCTATACATAATTCTGATCTGCTAAATAAGTATTAATCATTTAAATGCGATCAATCAGTAGAGGTCTTTGTATTTAAGTAATTAGTTTGATACTTAGAGGAGTGATACTACCTTTTTTGGTTGATTTAACCATTTTTTATAATAAATGTATGTCTTCCTGATTTTGGGCTTTACTTTTGCTCCTGAAGTGACCTGCACATATCTGAGAAATTAATAAAGCCTTGTATTGGGCCTAAATGTTAAAAACAACAAAGAAATTTATAATAAACATGAGTAAATATGTCTTTTTTGGGGTAATTATGCAAAAACACTGACTTTGAATCATAAAGTCCCATGTCCCATAAGATTAAATAATTGAACAAATGCCTGGTTAAATATTTAATTTGATTAAATGTCTTTTTCTTTCTGTTTTTTCTGTCAATACTTTGAAAGATGGGGATTCAGCAGAGATGTCCTGATGCCCTAAAACAGTCTCCTGAAGGTTTCCATTCTTTTCCATCACCTTACTTGACTTTCATTCCCAGGGAAGTGTTTTTTTTAAAGAGAATTTAAAGAAAGAAATAAAGCAACACAATCTTAAGTGGATAAAACTTGTTGATTTGATGAAGAGCAGCTCCTTGGTTCAGTGGGTTCTCTCTTCAGTCTATTGTCTGTCTAGTTTTCTCCTTATTTTGCACAAACTCAGCAGTTTTGGGCTCCCAGTGCTGATGTCATTATGCGTGACTGCTTATTCAGTCTGTCGTGTGGACATGTTGACAGACCAAGACCAAAAGAGAACTGTTCTTTTTGTTTGACGTTTACAAAGCCATTCCCAAACAAAGGTTCAGGTTATTTTTTGTTTCTTACTAGAATTTTTACTAGAAAACACAAGAAGCTGTTCATGTTCTGAAATTCAACCTACCAGGAGCAGCCCTGAATGAGACGTTTTCACATGCATCACACCACCCTTTTGCTCATAAATGTTTGTTTGGGCTGTGACTGCGATGCAGGATTATGGGATTTGTTTAAATCAGAAGTAGAGCAGCAACGGTCTTTTGTTAGAGAAATGAATATGTCAGTAAATATTGGCCAATGTTAATATGGATATCATCCCAGTTGTTCATATTGATGCATCCCTGTAATAAAAACAAAAGCCTGCCACACATTTAAGATTTTTAACTGGAGAAAATGTGAATATGTCTCCTCCCACCTACTGGAACATCATATCTCCTCCCACCTCTTACACTCCCCGCCGGTAAGGGGTGCCTTTGTCTCCTGAGGCACTGATGCCTCTCTAGGTGTGGGGATCAATCCTGGGTCTCCTGAGCCTGTTGGGTTGGGCCCCTCTGGAGTTGGCCCCCTGGTGCTCTCTGTTGGGTGCGGCCATCCCTTTGTCTGCCCAGTTATTTGGGACGGCTTTAGATGTCTGGGCCTCTGGTCGCCTCCTTATTGATCCTGGGCCCTGCAGGGCGGGTCTGGGGCCGCCCACACCTGCTATTAAGCATATTTTCCCTCTAAAGAATCCTTGTAAACTCTGTATACAATAGCATGCTCATGCATACATACCTCAGGTGTGTGGTACTAGGGGTTCATGGATACACACTAATACTAAATACTAATGCAGCTACAGATATATACTATCCTGAACAATAATATTGTGTGCTGTAATCAAATGTTTTTCTTTCCACACACATGTACAGGCTGGATATCTAAGGGATACTCGCTGCTCTTGAAGCTAGTTTATTAATTTGGCTGTTCTCTGTTTCTCATGCAGGTGCGGAACCAGACTTCTAGACGTTACTGTATATCTTCCTTATTTTGCTTTTTTGGGGAGGTTAAGCATTTTTCTCTCTCCCCTTAATCGTTATCCCCTCTCCGTTTCTCACCTCCCATTCTGTCTTCATGTCCTTTGATTACGAATTTATTCCCTAAATAATCAATACTTTTTTATATATAATTGCCAAGTGGAACCTTATAGCAACAAAAATACTGGCCTGCTTACAAAAGCAAATCTATTGAGCTCTGATCTACAAACATTCCCAGAGCTATACGGGTAAAACAGGACACCCAAAAAATAAATAAAAATTGTGATGCTGAATGTGTTTTATTCTTTTGCTATGTTCATTTCCTCGCCAGCTGCTGTATTAGTTAACGCCTTACTAAGGTTAGCAGGAGGTTTAGATGGGAGGAAGTAAAGGGGCCACTGCTGCTTCGAAGCTGAATGTGCCTGTGAAGATAGTGAGCTGATAACACCATTGTGCCAAAGCGTTCGTAAGCCGATATATTCAGACCCTGTAATGTTTCCTTCCTCATTATTCCATCTTGCTTTGCATTTCTCTGATTAAAATCAGCATTCTCAAAAATAGAGGAAGAAACCCCAAACCCACGCAGCATCTTAAGCTCAGCTCCTCTGTTTGCTCTTAAAAACTACTTCCCATTTTGCTCTGCATTTAGTAAAGAAATTAAAAACTGCGTATTAGAGCACCAATGACCTAATTTCCTGAGGGGGACAACTTGGCCTTTGCTTTATGGCCCCCCGGTGGTAAAGACTGGTTATACACTGGAGTCAAATATTGGATGAATGAGATTCTCTGCAAACACAAGAAGATAATGTGGATCTGGTTTGATCTGGTTACAGCCAATTTCCTTCAGGCAGTAAAATACCTGCTATGTCGCAGAGGGACAGTTCTCTGCATTTTGTTTCTAAACATTCGGGATGTTTGTGCTGCAATGCCTCCAGCAACATTTAGCAAAGCAAAATGTAAGTCAGATGCCACTTTTTAAACTGACATAAAAAACATTTAGCTAAAAACTGCTAAATATATTGATTGCTTATTGTAGCCAGGTTTCTGTGTGCATGATATACCCAGATATTCTGATTCAGGTCTGTTCAGCTCCATCCGTTTTACTATCTTACTGCAACTGAAGCCCTGTGCTGTTCAGGATGCGTCTGCACGTGAAGGGAAAAGGTTCATTCATGTTCTCAGACACTGGCTGTTAGAAGAACCAAAAAATAAATAAATCCAGAGTCAATGTTCACAATTCATTTTATAAAAAAAACAAAACAAAAAAAACTCCAATAAATATCACAAAATAGTTTTGTTTTTTTTGGAGAGGGGAATGTCACAGATGGGATTATTTAAATGTGCCTGATTGGTCGCTGGTTATGAAATATTTCACTAAGTCGTAGCACCACTCTCAGGTCATCTTTACAGCTCTGCTGACCTTGTTAATCAGTTCATAAAATAAAACAAAATGCAGAACAAAAATCAGCAAAGGGGCACTTTCTTTTTTTTCATATAAATATATTAATTTACACAAACTATAATGTATTTATCACAAACAACTAATGTAAAGACAGATCATTTAAAATCTAAACCCAGGTCTGTGATGAATTAAGAGAATTTTAGCTGCACAGCTGGGAAACTAAATCAGGACTTTTGTGCTTCAGTTATTAAAGATATGCAAACAGATGTTAGTTGTGACATTTCAAAAAGGCAATCTAACAGGTTTACAATCTTTAGGAACAAGCAACAGTGTGTCATTATCCATGCTTGTAGAGAGTCAACCCTGAATTCACTACAGGTTCAACTTGTGTTGCAGCATCGACGTTACAATTCAGAGATTTTCATCGAGTGGACGAACAGAGAACTTCTAATAGACGGCGAAGTCCGACTAGCGCACCAGGAGGAAGGTGAGTCCAGCGATGCCGACTCCGGCAACAGCAACCAGTGCCGTCTTCATGGAGGAGTCCTGGCTAACTTCTCTGGCGTTGCGGGCGTAGTTACAGAACCCATCCTGAAGGAGGAAGGAAGAAAAAAAATAAAATCATTAAATTTGAAAGGCTGGAAGGTATCTAGGGCAATCAAAATGGCTTTATAACCAGAATATGTTTAACAATACAGTGCAACTTTAAGTTTTAACGCAACTTTGTCAGTTTTAACGCAGAGCGTGACTGCAGCTGCTTCTAGCTGCAGGTGATGAACAGCTAGATGTTTTTCTGGTCATACAACGCTGCCTTTCAATATAAAGAAGAGACGGCATTCAATGCAGCTTAGACTGTTACCACACAGTCCATCTGGTTGAGCTGGTTGGGCGTCTGTTGGAGCCAGCTGCTCCACAGAGGAGGGGGAAGTGTCTGTGTGTGTTTGTTTGGTGTTAAGCAATCCATTCATAAAAAGAAGCCATTCAGCTTTTGTTGTATAGAGTGTATTAATGTGTAATGTTTTAAACTTTGTGTTGCAGCGTGACATCCTGTAAAATTGTTCAACTGTATTGATTTTGTCATTCCCCTTGTTGGAATGGTTGGTTAGTTAAAAAAAACAAAACAGGAAATAAACAGAATCGTATCAAACCAGCTGCTTTTCAAATGTTAGTGTTTTGAAATGCCTCCTGAAACACCCATCCTGCCTTTATCTGCAGATTTATCCTTGTTTTTCCTCCCAGCGTTACAAACTTACCCATCCATTATTTTCCTGCAGCCAGTCTTTTTTGTGCGTCTCCAGATAATCGGCGATGGTCTCTGCCAGCGCCCGGCAGCTTACGGGCTCCGTTTGCAGTTCCTGCTGCCTCCCAGGATCCAGCCCCGGGTTTTTGCTCGTTTGCTCCTGCAGCTGTCTGGCCAGCACGCCGGCAAAGGTAAAGAGGGATACGACCCTCCCCCAGTTAAAGAGTCCGTCCCCCACCATCTCGTCCATCACCTTCCTGAGGCTGGAGCAGAGGTCCGTCCCGCTGTGCCTCAGGAAGCTCTGGGCCAGGGTGTGGAAACGAGCCTGGTGCTGGGTCTCCATATCCTGGGCCAGGCGCCTCATGGCAGCGGCGGGCTCACTGGGAGGTGGCGGGGCTGGGAGCGGGCTGGAGCAGCGCAGGCGCATGTAATCCTCTGCGACAGCCACGGTCTCTTTCCACAGCCCACAGGACATTTTCTAAGAGAAAAACAAAAATTAAGTTATTTTGCTCATTTCTATATTGTTTTTTATTAATAATTGATGGAAAAAGGTGCTTTTAACGAACATTTTCAAAGAATGTAAACCAAGGGAAGCTAAAACTGACAGGAGAAGCTTTCTTATCTAAATGTATAGATAATCTAATTATCTCCTGTTATACCAAGTTTAAGAGTCTATATACTAGATTAGATTATGAAAACGGATTAATCTGATTTTACCAGCCAAAGTCTGAACATCAGAACATCAGTTTTTTTTTTATAAAATTCCAGAATGACGTCCACCAATCAAATGGCCACATATCAGAATTTCCCCAAACTAACTCTGACCAATGATGAGCAAAAGTCAAATGCTAAAAACTTTCATTGTAATGGTTTCTGCTTCCAAACTATCATCTCCCACCATTTTAACCAATAAACATATTGCCTAGTAGCAGAGGTGTCAAGTAACAAAGTACATATACTTTGTTACTGTACTTAAGCACACGTTTTAGGTATGTATCCTTTACTCCATTATTTATTTTTACTCCTACTTCTGACTTCTACTCATTACATTTTCACACAAATATCTGTACTTTCTATTCCTTATATTTTATATATATAAAACAAACGTTACTCGTTACTCTTGGCTTCGGTTTAATGTTTAAAAAATATTTCCCGTCATGTGCGCCATCCAATGCAGATCATTGGCTCCATCCACATCTAGTGAAAACAAGTGTGACTGGATGAGTCAGAACGCAAACACTCATTGGTTATCTAAAGGAAATCATCAGAAGCAAGCAGGTGTTCTTCAAACTGTAAACATGAATTGTCTATGCCATGCTACAATGTAGGATTCAGAAAAAGATGTTGAGATGTCTGAAAGGTCGGCCCTATCTCAAAGAATTTTTAGAAATAGTAGAAAAATTAGCTTTAAATTCATATAGTGGCATCTGGCTGTTTTTTTAAAGGTTACTTTATACTTTAAGTAGATTTTGGAGCACATACTTTTTCACTTTTACTTGAGTAAAGAGGTTAAGTTGATACTTAAACTTTTACCAGAGTGTTTTTAAACTGCAGTATCTATACTTCTATTTAAGTAACAAATGTGTGTACTTTTGACACCACTGCTTGTTAGTGAGGGAATAATTACAAGCAAAAATATGAAAACATTTGGCCGATTAATATATCCAATATTAACCTTGTAGTTATGTCTGATATTTATGTGTATTATACATTTTCCTTCCTTTTAGAAACTGTAAAACAGACCACAGTGCTGACATTGCATCTTTAATTTAGTTAATGACATGATTAAAAAACACCACAAGACCAATCCACACAATAGCTGATGTATAAATTAGGAAATGTCTGGTAAATTACTCATTTTCTTTCAATTCAACCACCTTAAAAAAAGTAATTTCTTTCCTTTTTGTGTGTTAATATGATTTAAATTGAGAATATTAAAAAATTAAATAGAAATCAGTGACTCAGGAAAAGCCTGAATGAAGCATCTGGATAGAGAGCCTTTAAAGAAGAATAATCTAGAACAGTTGCTGCCATTTTCCCATCATAAAATGATGAAAGTGGAGGAAATAAAAGTAGAAAAGGTTGTATTTCAGTGATGCATCAGGTCAGCTGACAGATCCACTCATTCATCAGGAGGAAGAACTGATAACTGAGCTGCTTCACCTCATTTTCCTTCCATACAGAAAGTAAAAATAGAACATGACTCAAAGTGGAAGCGGATATTTTCGGACCTCGTGAAATTTTACTCAAATATTCAACCGTTCCGTGACTAAAACGGCTCCTAAGAGGAGGATAAAGAAACGGTTAGCTGGGTGTCGGTGGTCAGAGGATCACTGGCAGCCATGGCTTCATGGAGCCGAAAAGAACAAAAAATAAGCCGGTGATTCCCAGAACAGACTGGAAACAATTTAATAAATATATTTCGTTTCAAAGTACAGGACAGTGTTAAACCTAAGAGTTTTAGGAGAATATAAGCAGCGAACTCAAAATAGTTAGAGCCGCTGTCTTCTTCTACTGTCAGCCAGCGATGCAATGGAGAACACAAAGGGCCGCTCACACCGGGGACTAACTTAGCCTCATCACCCACCCTCCGCCGCATCTCTCCGCGGCACAAACACCTTTAAATGGGTCCCTCTCTTATGTCTAAAAGAGATTGTAATATTCCAATAAAATAGAGTGTTTTGTTTAATCGTAAAGGCTTACCCTCCCAGTGATATGTGACGGCTCTCTGCACATCCAGACGGCGGAAGGAGAACCTCGCACGGTGCCGCTTCCGCTCCAGCCGGCGGCGCATTTATCTCTTAGCTCCGCCCACAGTTTCCGGTCTGCGGGTAACCCCCCTGCTTCCATTATACTTTGGAGCCGTCAACGGGTGGAAATGTTCTTCTCAAAATCATGATAATAATAACAATGATTAAAATCGTCATCTGGTTAAAGGAACTTTGCTTTCTCTGACTATAATAGGAATTAAAATAGGATTTTTTATTTCAGACAATTTTGACAAACATCAATAAATAAATCAACAAAATACACACAAAATATACTTATTAACACCAACAAAACCAAACACCAATTTTCAAACTAACTAAATTTATCTGAACATAAATAGAAAAAAACGTTCACCAAATAAACCTACCGGTATCTACAACCAGAGAAATTATATTGATTAATGAAAATTGTCTGAAAAGGGCTATGAAGAAGTAAAAGTAATTTTTCGTACCCCTCTCAATCTAATTGCATGTCTAATTGCACACATTATTTATATATATATATATATATATATATATATATATATATATATATATATATATATATATATATATATATATATATATATATATATATATATATATATATATATATATATATATAATTTATTTATTTTTTCTTCTTTTTTAACAGTGTCTTGTCTGGCAATGTGGCAATAAGATTAATAGTAATAACTGTCTTGATGCCAAAAAGAGCCCAACAGATTTTACTTTCACAAGTGGAGCAGTACGGCTATTGCCATAGTGTTCCGCTTGATTCATGCATATAAATTGCTTTATTATAATTATTAGTTTTATAGATTATATGGACACTGCAATGTAAGTAGAACAGGAACGGAAAAACAGAAAAAAAGAAGGAAAGATTAAATAAAGAGGAGATAATAAAAGGGAGATAATGATAAAACATCTTCAGTCTGCTTCATCACCTTCAAAGAGATGTAAAAAGAACAGCATAAACCCAAGGATATAGTATAAGACATAAAATAAAATAACACCTTGATGCTATCACTGAAGTATCAGTAGTATTCTTTAATCTGACAGGTATACTGTGGTAGCTGAAGAATATATATATATATGTGTGTGTGTGTGTGTGTGTGTGTGTAACTGTCTAGCCCTCAAAGTGAGGACCATTTTTCCAATTTCACCATCAAATTGTTGCTGCAAAGTGAGGAGATTTTGCCGGTCCTCACATGCTATTTTGCTAATGGTTAGGTTTAGGGCTAAGGTGTCAGTTGGTTAGGGTGAGGTATGCATTGGTAATGGCTAGGTTTAGGGTTAGTTTTAGGGTTAGGCATAGAAAGTGTTCAAAATGACCGAAGATCAATGGGAGTCAACTCATGTTCCTCACTACGATGGCAGAACGAGTGTATACCTGTATATATATATATATATATATATATATATATATATATATATATATATATATATATATATATATATATATATATATATATATATATACATATATATATATATACAGAAATATCTGAAATTAAATGTGAGAATTAATCTCTTTTTCGATCATTTGCAAATGTTAAATAGACACAAATGAGACAGGACTGGTGTTTGTAAAGTTGTAGTTTATAAAAATAACATTTGTTAAACAAATAACACAAAATCTAAAATTGAACTTGTGTATATAACCTTTTTGTAGTTTAATACTATATAGCAGTCTAATTCCCTGCATTGATTTTACATTCGAATTTTAACTTGAATAGGTTCTGATGTAAGTTTTGTACACAGATAAATTTTAAATGACATCTGTTTCTAAATGAAAATAAAAGCTAAGTGAAAAATTTAGCTGCAGCAGCAGCAGCAGCAGCAGCAGTGATCCATAGATCCCAACATGAAGACACATCAATCAGCCTCCAGGGGCGCTAGTGAGAGCCTTACTTCTAGTTCCACTAGTCCTAAACTATTTTTTATGTTGTATTTATTCATTTTTTATTTCATGCGGTGTATTGTTGTCATTCTCTCCTATATGGTATGAATGATTTTTTTAGATTAAATAATGATTTAGTTTATCTCTAAGTTAGCCTGCCTGTGTCAAAACCTGTGTGTCCATCTCAGGGGCACCGCCAGGGATTTGGGGCCCCATGAAAGACATTGATATCAATCCCCCCCCCCCCCCCCCCCCCCCCCATACATTTCATATATACCGGTATGTATACTACATATGTTTGTATTAATAAATAAAACAAGTACAAAAGCCTGATGGAGCTCCTGAACTGAAATTTTCTTCAGCAACACTTTCAGGGAAAAAAAATAAAATCAGGAGTTTTGTTTAATGTTCTGATTAATTAAAATTAATTATTATTAATTAACGTTCAGAAAATGTTCAGTCAGATTTATGCACCTCGACAGGTATGTTAGTTCACTGTTCATGAGCAAGGAACTTCATTCATCTGAGACAGTGTATTTTTTTAGAATAAAGTTTTTAAATTTTTATTAAAAATCTGTCTTTTATTTGAGTAAAGTAAATCATTTTAAGGGAGAGTGTTAACTTTGGCTGCAGTGTTAGATGGTCCTGGGCACATAACCATATAAAAGTTGGCTGGGATTATTGACATATACTGTGGATCTGACTTCTGGGAGAGGGAGGGTTGTCCTTAGATTATTATTTTTACTATTTTAAAGAAAGGTTTATTCAATATTTAGGATATCTGTATTTTTAAAGATCAGGTTTCTAACAACCTTTCTTTTTAAAACTAGGATTTTTGATGTCATGAATATCTTAATATGAGGATAGATGTTAGTTAAATATATGAACATATATATATGACTAGTTGTGGGCCTAGTCAGCTTGTAGAGTAATTAACAGAAAATAAAGTGTTGCATCTATCTTTAGTAGAATTGATCACTGCAACAGTGCCTTAATAGGTTTGCTTAATAAGTCCATCAGAAAGCTGCAGCTGATCCAAAACACTGCTGCCCATGTTCTCAATAGAACTAAGGAAGTAGAGCACATCAGCCCGGTTCTGAAGTCCTTCCACTGACTCCCTGTAGCTCAGAGAATAGACTTTAAAATCCTTCTGTCTATAAATCACTGAATAGATCAGCACTTCGATCCATAATAGATCTGTTGTCAGTGTATCACCCTCCCAGACCACTCAGGTCTTCTATTTCCAGTCCTCTCTGTCCAACCAGAACTAGAACCAAACATGGAGAAGCAGCATTTAGTTCCTGTGCTCCACTGATCTGGAACAAACTCCCAGAAGACTGTACAAGTTCTGAAAGCCTGAGTTCTTTAAATCAGGTGTTAAACCCATTTGTTTAGAGCTGCCTTTGACGGCTGAAGTTAAATTACTAACTGATATATTATTAGTTTAATTCTGGTCCTACTGTGTTAGTTGTTTTACTCCCAGCTTAAATCGGCCTTTTATTATTTTATTTACCCTTTATTTCATTATTTAATTCATGTAAATCACTTTGAATCGTCTTTGTGCTGAACTGTGATTTACAAATAAACTTGCCTTCCGCAGGTTCCTCTATCTGCAGTAACACTTTATAAGCCTCATGGTTGGAGCCTGTTGATCAAAGATGGTAAATGAGAGGGAAAGTGGAAATCTTGGCAAAGGATGATATGAAGGATTTTTATGCCTCTGGATTTTAGAGGCATAGACCAGTATCAGGTATTACGGGCTATTACAAGGCTTTGTTTTTGTTTCACTCTATAAAGCCTGGAACTTAACGCTTTTTCTGACATTTTGAATTTAAAAAGCTCGCTGGATGGGAAGCAAAACCTCTTTAAACTTGGAAACAAAGTCCAGTGGATTGTTGTTTTTAAACTTTACTTCCTTAGTCTTCCCATTTCAAATAAATATGAAGAGTTAAATGTAAAAAAAAAAAGACTAAAATAAATTGTGAGACATTATAGGTGTATTTTAGTCAGAAAGTGACTTAATTTTTAATTTTATTACATTGCCTAATCCTATTCTTTTAAGATCCATGCTTTAGCAATTATTTTAGTCCAAGTATTAATAATAGAATTTATGTAATTTTGTAAATGTGTTTAAACAATGATAATAACTACATCTGTTTTAACCTTCTTCCATGTGGTTTTATTTTTCTTCATCAAAAGATGAAGAATAAACTACATTTAACTGAATAGGGGAGTGGCGGTCTAGTGGTTAGGGCATAGAGCTTGGAATCCTGAGGTTCTGAGTTTGAAACCCACTCCCACAGGCTGCCACTCTGGGTCCCTGAGCAAGACCCTTAACCCCACACTGCTCCCCCAGGCGATGGGTTAAATGCAGAGAGTTCCTTTTAATGCTCTGTACTTGTGACAGTGTAATGAGAATAAAAACAATTTTTATTGGATAATTGGGATTCCAATGGGATGCATGTTATTGACTTTAAATCTGTAGGTAAGATTGATATAAATTGACTCATTGATGGGATTGTTGTGAATTACTGCTGTGTAAAGAAACTTATTCAATTAATGAAAAACAGTTTAACAGTGTCAGCTGGGCTGGAATTTAAAAAAATATATATAATTGTTATCATAAAATGATCAGAGTATCACATTGCAAAGGAAAATGATTGATTAGAGGGTAAAAACTGGGAATATACCAATCAAAATGTCCTTTTTGTGATCAAAAAATCCATGTAAATAACAGGACAATATTTTACTTTGAATGAAAACTACAAAAAGACTTAACTTTGTTTGCAGTTTTTAGCCACATAAGCTAAATACCAAGCACCGCCCTACATCCTGATTTTGGTTTAAAGCATATATAACCTGTTTGACTTCAGCATTCCCCCATAACCAGGCTTAACATTATACCTTTACTACCAAAGGATTTAGTTTCACCTGAGCTTAAAATAAAACAACAACATCAAATGTCTGTATCTTACCGTTAAAACTTGGATCACTGACCAGCTTTAGACAGTAAAACCATCGGGCAGCAGCCACCGACTCTAAGCAAAGGTAAATCTGTCAACGATTTAAAGAACTATCACTTTGTGGGAATTCCCTAATGCAACAGCCACTTTGTTTTATCCTCCTCTATTCCTCTTTCTCTTTATTTTACATTGGTGTTTTCCTATGGGTATTCTTAGGGATTTTTGGGGGGATTCAGTTGAGCTACTGTTTAAACATAAAGACAGTATCCTGCTCAAAAGGGCCTTTTTTTCTATGTTTTGTTTGTTTTCGAGGGACTGTTCCCAAATGCAGATTTTAATAATCCATAATTTAGCATCAGTACTTTAAAGAAAACACCCAGCAGTTCAGAGAGTTTCAGTGGAAGGGTGTGTCTGTTTTAGCTCAGTACTTTGTTCATTATTGATAGGTGAATTATTTTCTGTGATATAAAGTGCTTATGTGGAAAAGCAACCTGACCTTTGAGCAATGTACCAACAATGAGGTGTGAGACAATCAATCATGTTTTAAAAAACTAGATCCATCTTCATCTGTTGTCCTTTAAAATTCAAGTTGACCTTCTGCATTTCTTTTGTATTTTTTTTCCCTCTAATTCAGTTTTTTTCTCTGCTCAGCTTTGGTAAGCATTGCTGTTTTTTAAACTGCTGTATAAATAAAGTGGTATGATTTACTGTGCAACAATCAGGCTCCTCCTGGCTAGTACCCATTCCCAGTTTATCTGGAGCTCTTACCTGCTAATTTCATTTTGGATCGATTCAGTCTCATAAAGGAAGCTGCAGGTTTGTAAAATAGTAAAATTTTACTTTGGAGGTTTTTGTTTCTAAGCTTTATCTAATTATGAAACTCAAAAAAGGTGCATAAAAGTTAATGCTGTTGGTTGATGCATTCAACATACTAAGAACAGGGAAAGTAGAAAAATCAGTGCTTTAGCTGCTGATAACAGATCTGATACATCATAATAAGCTTCCAACCTCTGGCCAGATGATGGATCTCCAGATATATCTAATAGTAATGAAACTGGAGCTTTTCTGAGGGCCGTATCTGCAGTTCTGATAAGCCTACAGATCAGTTTTGCAGCTTCAATTACCGTGTTCAACAGCCTTCAATTATAAAATTAGCTTTCAGGTGAAATGGGGCTGCAGGTGCATTCTCTAGACTGGAAATCAGGATTATTTACCCTCAATCTATTTATTTCTTTTTATTTTCAACTTAAATAAAAAGAAAAAGCTCACATTTTGGGTAATTAATAATAATAACCTTATAGTTAAAAAAGAATTCTGGAAGAAGTTTAGGCAAATTTATCAGGTCCAAAACCATTTAATTAGACACAATTTAAAGTTACTGCTCACTGCAATTTGACAAAAAGTCTTGACAATATATCACTGCTACAGTAAATTCTCAGAGTGCCGCAGTGAATAGTCCAAATATGGATTGAAATATTATTTTATTTGGGAAAAGTAGCAGACAGAAAGCAAACATAAAGCAAGACTGAATAAATACTGAACAGAGAAACAAGGAATAATCCACAGTTGATTTTATTTTATCACAGGAAAATCAGTGATGGTTAAATAAAAACACTATGATGGTTAAATTCCTTAAATCTTCATTTTAGCCATAAGGTGCATCAGATAGAGCAGTGCTTCCCGACCCTCTGATAGAAGACGCATGAACCAAACCATAGTTCTAGGTTTATCAGCTTAAGTCCACTGAATAATAATAAAATAACAAACAACATATTATTCTTACATATTTTAGTACTGTTTTAATGCTTTGCAGCATTTGTTTTATTGTTATTTATTGTGATTTCTAAGAAGGACGATATCACCATCACTGTGCCATTACAGTAGGTAATAAATAATATCTCTATAGATAATAAAACACTTAAAAAAAAGGAATGATGTGGGGTACAGTGACTTTTGAAAGAAAAGATTTTCTAATATTTTCATATTGTTGTCACTTTTCATTGGCAGCCATTAATGTAGAATGAATGCATAACCCTCAAGTTAAAGAAAAAGGATAGTTTAAAGTCTGTGTGGTGTGTATATGTATTATCTGTAATATACACCCCTGTTAGAAAATTAGTTCCATTTAGAAATCTCCTCATTAGTAGAGAAAGAGTCCACCTCTATGATTCGCTGGACAAATCTGTTGAAAGGACAACTAAGGGTGCAGTCAAAAAATAAAAATCTGTCCTTTATAGAGAGGTGATAAAAATAAATCCAAAAGCTATGAAACGTTACTTAAAAGTTTGTTAAAAACTATTTAGAGCACAGCAAACATCTGTTTAGATGAGGCCAAAAGAGAACTAGTCAACCTGTATGCCCTCACAGTCAAACACGGTGGTGGCTACATCATGCTTCTTTCTCAGCAGTAGAAAAACCACTCAAAGCTGATTGGAAAATGGATCCAATGATTAGATTTATGAAGCCCGGTGTGTTTAAGACTGAAACTAACAATGAAGAGGTTTAAGCAAGCTTTGTTTGTTACATGTTCACATGTAGAAGAGGTTGAATCTTTGAGGGAAGCTGAAGTTTAGCATTCAATCATTTAAGCAGGACTGTTGACATCAGGCAGGAGTGCTGATCTCCATCTTGAACTGAACCATTTGAGCGTCTTTAGGCCCAAATCTGCAAGAAAAAGGAAAATTATTAGGTTGAAAAATGAAAAACAGCTCCTCCAAAAACAAGAGTCGCTGCTGTGATGCAATCTGAAGCCAAATGTTTAGAATTGGGTTGAAATCTGTAAACATTTTGTTTTCTTGACGTAAAGAAGAAGTGTTGTTTATTGTCTTTGAACTGAATGTAATTCAGTTTCGGGTTTTTTGAAGCCACTAATGTGGCGTCTAACTTCCTGCTTTGCGGGGGCTCACCCTTAGGCTGTTGTCCCAGGAGGCCGAGCAGAGCGCCGTGCCGTCGGGTGATACTCGGACTCTGCTGATACGGTTTTCATGGCCAAAGAGGATGGAAACACGATTTCCCTTCAGGACGTCCCAGACATTGATGGTGTAGTCGTTGTACCCAGCGAAGAGCAGGCGACCTGGTGGTTGGTGGATAAAAATAAAGAAGGAAGTTGAAATACAGAGAAACGGATACAAACAAAATGATTGGATGGAACTTTGTTATTGCTTTAAATACATCTCAAGAAAACATTTGGTATCGTAGTTATAATAAGGTTATAGTGGAGGAGGATCTCTGGATTGTACAACAGGCCAACATTTCGGTGAACCTTTAATCAAAAGTGTTTCTCACCACTTAGAGAAAAGTCCACAGAGGAGGCGCCAAATATGATGCTGTCCTTCTGATAGACGGCCACTTCACGGTCAGCCCGCAGGTCATAGAACCGGCACTGAGGAGAACCAACAAACGGGTCAGGATAAAACACACAGCTGGATACATCAGGAGCTCAGAGGGAGCTTTAGCTCAGGATAAGTTAGTATTACAAGAAGTTTTAGAGTGTTCAGGCTGTTAAAAATAAACATCCCTTAGTCTGAGGAAAAAAGATTCAGAGTGAGACCATTACATCAACTGAGAGTCAACTTCCTCAGAATAACTGCTGTCCCATGACATCAAGTGGGGAAGCAGAACTCACCGTGGCGTCATCTGAAGCTGAGGCAAAAGCGTCGCCACTGGGGTAGTACCTGGAGAAGAGGAAGAGACGTTTTCACTGTGACGGCTGGAACAACAAACACCATTCATGTCGTTTAGTTGTTTCATATAGGGTTTCATTGACAGAGCCATCTCATTATTTGGTATTAGTCATCAGCATTACACTGTATTCCTGAAGTAGTGCTCGCTCTTTGGTTTACCCTGTTTTTGTTATGATTGGGTTTCATTTATTTCTGTTTGAGTTTTGCAGGAGACCAAGGGGCTGAGTTGTTTTGGACCGTACCACATCAACGCAACGGGGGGGGCGGTTTACTTTATTTGGTTTATTTAAGCTCAGTGGGGCATTTTTGTACTTGTTGCATTTTATATTTTCGGGTGATAAAAAACAAACATGTTTTTTGACATTGACCTGTGCCTGACTGTCCTTACTGCTCACATTGATTTGCTGTTTGTGCAAATTAAAATGCACATTAAAACTGTGGGGCAACTGTTGGGTGACAGTGGTCTCTGATGTAGGAGTTTGCCGTGCAACCGTAGGGTGTTCGGCTCAAGCCCCGACTCTGGATTTCAGTGTCGTCAAGACACTTCACCTGCATTGCCTACTGATGGTGGTCAGAGGGCTTGGTGGCGCCATTGTACGGCAGCCTCGTGTTTGTCAGTGTTTGTATGGGCATCTGTGACTCCATCAGTGTGCGTGAATGGCTGAATGCCTGAATGTAGTGTAAAGCGATTTTTGTCACATCCTCTGACTTGAAAACGTGCAGGCCATTTTGTGTTCCTCTATTAAAATAGTTTCTATGGAAACAACTGGGACGTCAAATAAGGGAGCCAGACAACAAATAATCTTTAAGATTAATGCATTCTCACATATCAGCCAAACTGTTGACTTGAAGAGCATAAAAATATATCATATTAGCTCTATGAAAGGAGCTAGATAACAAATAAAAATGTTCCGAGACTATTTAAAATCTTAATTGTTAACTCAATAATTATCTCTAAATCAAGTTAATTAAATTAGGAGAGCATGGAGAACGTAAATGAGTTTGTGAGTTGGTCTGATAAACCCACATAAAGGAGGACCTCTTATCCATCCTAAAGACTAAATTGATTTTTGTTTTTTTATAGCAGCAAGGTAGGAAAAAAGGTTTATTAAGACGGAACCCATCCAAAATGAGTAGATCTAGTTTCCCTTTACAGTCTAACAGACCTGACTTGCTTTTTAAGCTGTTAAAATGTTTTCATTGCTTTTGATTTTGGTGAACTTTGGATTCACTATATAATTGTGCATTATTCTAATAACTCTAACATAACAAACTTTATTCAAGCAACTCTTTGTACTTCCTTTTACTAGGGGAGCCGTGTCACATGTCCTTTTCCACGAAAAGTTTAGAGTCCAAAGTGAAGTTGACGTGTAAATGTTCCAACACGACTTAAATGACTAAAAACAAACTTGCTGACGAGACAAACTGCTGTTCTGGGAATATTTCAGTGTCAGGATGAGGCTATGGGTGCAAAATGTAAGATAAAGTTGTAAGAGGAATATTTCAGAGCCTGGGGGGGGAAATAATCCTGTTTAATCCAGAACATTATCACAGCGATCAGACAGCTGCAGAGCCACGAGATCCAGCTTTTAAATCACAGATTACATACAGAAGTGCTCATTTGAAGCGCAGCTGTTATGAGACCTCTGAGTTTAATGGTGTGAAAACCTGATTGAGCAAAGCCACGCTTCAGTGGCATCTAAACCAACACTTTCTTCCAAACTCATTAGATGATGCATGCAGGACAGTTTCAGTCTAAAGACAGATTTGTGGAAATTAACTAACTTCACACAGTTGATATCAGACTCGTGGCTTTCAAAAGACTGGATGTTCTGTCCTGAGCGCATATCCCATACATTGGCCTTCATATCACAGCCCTGTTAACAACACACACAGAAAACACAGGTTATTAAAAGATAACCTCATTATAAAGCATTGCTTTAGGTAAAGCATGCTCTGTGCTTTAACTAAATGTGACTGTGACGGACTGGTGTCTCTTTACCCCAGATACAAAGGTATTTCCAGTCTCAGACGGAGCAAGATCCAGCGACAAAACATCCGCTGTGTGACCGTGGAAACTCTGCAGCAGCTGCCCGCTCTCCACGTCCCACAGGGCACACGTGCCATCTCCACTGGAGGTCAGCAGCTGCCAGACAGATACATAACGTCAAAGGTACCACAACATGTCTGTGGGGAAAGGTGCACTGAATGGACTTGGAAGAAACAAACAGAAATCCAGCCTGAAGCTTATAGAAGTTATTCAAATATAGAAAATCCTATTTGATCTGAAGTAGTGAAACCTCAGCACAGCTTGGTATCACTAAGAACCTCAGGGGCTTTAGAAAAGCCCCAAACATCATGCTGGTTTGTTATTTTTAGAGTTTATCTCTTGCTATTCTTGTTAATCTCTTTACCTGTTTGGTAGTATTTTCAATTCTCTAATTTACTGGGAAATGAAAGAGACAGAAATAACCCAGTGGCTTCATTGTGTCCTATATTTACTATGCAGCCATAATAGAACTTTTGTTCCAGAGGGACATCGACTGAAGGAAGTGGTATTTTCACATGAAAAAGAAAGTTATTTGTTGCCTGTATTAGTGGGAATCAGCAACAAATAGAGTCAAAACACACAGAGAAGACAGTAGAACAGCACCTATGATAGGCTGAAAGCTCCCACTGAGCAATCGTCCATCTATACACAAACAGAGCTGCAAAACGTTCAAATGTCACCAAATCCTCAGATGAAAACAAATCATGGGCTCTGAGAGAAACACAGAAACATCCCTGATGGCTGCTTGATTAGAGAGGATGCTGCATGACCTCAGACCTGAAACACACCACATCCTGCTGCAGAGAGAGCAACTCTCACTTCTAGCATTTCGAAAAGCCACAGTTTCACAGAAACGTGTTTGCTGGAGCGATGAGACGAGTAGCTTTTCTATCGGTCTGACTACTGATCTGCTGCAGGATATTTAAAAGCCCATCGACAGGAAGCCTTGACTCATGCACACAAAGAGGCCCTGGAGACTCTGATTTACATTAGAGAGGGAGTTTCTGCCTTCTGACAACAATGGACACATTGGTTGGATGGGGGGGTAGCAGTAGGGCCTAAGAATTACTCACACAGCTTGAAATACAAAAACAACATAGTTATTAATTGGAAGGAAAATCTCAACTCTCTACAGTTTTATTTTTACATATGAAATCTAAAAAGCATCCCCAAAGCACAATGCTGCCATCACCATGTTTCACTGTCGGGCTGGTGTGTTCAGAGGCAGTGTTGTTTGCATTGAGGCCACAGCTTTTAACTCTTTTTCCAGCTAAAAGTCATAAATCCATGAGATAATGGATTTATGGATTTTTAACAATAATTGGATTCATGCAAGTCATGCAAACTTTATATTGGGCATCTTTTCACTCTCTTTTCTCTTTGCAAATCATCTAAATCAAATTAATAATCAATCTTTGTCCTGTGAATGGATTCTCTGTGGATCCCTGCAAGGCAACAAACAGTTAGAGATGTACCAGCCTAATATTACCTAATCATGCTTTAAAGTTCCCCACAGTTTTATCTCTGATCTTTACCGACCTTCTCTAACTTCTGATCGGTTTCCCAGGATTTTCCTTTAGTGGCGTTAGAGCAAGACGGTCTGAATACATAATGTATGCCACTTTTTTGACATTAAATTTTCTAAAAAGCGTTTCCTTTGTGCTTGTAACATGGCTGAATATGGAAAAGCTGAAGGGGTGTGAATACTTCTGCTATCTGCTGTGTAGTTGTGTTTATTTGTGTGGTAAATGTTCTGCCCTCAGGGTCAGAGTACTCCAGTCTCCCAGATAAAAGCCACTCAGTGTCTATTAATACTCCCAGGACAGATCATACCACTCCTCCTCTCCTTATTTCCCTCCCCTCTGTGCTCTTCTGCTTTTTGAAGAGCCAGAAAGGAGTAAATTATTAACGCAAATAGCTAAAACCATTTCCTTCATGTTGTTCCTGCGATCTGCTCAGCTTCGCACACAGGATCCAATTAAGTAACATTACTGACGCACAAAAATTCAACCAGCAATAAATTGATATGCTAAACAGAGATGTGACTTCCAGCTGTGATGACTTTTAGCTGGAATAGATGGTGAGAAAATGGTGGAGCAGGTGTTCCCCCAGGCTGTGCTGCATAATCAAACATGCACACACCTACTTTGTTGAATCTGAAATTTCACTCCATCTCTTTTGGATTTTTTTTTCCATTGCTGCAGGATGTATTCTGCAACCCTTGTTTCCATTCATGCACTGTTTTTAGGTCATCGTTAGTGTTTAGAAGAAGATACCCTGTATACAGGTGCTGGTCATAAAATTAGAATATCATGAAAAAGTAGATTGATTTCAGTAATTCCATTTAAAAAGTGAAACTTGTATATTATATTCATACATTACATACAAACTCATATATTTCAGATGTTTATTTTGTTTAATTTTGATGATTACAAATGACAACAAATGAAAATCTCAAATTCATCATATCAGAAAATTAGAATATTACTGAAGACCAATAAAAACAAAGGATTTATAGAAATGTTGGCCAACTGAAAAGTATGAACATGAAAAGTATGAGCATGTACAGCACTCAGTATTTAGTTGGGCCTCCTTTGGCCTGTATTACTGCAGCAATGCGGCGTGGCATGGAGTCGATCAGTCTGTGGCACTGCTCAGGTGTTATGATAGCCCAGGTTGCTCTAATAGTGGCTTTTAGCTCTTCTGAATTGTTGGGTCTGGTGTATTGCATCTTCTTCTTCACAATACCCCATAGATTTTCTATGGGGTTAAGGTCAGGAGAGTTTGCTGGCCAATTAAGAACAGGGATACCATGGTCCTTCAACCAGGTACTGGTAGCTTTGGCACTGTGTGCAGGTGCCAAGTCCTGTTGGAAAATGAAATCTGCATCTCCAAAAAGTTGGTCAGCTGCAGGAAGCATGAAGTGCTCTAAAACTTCCTGGTATGTGGCTGCGTTGACCCTGGACCTCAGAAAACACAATGGACCAACACCAGCAGATGACATGGCACCCCAAACCATCACTGACTGTGGAAACTTTACACTGGACTTCAAGCAACGTGGATGAAGTGCCTCTCTTCTTTTCCTCCAGACTCTGGGACCTTGATTTCCAAAGGAAATGCAAAATTTACTTTCATCAGAGAACATGACTTTGGACCACTCACCAGCAGTCCAGTCCTGTTTCTCTTTAGCCCAGGCAAGACGCTTCTGACGCTGTCTGTGGTTCAAGAGTGGCTTGACACAAGGAATGCGACAGCAGAAACCCATGTCTTTCATACGTCTGTGTGTGGTGGTTCTTGAAGCACTCACTCCAGCTGCAGTCCACTCTTTGTGAATCTCCCCCACATTTTTGAATGGGTTTTGTTTCACAATCCTCTCCAGGGTGCGGTTATCTCTCTTGCTTGTACACTTTTTTCGACCACATCTTTTCCTTCCCTTCGCCTCTCTATTAATGTGCTTGGACACTGAGCTCTGTGAACAGCCAGCCTCTTTAGCGATGACCTTTTGTGTCTTGCCCTCCTTGTGCAAGGTGTCGATGGTCGTCTTTTGGACAACTGTCAAGTCAGCAGTCTTCCCCATGATTGTGTAGCCTATAGAACTAGACTGAAAGACCATTTAAAGGCTTTTGCAGGTGGTTTGAGTTAATTAGCTGATTAGAGTGTGGCACCAGGGACCATCAATTTTGAACCTTTTCACAATATTCTAATTTTCTGATATGATGAATTTGAGATTTTCATTTGTTGTCATTTGTAATCATCAAAATTAAACAAAATAAACATCTGAAATATATGAGTTTGTATGTAATGTATGAATATAATATACAAGTTTCACTTTTTAAATGGAATTACTGAAATCAATCTACTTTTTCATGATATTCTAATTTTATGACCAGCACCTGTATATGTACAAAATACCACGTAGAACTGTGTTTTTTGTCATTGTTAATTTTGTACCAGAGGCCATAGTGGCCATTACAGACGAATATGAGCGTCAGAACACATGGTGATTATCTTTGTTCTCTGAATCGAAATATGCAACTTCCTACAGGAACATCTCAGAAAGTCAGAATTTGGAGTCAGAAAGTCGGTGCAACATGGTGGTATCGCCTTGTGCATTAAAGTTGGATGCCACTTGCATCACCATTAGTTATATTGGTTCCAGGTACTTAGAGATTCACTTCCATACAGAAAGCTCATATACTTATCTTCAACTACCACAGTATATATGTCAGATTAAATAATACTACTTATAATTCAGCGATACTATCAAGGGGTTATTTTATTGTATCTCTTATACTACAGTATATCCGTTGGTTGTGCTGTTCTTTTGACATCTTCCTTTGCAGGTGATGAAGCAGACAAAAGGGAGACGATGATAAAACATCTTCTGTCTTCTCTCTCCTCTTTCTTTCATCTTTTCTCCTTCTTGTTTTTCCTTTCGTGTTCTACTTTCCCATTGCAGTGTCCATATAATCTGTAATACTCCCTGCATGAACTATAATAAAGCTATTTACATGCATAAATCAAGCGGAACATTATGGCGAAAGCAACTTTTGAAAGTAAAATCTGTTGGGCTCTTTTTGGCATCAAGAAAATTATTCTTATTGCCACATTTCCAGAAGACACAGTGAAAAAAACAACATTAGTTATATTTTCCTACATTATCTTTTTTTAACGGTTCTTTATTATTTATCAGCATTGAGACAGCCATTCAGGGGCTACTTGTGAACATTTAGAGGACAATATGTTTAAATTATTAAATGTTTTGTGATTGTTATGCTTGTAACAGTGGAGATAGTGACCTTATAGAAAACAAGTGTCTAGATGCAGAAGAGCAGAAGGCATTTACCTAGATGATTAAACTCCAACTTGTTGATAATGGAAGCATTATACAGCACAATCTATCTTTCACTGCTATGCAGATGACTTTCAGCTTTATGTATCTATATAAGGAAAAGGATAACTGAACATGCAAAACACATATAGGCTGTCTGGAGCAGCTACAGGATCACATGGCTCTTAAAAACACAGAAGAGATTATTATTGTTTATATTATTTGATTTCAATGTGTCTGGTAGTTTTTATTCTAATATTACTATGGCCATATTGCAGAGAGTTACATCATATAACATCTTTGTTTATAGATGTTGGAGATTATCCTGTTTTCCAGTGTAGTCTTGTTTCTCTGACTGTGACTAACTGGATGTGCTTTCTTCATCCTCTGACATGGGAGCTGGCTCGGAGCTCGTCTGCCTGGCTGTGTGTTTCCTGGACCGGGCTGTCCAGTCGTCCTCGGCAGATGGTTGCTAACACTGAGCCTGGTTCTGATGGAGGTTTCTTCCTGTTAACAGGGAGTTTTTCCTCTCCACTGTCACTACAAGCATGCTAAGTGTGAGGGATTGCTTTCAACTCAGTGAGTTGATGCAATCAACTGGTTTCCCTTAGATAGAAAACTGAATCAATTTGACTGGATGATCTGGTGAACTGTAAAGTGCCTTGAGATGACTTGTGTTGTGAATTGGTGCTATAGAAATAAACTGAATTGAATTAAATTCTAATAAAACTGCACTGAACAGTTTTAGTGGTCTTCCTAACTGTCAATCATTCTGGTGATATGTTTATGTAATTCTTATATTTTACATAATTCTTATATTTTACGTAATTCTTATTCTAATTGTTAGTTAACAGTCTATTTAAGATGCAAGTATTTTAGTAGGGCCCAATGTTCTTTACTTCAGTTCTCTGAAAATCACCAGAATATAGAAAATGTATATTGTGTGAATATTTTTCCACATAACTACAGGTCCCTTGTTATTAATCAGTAACATTTACTGTGCTATAAAAAGTCCACATTTTGCCACTTTGTTTTAGTTAAATCCTCTGAAAACCTACAACCTATACCTGCACCTATCCTTATCTATCCCTGATAGGGGTTGCTCGTCCAAACTATTTTAATATCTCACTGCAAGGTTTGGTGAAAAGTTGGCAGCCCTGATAATAGTGTTTTAAATCTACCTCAGAAGAGGGAAATTAGGACGTCATAATCACAAAGGCGGTAGCAATTAATGTTTTCTGTTTTACATCAGATCTGTTTTGCATAATGTGTTTATGTCCTTATCATTCGATGTACACTAGATGCATATTTTTAGCAAATGCAAACCATCAGCTGTTATTTCTCTAACATGGACCCTGGTCACGACAAATTGGTAAGCACAGCTACAAGCGTCTGATTAAAAAAAAAAAAAAACAGCAACTCTATGAGTCTATTAAAGTCCTTAACAGATCAGTGACCTGTTGCTCACCTGCATGTCTGAGTTGGTGAAGGAGCATCCAGATACATAGTTGGTGTGCATGGCAACCGGCTTCTTCTTTGCAGCCAAATTTTCATTTCTGTCTAACGACAGCGGGACCACTGAGCACTTGTTATCCAAGCCCCTATTGGATGACATCACAGATATTAGATACATTTACAGGAAGTGAAGGAGACACTTTTGCTTCCAATCAGCTGATTATATGTGACAAAAGGAGGCAGTTTACTCACCCACACGCAACAGCACAACCTGAGGGAGCGTATGCACATGCCATGACCCAGGTACATGGCAGGGTCACCCCATGCTCCTTTAGGACACAAATAACACGAGCATTAACACACAGTCACACATCAGGATGAAAACTATTCCCTCCTGATTAAAACTAGGATTCTGTGCAATAATAGTCCCCTTTCAACACTTTAGAAAGTCAACTAAAAGTAGTAAATAACTGTATGGTGGAAGAAACACTATTTCTAGATATGTTTTAGAAATAAAAAGTCATTAAATACGGAGAAACCAGACACCTTTAGAAGTTAGATAACAGGTAAATAGATTGCAACTGTAATTTTACTGTAGAATGAATATGCAAAACACAGAACTAAGAGTGGCAGACCATCTAAGGTACGCTGGAGAGAGAATTGATCAGAGTAGTAGCCAACAGGTCCTGGTAACAATGGAAGCGGCCTTTATGGAAGAATAGCAGGAAGGTCGCCATTGTTAAAATACGGTTATGATTAGTCCAACTAAAGAATATCCATCCATAAATAAAGGAATAAGGTTCTCTGATTAGATGAGAATAAAGTTTTACATCTTTGGCTTTACATAGAGGGAAGCTGATAGGGAGCTAAATCCATGGCAGTCCTGGAAGCAAACCTGTTACAGACTGCAAAAAAAATGGAGCCTGAGGCAAAGGTTAACGAGCCAGCAGGACAGCGACCTCTTGGTTACAGAAGAATGTTGGATTAATTTATTAACAGTACTCGAGTTGAGGGGTGGGGTGGAGGGTGGGGGATCCCCCTTCTTAAAAAAAAATCTTAAAAATCATCCCCCTTATTAAATGACCATCCCCCTGTGACATTTTGTTACTGAATGTGTAAAATTTACGAGTAGCCTGAGCAAACTAAATAAAATCATATTATTTTCTGGAGGAACGTTTCCCTCTGCTGTGGGCTCTAAATGGGAAGAAAAACATCTGCCTTCCTGTAGAGGGGAGAAGGGCAAAGTCTGCGTATATTTCTCTAGAAATGAGAACATTAATAATAAATCAATAGTTGTGTTAAATCAGCTGAGTTTCTGATCAGATCTAAATGATGACATCTGATCATTAGACACCTGTTACTGTCTCACAGGATTGTATTCATAGATATTACAAGAAGAACTAGAAATAATAAATTACTTAAGATGAATTTGACTACATTTGACAAAATCACTGTCAATGTAACCATCTGTATTTTTAATATGAGCTGTCAAATTCCAGCTGTCACTGGTTTTTCATTTATTGAGGCAGGAACAGACCGAAGTTTCATGGGTTTTTTCCAGCATGGATTGTTTTCTATTTTGTTTTTTACGTATCTGCATTTAGATCACTGGGATTTGAGTCAAATGATGACATTGACACTAGTATTACCAAATACAAGTTTAAAATGCTTAAAAATAACACAAATATGTACATTCTGAAGATTATTTGATGGATTCTCCAGGTGTTTTCTCCATCAGTCACATTATTGGACATTATTTACAATTTAATGGACAGAATGTATTCGTTCATAGATAAAAATTCTGCTTTGTTTATCTGACAAACCATCCACATTAAAAGGAGTGATCCATCCATCCATCCATCCATCCATCCATCCATCCATCCATCCATCCATCCATCCATCCATCCATCCATCCATCCATCCATCCATCCATCCATCCATCCATCCATCCATCCATCCACATACCTTATTAAGAGTAAAGGCGTCCCATACGATCACCTTTCCATCCTAGATGAGAGAAACATGTTTGCCTTCATCTCAGGGTTAAAATAAAATTTTCTCATAAATTTGTGCACTAATTCTATTTTCTTCTGGGATTCGCAGCTCTTGCAGAGAAAAAGGGAATTATGTAGAGACTAAGGGGAAGTAATGGGCCCATTCAGGTGAAATCTACACTGAGAGACATGCAGTAGTCTCTAGAAACCTGCAAAACAATTCTACTAATGTTATTCCTTTTAATGGCTCTAACTTTAGCTCATTAAAATCCAAAGATGCATCTGGTTCCAGTGCTGTCATCACGTGTAGGGGGCTAAAACACAGCACAGGACCCTTCAGCAAAGGTTTGTGTGTCTGCTTGTACCTGTGATGAGCTGACCAGGCGACGTTTGTCCTTGCACCAGTCCATGCACAGCACCTTATTGCCATGACCCTTTAGAACACGCCTGGTTTTCAGGGAAAGAGCAGCAACTGCCTCGACCTTCTCAGCAACCTGATGCACTGAGGGGACATGCAAACAATACACACATGTACATAATCAGGTGTTTGGAAAAAGGCAGTACTTAACGGTTTTTCTAACTTTGTTTTTGTACTTCTAGTTTAACTTTCAAAGCTGTAAACAAGAGATGCTTGTATATTTGGTTTGTATATTTTGTTCAAAATTTAATCTGACGAAGGGAAATAAGAAAATAAGGAAAACAATTGGAAACACTTATTTTACTTTTCCAATTTTGTCTTTTCCAGGTTGCAACATGAGCAGAACATCAATGCATGTTTTTGAGGCTTGTGATCTCAATAAATGAAGGCCGACTCTTTATCTGATCTAAAACAATACAATAAGATTGGTAAAGGAAAAAAAGTTAAGCTTTTTTCACTCTTATTTGAGGTCTAAAAACTGATCTTTTTATTAATTTAGATTAGTGCTGTCAAAATTATCGCGTTATTATCGCGTTAACGCGAGGCCATTTTAACGGCGATAATTTTTTTAACGTGAGATTAACGCTATGTGGTTTTATGGTAAAATTTTCCAAGTACATCCCGCTGCAGCCTGCGAGAAGGCGGGGCTATTTTCCCCAAGTCTATGCATTTTCCATAGGCTTCAAGAGCGGAGCTCCTCAAGGAAAAAAGACGCTCATACACTGGGTGACGCTAGTGCCTTTTCTTTAAGCCCCACCACCAACAAACAAGTTGAGTGTCTGGTAACTAGTAGCAACCTGAAATACGCTGAGAAAACAGATTACTGAGGTGAAATGGAATCTGCTACGGCACTTGCTGTCTGTGTACGCCACAGGTCGGTATCGTGTGTGTGTGTGTGTCTGTGTGTGAGTGGGTGGGTGTGTGTGTGTTCTCATTTTTGTTAAGAGGCTGAAAAGTAACTTTCTAGAGCATAGACTACCTCCATCTAGTGATGTCGGTCTATTGATTTTGATGTATTGATTGAAAATTGTTCATTATTATCTTGGTTAATTAACATCTAATGTTAACTGTACTACATTTTATAGCAGTAGGGTAAAATGCTTGTCTTTGTTCAAAAGACTGTATTAACTTTAAAGACTGTCTCAGCCTGTTTTCAGGGCCTTTTTTTTTGGCTACATATTTGTTATTTTTTGCTACATGCCTCCCCATCTTCTTGCCATATGTTTCTATGGCATAAATCAGTGTCTGTGACCTGTTTTCATTTTAAAAAAAGAACATTGGCACAAACCTAGCCTGTATGTATTTTTTGTATGTCATCGAGAGTATTTAAATGATTTTCAATCAGAAAAAAAATTTGCGATTAATCGCGAGTTAACTCAGGCATTGATGCGATTAATCGCGATTAAAAACATTTAATCGATTGACAGCACTAATTTAGATACAAGAATTCATCAAAAATGTTGATTTAACTCAAACAGAAGAAGAAAATCATACAAGCTCCACATTAAGTGCAGTCTGCATCCTGAAACAAGCACGCTCTTTGTTCTTTGAAGCACACTCAGAGAAAAGCTCATCTGACTTCTGAAGTGGTGAATAAAAATCCCCACAGTGACTTTTACAAACAAATGAATAAAGTGTAAACTGAATGCCATCACTGCACTGTGTCCTTTGCAGCAGCTTTAGCTTCCACTCACGCTCCACATCGTTCAGCTTGCCCCGCTCCTCCTCCAGCTTCTTCTTCAGACTCTCGCTCTCCTTCTTCAGAGATGCCAGGGTCTCCCCTTTCTGGAGCCCCTGACAAGCCATCTTCGTGCACCAAAATGACACAGAAAATACAGGAGAGAAAGAGAAATAGGGGGAGTTAAAAAAGAGAGGAAAGGAGCAGAGGAAACAGGAAAATGTGGAGAACCACCACTGTTTGTGTGTTGGTTAGAGGTCCATTGGAATAGCCCTCCAGAGCAACAGTGATGCTGTTACACTCACACTCTTTTTTATTTTAGTCTCCTCCCCTCTCTGCCCCTCCTCTATCTATTCTGCTATTCAAGAACGCTGAGGGCTTTTAAAAGCCAGAACAGCAGAACTAAAGGGTTCTCTCCTCCAAGTCTTGTTTCTAAATCTGGATTAAAGCCGGAAAACAGAAATCTCCTAACATGCAGAAACGCTTAAAAAATGAAACCCCTGCCTGTTTATATTAACATTTAGAAAAAATAAACTGTTTTCATGGTTCTGACGTAGGGTTCATTTACTTCTGTCAGAAGCAGATTGTGGAAACAGCAACGTCAGAATGGGCTTTTTAGCTAAATTTGGGGTAAAAAAAACAAACAAACAAAAAGTTACATGTTGAAAAAAGTCTGATATATCAGAAGCATTTGCTTTCAAGCTGTACTTCCAAGTAGAATAACCAAGATAACCTACACTCAGCGGCCACTTTATTAGGTACCCCATGCTAGTAACGGGTTGGACTCCCTTTTGCCTTCAGAACTGCCTCAATTCTTCGTGGCATAGATTCAACAAGGTGCTGGAAGCATTCCTCAGGGAGCTTGGTCCATATTGACATGATGACATCACATAGTTGCCGCAGATTTGTCGGCTGCACATCCATGATGTGAATCTCCCATTCCACCACATCCCAAACATGCTCTATTGGATTGATATCTGGTGACTGTGGAGGCCATTTGAGTACAGTGAACTCATTGTCATGTTAAAGAAACCAGTCTGAGATGATTCCAGCTTTAGGACATGTGCCATTATCCTGCTGAAAGAAGCCATCAGAAGTTAGGTACATTGTGGTCATAAAGGGATGGACATGGTCAGCAACAATACTCAGGTAGGCTGTGGCGTTGCAACGATGCTCAATTGGTACCAAGGGGCCCAAAGAGTGCCAAGAAAATATTCCCCACACCATGACACCACCACCACCAGCCTGAACCGTTGATACAAGGCAGGATGGATCCATGCTTTCATGTTGTAGAAGCCAAAATTCTGACCCTACCATCCGAATGTCGCAGCAGATATCGAGACTCATCAGACCAGGCAACGTTTTTCCAATCTTCTATTGTCCAATTTCGATGAGCTTGTGCAAATTGTAGCCTCAGTTTCCTGTTCTTAGCTGAAAGGAGTGGCACCCGGTGTGGTCTTCTGCTGCTGTAGCCCATCTGCCTCAAAGTTCGACGTACTGTGTGTTCAGAGATGCTCTTCTGCCCACCTTGGTTGTAACGGGTGGTTATTTGAGTCACTGTTGCCCTTCTATCAGCTCGAACCAGTCTGGCCATTCTCCTCTGACCTCTGGCATTAACAAGGCATTTCCGCCCACAGAACTGCCGCTCACTGGATGTTTTTTCTTTTTCGGACCATTTTCTGTAAACCCTAGAGATGGTTGTGCGTGAAAATCCCAGTAGATCAGCAGTTTCTGAAATACTCAGACCAGCCCTTCTGGCACCAACAATCCTGCCACGTTCAAAGTCACTCAAATCACCTTTCTTCCCCATACTGATGCTCGGTTTGAACTGCAGGAGATTGTCTTGACCATGTCTACATGCCTAAATGCACTGAGTTGCCGCCATGTGATTGGCTGCTTAGAAATGAAGTGTTAACGAGCAGTTGGACAGGTGTACCTAATAAAGTGGCCGGTGAGTTTATAAAGCTCCTATAATTCATTTTATAGTTGTTTTTACTAATTAAAAGTAAATGCAGGCATTTATATTAAGCCAGTTTCTGAGGTAAAGTCAAAGTGTGTCTCTACTAGGGCTGCAGCAGATGATTATTTTGTGATTTGATTAATCTGTCGATTATTTTTATGTTTAATTGATTAAGGATCAGATAGCAAAAGCTTTCTTAAAGAAGATTTTTTTGTGAAATGAAACCAGGTGAAACTAAAACTTTCCCACTTGAGGAGTTCTGGATAGAGCATACTGATAGTTATGACACTTAAATGAATAATGTTTACATATTTTTTTACTATTTTGGTAACTACTGCTCAAAGTGGGTCGCTCTGTCATGTAAAGGCATGTTTTTGAGCCTCTACATTGCAGCTAAAGATGACTAAATTATTTGATGATGATTTTAATAATCGATTAATTGTTTCAGCTCTTGTCTCTACATGCTTTGCACATCTAGAGAGGAACATCTATTTCTGTTCTTCTTGGCCAAAAAGCTCAAACTCAATCAGATTGGTGAGCAGAAACCTTGAGGTCTTGCCACAGATTTATTGTAAGTCTAGACTTTATCTGGGTCATCTTAACCACAAATATGCTTTTTGTTGTTTATAAAATCTTATAAAGTCTAAAAACCTTCTTTAATGATTTTTTTTTATTGAGTATATGGGTAAAAAGGAAAGAAAATTCCTCTGTATTTATAATCTAGTCTTTGTGTTGATCTATTATTCATCATTTCAAATACGGTAAACTAAATGTATGAGCTTTAAAGAGAAAATATTTAGGGGGTATGAGAACTTTTTTTTTTTTTTAGGGTGTACAGACTTTAATGGTTCCCTTTGAAATGATTGTAATGTTTTCAGCTCAGAGGTGAGAACTGAATGGCAGCTTTTACCATTTCCACGCAGAAGGAGCAGTAGTTGATGGCTTCGCTCTTGATGTAGATGTTCATCAGAGGACTCGCCTTGCTGCAGCTGTCGCATGGGCCAAAAGTGGCCGCCATGAAGGTCTGATCACACATGGCTGCAGAGGATCACAGACACGCCTGGAAATAAAGAGAAAATACTCAGAGGGGTGACCAGGATTTTATTTAATCAAGGCTCTATTTGTGAAGGGCTGGTTTTCAGGGTGGTAGTTGGTGGACATGCTGCACAGGAGATAAGCAGCCGGTAATCTACTGCAGCCTGATCCTTCTAAGAGCTGCAGAGGAGAGCAGCTATTCTGGGAAACACACAAACACTCACAGCTCAATTTGTTGCACACTGATGCAACTCTAACTTATAAAGGTCTCGTCTTCTCAGAGATTTAACTATTTAAGACTTTTATGAGTTATTAAGGTTAGAAAAATTAGATAGCAGGGGTCAAACGTCTTTGATTCCTTCTAGGATGTTTATTGTTCTAAACAGAATGTATGTAGGTTTAGATTCCATATTTACTAAAAGTTATTCTTAAAAAAATTATATTGTTGAGCTTCTATATTTCATTAACTTCTTCCATGTATTTCCATATTAGAGATAAATATTTAGTGTAAAAAGTTTGGGGTTTAAATTAACTTCCATCTGAGCGATAAACCCAGTGACTATAAAAGATGTTATTCTAACTATTTTAGGCAAAATCAAAACACCTTACCACAGAAGATAATGCTTCTCTGTCTACAGCAGGTACCTGCTCCTCTTGTAGTTATGAAGGAGTCGTTCCAGCGAGGCAGATTGATCACTGAGGGGCAGAGAGAACAGTAATCTACTTAGGAAAGTGTCTTAGCTGGGAATCTGCTTGCTTTATCTTCAAGGCTCTGAGGATCTGTTTAGAGGTGGGAACAAATGTTTGGTTATGCTAGGCTGCCTGAAACTGCATTATTTGAACAAGGAATCATAAAACCTGACTGAAAAACTGAAAACATAATACTAGAGAATAAAGTATTTACCAGGAGAAACCTACCCTGCAGTGTAGATCTATGGTGAAGCAGAAACAAATTGTTAGACTTTTACCTTTATGCTGGTACCACAGACGCTGATCTGTAAAAACTGCTACAACAGATTATCGGCCCAGGCTGTCTCTATGATGAATACTTTAACATTCAGAGTACCCAAATCAACCAGCATGTTGTCTTTGCAAAAACACTATGTATGCACCGTGAATTAAAATGTGCAGATCTGTTGCTGAAAGTATGGAGAGAGTCTCTTTTGTTGAAAGTCAGAGCAGTCGGGACTGCAAGGAAGAACGTGATAAAAATAGTAATGGATTCAGGTAATTGTTAAACACAGAAATGCTTTAGCAGAATGAGAGCTTTTGGAAACTTTCATGCTACCAACTTGGTGAAAACAGCTCAGGGTAACCTGAACCACTTTAAGCTTTATCAAAAAGGAACGTTTTCAGCCTAGGCTTAAAAGTATCTGCCTCATGGGAAAAAACTGGTAGTTCCTTCTTCATGCTGTAAACCCCAACGTTCAAAGTTATTAAATAGAATGGTGTGTAATGTGTGTGTGTTCTATTATCATAATTATGTCAAGTTTGTGTAAATGTTTTTGAGTAATTGAAACAAAAATGTCTTGATTATATTGAACGATTTGTATATTAAATAAGCATAACTTAAAAACATTTATTAAGCAAGTAATTAAAACAGAATGTAACTTTTTCTATTTTTTCAAATAGGTAAGATTTAATGATGAATGTAATTTATATACAATAAATGTTATTAATATAGAACATGACATACAATAAAAATTAAAAAACTTTATTAAGCAAAACTGATCCAACAAATAACTCATAGTAACCCAACACAAGACAGAATTTCCAATGCTAAAGTGCTGCACCAAGCAGCCTAAACCATGGAGACAGGAGAGTTCTGCCACGGGTTGACCAAGAAAGTTAGGTTTCTAGGGCGTTCAGTTGTGCGGCAGAAGTGCTTGGCGGTGTTCTGTCGGATGAGCTACCCGTTCAGACCAGCATACCCACAGTCAGTACCCATTAATGCCTTTAGTTTATCCCTTTAATTAATCCCTTTGGTTTTGTACGAAAAATGGACTTTAAACTACCTCAATGGGCGTGTATCCCTTTAGTTATGTATAAAAAACGATTTAATTACTTACTTTTTGGTGTTTTACGAAGCGTACAAAACCAAAGGGATAAAAGCAAATCTGATGTCTTGCACATGTGTATTGACAATGGGTATGCTGATCTAATGGGGTATGCTGATCTGACAGAACAGCAGCCCATTCAAAATGCAGGTAATTCTATACTTTTGTTAATTATTTTACAAAATACACAACCATTATGAATGAATGATTGAGAGGTTTTACTCCATATAATTATATTAGCCTTGTGAAATGTGATATTTCACCCAGGGCCTGATTTGATCAAAATGACTCATGTGTAACATGTATAGATGTTAACATTTGGTTTGAATGACCAAAGCCGAACGTAACCTACATATAATTTTTTACTAACATAATGGGTGTCCCCTGGAACTATTGAAGCTCTGCTGTTCTGTCAGATGAGCATACCCGGTCAGACCAGCATACCCATAGTTAGTGGGTGATTTATAATTAGGCAATACTAGGCAGTTGCCTGGGGACCAAAGTTCCTGGGAGCCCATAAAACTCTCTTTACATGTATTGTTAATACAAGTATTCAATATTTGTGCTCATTAATTATGTTATTGATAAATATCCTTTTACTAAAATGCCATCTGAACGCTTGTAATATTAAGTGTGTCTCAGCCCCCCCTTCAGTGTCCTCCACATTGGATCAGTCCATTTGCTGCACATGTTCAGAAAGGTCCAAACAAACAGCAGCAAACCATTTGAAAACAATCGATGCGAAGAGCAGTGTTGCCAACTTAGCACTTTTTCTCTATATTTAGGGACTTTTCAGACCCTGCTCTCCAGAGCAAGTAGATTGGTAACCCCACCTCGTGCTCTCCTCTATCTTGTCTGCTGTCATGATTCATGCAGCTATTATTTCATCCAAATGAAAAATGGAGAACAGATAAGCAGATAATGGCTTGTCTACAGTGAAAAGAAGGACTGGGTTATTTACTTTTGCTGTCGCCTTTTTGGAAACAAAGGAAGGAGCAATCAGCTAAGTGAGCTTAGTGATCATCAAACGTCAACTGAGTACAAAATATAGAGAAAAACAACAAGAAAAGGGACAAGAAGAGGGGGAAAAAAACCTAGAATAAATAATGGATGTCTATTCTATCAAAATTTCTGTATCTGTATAATGGGTCTGTTTTATCTTCTCAATTGAGAGAACCCCCTGCCTTTGTCTAAGGCCCCAAATTTCCAAAATCCGCCCCTGCCCATAGCCAATACCCCTTTATCCCTTTAGTTTTGCATGAAAAATACACTTTAAGCTACCCCAACAGGGGTGTATCCTTTTATTAAAGTACAACGAAAATATTTAATTACTTACGTTTCGGAGTTTTTGAAGAGTATAGCGATCACACCTTCACCTTGTTTTTACTAAAGGGGAAACATGCCCATTGAGGCAGTTTGAAGTCTATTTTTCGTACAAAATTAAAGGGATAAAAACAAACCTGATGTCTTGCACACAAGTATTGATATTAGGTGTGTATATATATATATATATATATATATATATATATATATATATATATATAGCATGTATTATCACACATGTAGGATGTACCTTAACAACGTAAGAAATACATGTATTAAGAATTACATGTACTTTTGGCACATCTGTATTATAATGCTCCTTTAACACATTAATTTTATTGTGATGGATTTGTATAATATGTTATATTACATGATTTATAGACTTCATTGACTTCATAATGACTATGCAATGTGATGTGCCTATTTTTCTTTATTATAAGTTAAACTAATGTAGTTATACTAAAACAGCTGGTGTGTGTGTTGCACTCCCGAAACAGAAAGGACTCCGTCTTCTTCTTCTATTGAGTATTCTGGCAGTTTACATCCTGTGTGCATTACCGCCATCAACTGGACGGAGATGTAATTCAGAAATATAATGCCTATATATCTTTATATCTTCATGAAACTAAACTCTATCTATACTTACACACACGCACATACACACACTAAATTCTCCCAGCTAATTCTGTATCTTTTAAATATTTAATAAGTGCTTTAATTATCTTATCTGATTGATGCTTCCCTAATAAATCAGCCATCTTTACTGAACTCCCCATTACCCTTTCCAGTTCTTTCCTCTCTTTTATATATTTGCCACAATAGATCAACACGTGTTCTACTCCTTCGATTTCTCCACAATAACAACAATTACCCGTTGGATGTTTCCCTATTATTTTTAGACCTGCATTTAAACTGGTATGCCCAATCCTTAAGCTGTTTAACTCCCGCCACTAACACTGACGTAGTGCCTAGATCAGATATGCGTAAACAATAGTAACTAGATGCGATGTTCTAAATAACAGCATTGACCCAAAAAAAATAACGGTCACATGGAACAAATCAATAACACAGCGACCAAATATTATATATCTAAATAAAATATGTTCAGGGTGCAACATGTGTCAAAGTGAAGAATTTATCTTTATTTTAAAAGTCTTAAAGGAATAGTACACCCAAAACATGATTAGCCTTCCTTTTCTACTCACCCCCATGCTGAACAACACTCTGGAGTACTTTTTTGATATCTCAAATGCATCTGGAGATCTGGGAGGCTTCTTGCTGTCTGCTGACATTCAAATAATGGAGGTCCATGGTGCCCGAGACAGAAAGGTCCATAAAAGTCCACAAAAAACGTGTCAATATTCCTCCATACTGCTCGTCCAATGTATTCCAAGTGTCCTGAGTGGGTAGCTGCCATAATTTACTCGAAACGAAGTCATTTAGAATGTTTTTAGAGCATAAACAGTAGTGTATAGGATTTCCTGAAAGCGCGCACACGCGCGCTCACGACGCTACGGAAGCCGGCAGACCAAACCAGCGCATTCAGCTCGGCAAAGAACTCATGCTCTTCCTCAACACTGAAGTCCTCAGATATTTTTCTTTCGTTGTTTCTTTCTTTGCACAGGTAAACAGCACATTTCTTCTTCTACGCTTGCATTATTGGAAGAGCAGACGCTGAATGCGCACTTTCATCTGGTTTGATCTGCCGGCTTCCGTAGCGTCGTGAGCGCGCGTGTGCGCGCTTTCAGGAAATCCTATACACTACTGTTTATGCTCTAAAAACATTCTAAATGACTTCGTTTCGAGTAAATTCTGGATGCTACCCACTCAGGACACTTGGAATACATTGGACGAGCAGTATGGAGGAATATTGACACGTTTTTTGTGGACTTTTATGGACCTTTCTGTCTCGGTCACCATAGACCTCCATTATTTGAATGTCAGCAGACAGCAAGAAGCCTCCCAGATCTCCAGATGCATTTGAGATATCAAAAAAGTACTCCAGAGTGTTGTTCAGCATGGGGGTGAGTAGAAAATGAAGGCTAATCATGTTTTTGGTGTACTATTCCTTTAAGTCCCCCTGAAAATGAGAACATCATCGTTGTTCGGTGCTGCAGTGCACAGATTGTTTACATTGTGACCAGTCTAACTAGGGAGTACCAATATGGCGGCCGATGGCTTCACTTCAACCCTGTACTACCAATGGGCGATCAGCAATTCAATGAATAGCTAGAGATAAATGATTGGAACATGTGCAGGAACCTCTAGGCGCTTCATTTGCTCTATTCTGCCATCTAGTGGACAATAAATGTAAAACATGCCGTCTGATTTTTATGACACTATGGCTTTAAGAGTTTGAAGCATTGAATGAAT